AACATTGTCGAGGTTGACCACCACGTCAAAGGAGGGCCACTCGTCAGAAATACCCTCGCCCTGCTCAAACGGTCGGTCTTCAACGATCCGCGCCTGGCCGAGGACACTTCTTTGAGCTAAGTCGACAGAAGCAAGCCCCTGGATTCGGAACAATATCACAAGTGGTATACTGTAACACGGAGCATGGGCCGGTTAGGCACGGAATTGGGAGTTTGCCCTACCTGTCAGCGGTACCGGAGCAGGGATCTGGATCCGCCGACATGGCTTGCTGCGTCCGGCGTGCTGGATCTTTCCTGCTTCGAGGACTCGAGATACACCGGATTCTGGGAAGACTGTTCCCCCGCGAAAGCCTACCTCTGGACCAGGGCCTCGCACTTCATGGACCGCCAATTCTATAAGACCTTGTCCGTATGGGGTAAGAACGAGGAGGCTGCACCGGTAATCATGGCGTTTCCCTTCATGGTCAGAAACGAGCATGTTGCTGAACTCCATTCCTGGTATAAAGAGGTAGGAAACTTCTGCCTCCATCCTCGCCTAAAGCAGCCATCTTACGGAGGAGCATGTGGATCACGTCTTGTAGATTCCAGATTGCCATTGAAGGCGGCGTTTCCAGTTGACTGAGCCACTTGATCACAGAAGCTGTTGCGAGTAGCTGTTCGCTGTCAGGACTTCGATGTGGACCTTGGCATCGGAGGAACAGAAGCAGGCGAAGTTGGCTCCTTAGTGAAACAGGATCCAACAGATAGTGGAAAAACGCAAGAACAGAATCTTTGATTTCATGCACTGCTTCGATGGCAGGTACTACTGTAAGCCCACAGAGACAGACATCACGGAGCTAGAACGTGCATCTGTCGCTTGAGATACTCATCCGGTACTGGATGCCTCGACAGTCTTCGCTTGCCACGATTGGAGATTTGGAAGTAGGCACATATCTTTCGACTGACGGCCACGACTAACTTCCCTTTCCGTCTGCACACGGTTCTTTGGATCAAATCTGCCTACATGTCTGGAGGGGTAATTTAGGCTGTTGTGGCCTGTCGAAAGACTAGGGTCAGCGCAAGCCTCGACGGCGCCGTCCCTCGATGAACCCCGGATATCGGCTATACATCGAGCGATGGTCGGCCGTGTCTCATTCCACCGTCCCTCTGGCTGTTCTGCCTTGGCGTGAACGGCCTTGCCTCGAAGTTGACAACCATCCTTGTGGCTCCAGGTTCGTTCCAAAACAAGGACGTCACAGGTGGTCACTCGAGGGGACAACTCTGCAGGCGACGCGACTGTTTGAGCATGTTTGCACAAGACGGATTCGCAAGTCTCGAGGCTGAGTCTCAGAACCTAACACCATGACATACCTGTTCGCACCTGATTTGTAACGCCTGTGGAGCTGCCTGATATGCAGGCTGCTCGTTGCTAAGCCAGAGGTAAGATGCACAGTGCACATCTGACGCAGCGGGATTTATGGAATCTGTTGAGCGCGCCAAATTTAGAGACAATCCTTCCTGCGAGCGATCAGGACCTCCATTCAGTACCTTCTCCGCGCAAAGACGGTTCGGCGCGACTGTCAACTCGCAGACCCATCTGCGATTGTGGAGTATTTGGAGGGCGCAATTGATATCATGCAGCAGCAACAATCTCGAACCTTGAGCCATGTCGTCGAAGGGTCCTGTAACGACAAGGGTAGGTTTGTCTAGTGTCGGATATCAGCGCCGTCTCTGGGATCCCTCCCGAGGATTAGTCATGTCAGTGTTTGAAATGAATATCCGATGTTGCTTGCGCTGCTGATTTTGGCTGATAGTTCTGCCCGCGGCCTGAAAGACTGTGGCCGACAGAACGAAAGAACGAATTGGATTTGCCTGCGGTTGTGAAGTCGATGATTCAATCTCCGAATATGCTGCTCGAAAGCTAGTACGGAGTACGTAGGCTCGAAAGCCGACCGGGGTTCTCCAAGGCATTGACCGACCTTGATGGGAGACATGCGTGCCGGACCTCTTTACTGCATCGATCATCGCCCTGAACGGCAGGTGTCGCAGCTCACTCGTTGGTACATTAGCCTCCTCGTGGCAGCACGGAAGGTGGAACACCAGACGTTTGGGTCTCTGGACTTGGAGCAAGCCGGAGGCACATAGTGCTTATATTGAAGAGAGTGCTGACCGATGCTATACTTGGGGTAGAGGCAGTATCTCGATTGGCTCGCGCTCCGTATTCGTTCCAGCGCAAAGAAAGAAGTTAGGGATCGACCTGCGGTTCCGCAAGGACGTGAAAGCGGCATCGAGAGGACCAGTAGAGAATATCCCAAGTGTGTCATCGCAGCAGATGTGGTGAAGCCCACACGGAAATCCAAGCGATTCTCTGCAGGACGCATGCAGGGGTCTCATTGGAACGAGGGATGCGGGTACGGGTATGAGGATGCATGGGTGCTTCCAATGAAATACCGACCAAAACCAAAATACCTAGCACGCTGAGCATAAGGATATACGACGATATGAGAGGTCGAGGAATCTGGTTTCCGTCGGTTGCAGGCCATGTCGACTAACCTAAAGCGTGTTTTCTGCTGTGCGGGCTGACCGACTGTTCGTGGCGCGAAGGCCGTCGACACATCCGGTGAAGATTCGGTACGGAGTAGGTGAGCTGGAGATGGCAAAGCGACCGGCCAGCCATTGTCTACACCACAGTGCGGAGTATGGAGCGCAGAAACTGAGCTTAGGGATGGTGATGGTGACAGTGACAATGATCCTGAGAGTGCTTGGGTGTGGTGAGTTGGTGAATGGTGAATGCTGGCGAGCCTACTACTGTACTCAGGTATCGAGGCAGGCATGCGCCGCTGTTGGTCCCCGATGCCCCGTCCGGCCAAGGCCGTGTAAGGCGACCACGTAGCAGCGATCTCTGGATCTTGGTGGGGAGCTACTGCCTCATTGGGGGAAGGGCGCTGGCCAGTCACCCACCACCTGCCCTTTCGTGACCTAGTCGCTATCAGAAGGTGCGCCAGACACCGGGACTCGGTACAGCCGCGTCTCCAAACAGCGCGCAGATTCCAAGGTTGGCGTCTGCCGTCTATAGGCTATGACCTGCCTGACCGCCCAAGCCTACCACCTACCATCTTCGGCGTGCCTGGAGTCTCTTTACTTCCCACCACCCATCCTTCTCGAACTGTCTGTCGCGGCCTCTCGTGCTTCTCGCTGCGTCTTGTTCCCAAATTCAAGATGGGTAGATTCGTATGGTTTGGGACGCCGAACTGCTCAAGTGCTTTTACGCTCTGATTCGAAGCGACGCCTGCCCGCTAATGCAGGTAATGTCATGACACCCGGTCTTTCCCCTGTTCTAGCGGCAATAGTCCCTGCTTATCCCCGCGAGTAAGCGTGCACGGGAACCACTCGATCTTACAGCGGCGTGGTCGATGCCCTGATCTGGACTTTCTCGAAATTGGCCCTTCGACTGCTGGTGCACGCTTGCGAGACGGCTCAGGCTTCGATCAGATCCTGATCGACCGAAGTCTTCCAATGCAGCCACCTTTTTGGCTGGGCTGCCCTGGCCAGAAGATTGCGTACTGTTTGTGGCTTCGACTCTGCCAGTGACTGCCCCAACACCTTCTGCCCATCTCGTGCTCCAGCGCTGGAGACGTCGTCATCCTCCCACCAGCCCGAACTCAGACTAAGCTGCCCCCTGTCACTCTTAAGGTTCTCGAGACGTGGCATACGAGGTCTGCCATTCCAGAAAGGAAGTAACTCACACTGGGATGGAGTCTTTCCTTTCCCAGTCCTGTCGCATCCGGTCCATGCTTTAGCCAACTGCCCATCCGTGATCCCGCTGCGGAGACCCCTGCTATCCATGCAGCTTTGCATTGCTCCCGACAATCGCCTTCGCATGACGCTAGAACCAGACGTGCGTGCGTCCCGACCGCGTGCGTCTGAGAAAATTACTCTGCTGTACGGAGTACCTCGTCGACCTGACTGTGGCCAGGGGTGGCACATCGCTGACATACTAGTCCTGCTCTCCAAATCTGATCGTCTCGTGAGGAGAAATCCATTCAAAGTCGGCTCACTGCCCTACGAGGCTCTGGCCATGACTTCAATTTGACTCGCGACCACGACTCTCGACACAGTCTGACAAGGAACGACCTTCGTCTCCCTCGAAAATGCCCGTCGAAGTCCAAGAGAAGCCCAAGTCCAAACACCGCAAATCGACGTGTGCTGGTTGTCGCAGGCGAAAGGTACTGACAACCCCGCTGGCTTGATGGATCGGGAGATCGTGGTCCATCGAGGTTCTGCTGTGGTCACAATGGCTAATACGGCGACAGTCAAAATGCGACGGGAAGACACCCAAGTGCACGACGTATGTTTTCCCGACATAGTTGGTCCGAGAATTTCAGCTGATGCGCTCTGCAGGTGCATAGCGTACAAAGACGACTGTCATTACGATAAACCACCGTCGCTCGCTTATGTGCGATCTTTGGAGGAAGAGATCCAAGAGCTGAAGTCGCAGCTGCGACAGGCCAAGACTCAAGTTTGGCTCTCAAAGGTATGAGAACCTTCGTCCTGTGCCGCCCAGCGTTACTCATGGTTCGGTAGGCCGTCTCGCATGATGAAAAGAAACTACCGTCAGCATCCCCAGCCAGCGACACAGCCGCTTCCCAGAGTTCCAGCCAAGCTCTTGCACTCCGGAATCGCCATGTCAAATGGGAAGCCGACATCAGCGTGGACGACAGCGGAGGCGTAACATTCCACAACTCAACTTCGCCGATTCATGAATTTCCGTCAAATCAACGACATCAACCACCTATAACTGCGCACCTTAACTACATCGTCAATCCCCAGGAGGATCAGCGTGTGAAGCGAGACCTCGTCCTGAACGCCACCCACCAAAGGCAGATTGAGCCTTTCGCAATAGCGAACGGCGCTGCAAAGGCCAATGTCCCAAAAGAGATATCCCACGAATTATTGAAGTACCATTGGTGCTGGATGCACCCGCTATTTTTGTTTGTGTACAGGCCTGCATTCACACGAGGCATGGCCATGGTCGATCTGAATACCCCAGGCGCGCAGGACCCGCCTTACTTTTCCGAGACGTTACTGAAGGTAAGCGTATAGCGGGATCGATGACTGCATGCAGCTCACTAACCCACGCAATCTCTAGGTGATGCATGCGCACAGCTCGAGATTTTTGAACCACGACGTATACCAGGATCAATATCAAGGGGTTTTAACCCAGCACAGCCCTATGGGCAGCTCGATGAGCCCGGGCGAGTTTATGCAAAAGATGACAGACGAGGCGCGATTTGGGCTCGGCATGGACATCCTGCGAAACAGCTCGGTTCCCACAATTCAAGCCCTCCTGCAGCAGTCTGCCCGCGAGGTTGTGTTTGGACGCTCCTCTCAAGCATGGACATTCTCAGGCATCGCGTTCCGGATGGCATTGGATTTGGGAATCCACTTGCCCAGCGACAAGCTGCAAGCTTTGGTAAAAAGCCTCACACCCGAAGACATTGAGATCCGCAAACGTCTGTTCTGGAGCTGCTACACTTGGGACAAAATCCTTTCTCTCTATCTGGGGCGAATGCCCGGATTTACTCCAGCCACCGACGAAGTCCCGCTGACGTTCATGGACGACTACAGCGACAGTGACCTTTGGGCGCCTTACTACGGGGAGACACCAACCTCAGAACTCGCAAATATGCCCAATTATCCCCCCTGTCCCGGATACGTGGTTTCATGTTTCCGCCAGTTGTGCAAGCTTTGCGTAATCCTGAACGATCTGATGCACAGCATATATTCTTCTGAAGCAGCCGCGAGAAGGGAGATGGAAGAGGAGGAACACTCGGCCGAAGCCAAGGCAGCAAGCGAAGCTCCCTTTGTGCGGCTTTCACGCGACCTGCGTGACTGGCTCATCTCCTTACCGCCGCACTTGAGAATCAACCCGGACCAAATGCCATCTCTGGCTCCGCCGGTTCACATCATGTCTCTTAACCTGCTCTACCACACGACCGTTATCCTGCTGCACCGGCCGGTGGTTCTGGGGGCACGCGACACCAGCGCTCCCGGACCGGCACGATCGTGGCAGATGTGCATCCAGGCAACAAGCGCCATCCATGATCTCATCGTGTTACAGGCCAACACATTCGGACTCACCCATCTTTCCTACCTCAACGCTTACAGCGTCTACATCGCCGCCACGATCGCCGTCCTCCGGTTCGAACGGGAATTCCAACCTGGTGAGGACCCCGCGATGGTGGCCCAAAAGAACGGGCTGAACTTCCTCCTGGAGGTGCTCCAGAAAACGGCCAACACCATGCCAGCGCTCGAGCGCAGCAACGCCATCATTCGTAAGAGAATGAAAGCCGTGCTAGACCGCCAAAAGGCGCAGCGAGGCGGGGTCCGACGAAGCTATTCGTCCACGCCACCGAACGCCAAATTCAGCATCCCCACGCCCACCAGCCACCAAATGGACCTCGCTCAACCGACCGCGATCCAAGCTCTGTCGAATTCTTCCCTGGCCCACGCATACACCCAGCCCGATACACCAGGCTCGTTCGTCGCGCCCATGCAATGGCAATCCGGTATGCGCAGCAGCCTGTACTCGGAACCAACGGCGCACGGCTCGACAGAAGACTTCCTCCCAGCATTTCCTGGCCAGCAATTCCCTGTTGGCGGATCCGAGCACAGTTTCGGGAGCACCGAAGTCGACCCGCACACGAGGACGGCCTTGCTGGGATACAACCTCGACCCGCACCCAAGGCTGAATTCAGGAGATATCGATTGGAATTTCATGGAGAACGCGTTCGGGAACGAGGGCCAGACCGTGCACATGTGACTAGCCGGCCAAGGGCTGCAGGTCCAGGAAGGCCATTTCTTCACCAAGGCGGAATACTTGAGCCCGCCGTATGCGGACTGGATGGACTACTGACACTGGCGTTGGTGGTTACGACGAGATCACCGATTGTACAGCATTAGCACTTGAGCGTTGTGTCTGAGCGGCCTTTTGATTCGGAGTACAGAGCACAACTGGACTGGGTCATTTTACTAAGCAAAAGCGCAAGCGAGAACGACCAAGGCATTTTCATTTGGATTTTGGGTCGCTGGGAGGGACGGAGGGTTCGACAGCGAAACCCTATCTGGCGGCTTGATTTGATTTGGTCTATGGCTCTGTATGTTTTGATTGTGCCATTCTTGACGAGGCTGGCAACCAGCAATGAGCATGCCTGCATGATGAGATGCACGAGCCCCATGAACAGTACATACTTTGCTTACATACATACACGCTACAGACGGGGCGCTGCTATTTTTCACGACTTGCAGACACAAGGCAGTACACAGGACGGTGTACGAAGTATAGAGAGGTTGGAACGTCTGAGCAACTACAGTATCCTGCCGTCAGTAGAAGATTCGAGCGATGAAAGAAAAAAAAATTGACGAAACAGATCGAATGATTCTTGACACGGCGGACCGCGCTCATTGAACGCGATCAGCTTACAGAGCCTCGGACGGCGTACGTCGGAGTGGAATGGGATGGTACTGTACTCGTATCACCATGGGATTATGATGCGGGCCGCTCACTGAAATGCTGCTTTCGACCTAGACAGTAGAGAGTAGAGAGTAGAGAGCGACAGTACTTAGGCAAGTGAGTACCACAGTACCACAGGATAGAGGACTCCCCCGCGCTACCCCTGTACTGTGTATGTCTACGTAAACATGGTATGTACATACACAACGAGCAGAACACCACAACCCCATACGACGCATACGAGGTATCATCCGGCTCCGACTCGGGCTGATCAAGCGAGGTTCGAGTACCGAGTACTGTGTATCCATACAGCGCTCCCTTCCCAGATCGATGCAAGGGCAACGGCAAGGGGTCTACTGTAGTTACTTGTGTCTATATTTAGATTTTTGGCAACTCTCGGGCTCATTGGTTGGACGGGCCTACAGGGGTCCAGGATTAACCTACCTACCTACCTACCTACCCTAGCTAAGTAGGTAACATACTGAGTACATACCTAGGTATGTAACGTAAGCTGCAGTCTCGTAGTCCGGTACTTGTTAGCACCTACCTTTCTCGTACGAGGTACCGGGATAGGGGAATTGAGAGTGAGAGTGAGGAAGGGCAATCGGGAAAGAATGGTCAGCACTGGTGGATGAGTGCGTGTGTGCGTGCGTGCATTCCGGGCGGGTGGCGGCTTGCGTGACTGCGTGCGCGCGCGCGTGCGTGCGTGCGATGCGCTCTGGGTGCGATTCCAGCCTTGCTTTGGATTTTTCCCGTGTACGGTGGTGGTACACAGTACTAAAGTTTACCCAGCATGAGGCTGACTTGGAGGGGGGGGCATTGGTCTGTGAATACGAGTACTCTGTATGCATGCAACAAACCGGCAGGGAGGGAGAGTAGTGGCACGGAGGAGGAAAAGGAGGAGGAGAGACGGTGGGACGAGGGATGAGAATTACTCCAGTCTTCTAATTCCTCGTATGTTTCGTCCCATAGGGGGTAAAGTGTACGCGTGAGGTGATGGTCAGAGGGGAGAAAGGGAGATTAGTGAATACGTATACAGTACGAGTACGAGTACAGCGGGTTTGTGTACTGATAACACAGGAGAGGTGGCCGATCCGGTATGATAGCACACCATGGGAGACGTACTTCGTATATTCACGGCAGGTCCACAATACGTCAATCGCGAGTGTGTATACAGTAACTCGACTGACGAAGCGTGCTGCCTGACCCCCTGCCGTCGATACGATATGTGTGGGTCTCGACCGCCCGAACCCAGGAGTCCTGGTAAGCATCTGTTGCGCGGCCGAGTGCATGTGCAATGCCGTGGCGCGGCGTTCGTCCGGACTGACTGATCAAGGGTAGGATCCCTCGCAGGAGGAAAATGTGGAAGGCAAAGGAGGCCGCAGTGGCAAAGGACAGTGGTCACGCAAAAGGGGGGTTCTGTGTTGTTGCTGTCTGCGAGCCACCCTCCTTCAGCCTCGTCGACTGGGGCACGATGACGACTCTCGGCCATCAGCACGAAAGGATTCGACCCGAGTGTACGGTTACCGGCATTCTATATTTGGGTCCGCACTCCAAATAATACGGCGAAACCCTCTTTTGGGCTCGTGTGCCCGGGCTACAAGGGTGTCAAATATGCAAGGCGTCGAGGGCGAGGGATTTGCCGAAGGATTCGAGAGCCAGGCGGCGGCGGCGGCGGGTAAACAGGTTGTGTGATGTACGTCGTAAGACAACAGGGCTTGCAAGAGGGATGCCGTGCACATATACCAAAGGAGGAATAGGGTACGACGAACATCGCGACGGTTGAGCATGCAACGCGACGGGGATTAGACTATCTTAGAAGGGGCAGGTGTGATCAAGCTTTCGGTAAAGGATCGAGCAAGGGTCGGTTATTTTTATCCCTGGTGGATACATGGGGGCGTGAGCAGAAGCGGAAGATTCCACGAATGCGGAACCATGCTGGGGCAAGTCAAGTCCTTGTCATCCTGCCTCTGACACTGGGGTGCAGGAAAGGGAAGGACGCCTGAAAGGGTGAATATTTGAGGCCGAGAGGCGCAACGACCACGGCCTCGGTCACGGTCACGGGCATAGCAGCAAAGCGACGCTCTGTCACAATAGGAGGCATGATAGATACCGGCCTTGACATGTGGATGATATGACGTGAAACTGTTGGCGAGAAAACCAAAGATCCAACATCCTTCGCGATCCTGTCTCTGGCAGCGTTACGAAGATCCTAGGGGACCCTCGAAGCGGTGTGTGTATAATACTATGATCAACGTCCCGCGGTTAACCTCATTCGCTGGCGGGCCCATGTCTTCAAGGCTCAAACTGTCGCTCTCTATTGCTCATCTAGATCAGTTGAGCAAGTCAGGTCTTTCCACACTTCCAAGCCTTTCATGGTGTCCTCGCATTTGGCTTTAATCATTCCATACGCGTCCTGGCCCAGCACCAATCTCATGGGGATCTCTCGGCCGGAGTCACCGCTGAGGACATCGACAATGACCTTGACTCCCTTCTTGATGTCACCAGGTTGCTTGTTGTCGTAGTCCTTCATCGACTGCTCCCCCATCCGGACAGCGGTACCTTCATAGTCCGGAATCATATTTTCTCTCTTCAACAAGTTGCCAGGGTTGAGAAACTTGGACCGGAAATAGCCAGGCTCGATCGTGCAGACTTTGATGTTGAAGTCCGCCAACTCGTGGTACAGGGTTTCCGAAAGGCCGGTCACTGCCCACTTTGATGCGCAGTACATACCGACACCTGGGTATCCGACCCAAGCAGCAACGCTCGAGAAGTTGGCAACCACACCTGCACGTTGTACTCGCATATAGGGGACAATTGCGCGCGTCGTGTTCAACAGCCCGAAGACGTTCGTGGCGAATTGCGCCTGAGTTTCCTCCGGCCTGGTCGAGTGTCAGAAGAGGCATTGAACAGTATAGCGACCAGGAGAGCCTTACGTCAGTTCCTCCAGGCTCCCGACCTGGTTGTAGGCAGCATTGTTGACCAGGTAGTCGAATCTGCCATAGACTGTGTGTGCTTCGGCGGCGGCATTCTTCAGCTCCGCCAATGGAGCAGTGACATCCCACGCCATAGTGGTTGCACCGGCACTCTTGAGAGCTTCAAGCTTGCTGGCGTCACGAGCCGTGGCAATGACCCTGTCGCCTCGTTTCAGAGCGAGGAGTGCAAGCTCCCACCCGAAACCAGATGAGCAGCCCGTGATAAACCATACTTTGGGCGAGGCCATGATAGTCGGATGTGTTTCGATCACGGATCACGACGAGCCGCAGCACAATCTGGAGGGGAATGGTAGAAAGGTGCTCTGGCTGGAAGATGAGGATTCGGGGCTTATATCACCTTTTACCCCAGAGCTTCGCGCTGACAGGTCCTTGCCACAAAATGCAATCTTATAGCAGCATCTCCAGCCGCGCCCCTACTGTCGGCCTTTGCATGGAGATAGCATTCGATCGAGGTACCAGTCGATCCATGGGTGAAAACGACGGTGACTACTCGCATTCCGCAGCGAAGCGCGCAGCTTGGCTGGCTGCCTGAAGCACGAGAAGAAGTGGTTATGCAGAGACTGTATTGATTGTGCAGATCATGTCGGCGATGATAGAGGACGTAGATTCGTCTTGGAAGGTCATTTTCATCTAGCGCATGAGTGGAATCAGCATGTTAGAGCGTGCCACCAGCGGCCGCTTCAGCCGCCGCTCGCTGCCATGCCAGTGGCCGAGGAAGTGAACACGCGCAGGACTGCTCTGCCAGATCAGGACCTAGATGATCCTGATGGTAGCCCAAGAGTTGATGAGACTGGCAAGGACGCATCAGCGCATATCGTCAAAGTGATTGATTTTGCTGGAACTCCCCAGCCACTGATCATGCAATGCAGGAGTCGTTTTGGGAGATGAAGAGGAGGTTAGCGATGGGAGAAGATGTTGCAACGTGGCTACGTGACAGATCGAGCCAAGACAAGGCCGGGTAAATGATATGAGTTGCAAACTCGGGATCGAGTCATTTGTAACACGGTGCAATCGCTTTTCTCGTACCGGCTTCTTATGGTGCAACGTGAAGACTGCGTTGAGTGTTTGGCTGCTTGAGCTGGGCAAGTCACTACATCGGTCCCAGATCATGATACGACTCGAGCCCAAGAGACAGCATTGCGAAGGCCTAGGATATTGAAGGTGCCGCGAGGGCAAAGTGCAGCTGTTCTGTGGCTAGGCGGGACTTGGACTCCGCCCTTTGTTGCCGACAAACTTTTGGTCTCTATGTCTCTCGCAACTACTGGCCAACGAAGCCACCCACGAGGAAAATCCATAACTAATCCTCGTCGTCGAGGTCCTCAGTCTCAGCCGTGGCGGCAGCGCTCTTGGGCTCAGAGCCCGAGATAACCTTTGTTTTGACATTGGGTTCATCCTCTTCCCCCTCCTGATCCTCATCATCCTCTCCTTCCACATCTTCGGCCTCCTCTTCTTCGACCTCTTCGCCGTTGTCCTCGGCCTGCTTAGTTTTCTTCGTTGCTGGTTCTGCGTCATCTTCAGGGGCTTTGCGCTTCAACTTGGGTGGAGCTGTGCCAGTGAGATATTAGCGATGGTCTACCCCCTCGCCGGACTGCTGCGAGTCATTTGGAACGCATCTTACCTTCAACTGCGGGCTCCTCGTCATCCTCGGCTTCAGCCTCCTCCTCCTCTTCGTCGTCTTCGTCGCCTTCCTCGTCCTGCGAGTGATTTCAGCATGCTTATATTGACGGAGCCCACTGGCTGATCAAAAAGCCATTGGACTATGAGGGAACAGCGAAACTCACATCTTCGTCCTCGTCCGAAACATATTCCCTAGTAAGGCTGTCAGCGATGTGAATCAGGGGAATGGGCTTCAATAAGACTTCGAGGGACGAGGCAGTCAGCGGGCAGGTGTGTAACAGTGTAAGTCTGGCAGGAAGAGCACCGGTCTGCGATTTGAGCTGCACACAGAGCAGGCGGTGACAGGCGCCTAATGGCGCGGAAGGTACAGGGAACCGTGCTATGCGCGATCTTGCGATCCCAGGTAGACAAGAAGACTGCAAGAGGATCGGCCGGCTCGGACTACTCACTCTTCTTCCTCGTCGTCGTCGGGCAAGCTTTGCAGCTCCTCTTCTTCGTCGTCTTCCTCTTCGTCTCGACGCCTTCTGGGTGGTGCCATAGTGTTTGGAGAGGTCAAGTGTTTGGGTAGGTGTAGATCAAGGCTAGCTGGATGATAACTTGGGGCGAGTCCAGGACGACAACTAGAAGTAGAGATGGACGACTTGCGGGAACAAAGGAGAGAGGAAGCCGCAAGGAATGTATTCGAGGTAGGGGGGAGCGGCAGACGGCTGAGGTTGGGAGACTTGGGGAGCTGCTGGCCAAACGTCAGAGCTGGGGCTCAGAATCAGGACCCAGATCTAAGCTAGTAAGCAACTCAGGGGGAGGAAAATGGAGGCGGAACAGCAGCTTGAGAGGCGGGATGGGGCGTTCAGGGCAGGACAGATGGGAAAAATAGGGTGCCGAAGTGCATCATGATGCAGCAAGACTTGGACCATCCGTTGACAGGCCCCTTGATTACGAGTAGAGGCTTGAGAGCGAGCTCTCTAGAAGGGCTGTGGAGGAGTGCGAGACTGGCAGGACTGGGTGAGGGGCAACGCAGCAGCTCACCAGTTCACGAAAGCCGGAGAAACGAGGTTGGGGCAGCTTGCAGCTCCTCCAAGCTCACTGCGACTCTCTGTCATGCTTCAACCGCGCGCTGTGACTTGCCAGGAAGCTCGACTGCTTAGCCGAAGTCGCTGCTGGTGCCGCCCACAAGCCCCAGCCTCTGAGAGCGCGCGATGGCGCCAAGCCGGCTGGGATCATGTCCCAGCTGTGACGGAAGAAGGAAATTCCGGTGCCATGGCACGTGATCAGACGAGGAAGCGGCCGTGGCATGCGTGGCTCCAGGATCAGCCGGGAATCAGGCCATCATCACTTTCTGCTGCTTTTCAAAGCAGGTGTCAAGGCTGCACTGCCAAATGTTTCTCTCCCTTGCTCACCTGCCGACCAATGCCGAGGCCGCCTGCGTATCAATCACAGGATGTGACGGAATTGATATCCGCTTCGACTGAGGAAGGCTCCGCCTCGTGAACTGAACAACGAGTTACTGTAACGCGCGTCCAAGATACTGGGCACCGGCAGTTTGTGCACCGTGTTTGATTTCCGGAGCTTACATTACACAGTACCCCGTGCACCATACACATCTAAGAGGGCTGACCGCCACCGAGTCATCCGTGTCTCTGCCGACCAACCCATTGACTCCTGCTCCCGTCTGTCCCTTTGAGTCTTCAGCTGCATGTTGGGCCTTCCACGGCAGTTTCTGTGAGACAATACCGACAACGACATCCCCCCAAATCGGCGGCCTGCCTTCGAAGGGTGTCACTGTACTACCGCTCGGGGAATTTCTGCTGTAGCTGTGCGCGCCCGTGGGCGTCGATCATCAGTTGCCCATCACGTTTGCTGAACCCACAAACACGACAAGCACCGCTGCGAATGCTGTTGTGGACATGAAAACATCAGCTCGCCTCTGAGCAATTATATTCATCAGAAACGAGAACACCAGGCTCATCATGCTGATGGCAACCAGCCGTGCCCCCATACTCTTGACGCTGAAAAGCACCAGAATGGACGAGGCTGGTATGACGGCTGACAGCAGCATGCATATGGCGTTCCCAACGTGCACCAAAGTCTCTGGACGGTACTCCCATGTCCGCTCGAACGCCTTTTCTGCCATTGACCGGTGAAGTCTGTAGCCTACGAAGCGATGGTAGAATGGCACAACCTTCTCGCTGAGGAAGTTGGCTAGTGCGTCTTTGCGTCCGATGTGATCGTCCAGAGTCAACATGTCTGCCTCGATGCTCGAGTCGCGGAATATGCCAGCTTCCACGCCATACAAAAACTGATCGCCACCACTCTCTTCGTCATACCATTGCCTGCGAAGCTCGAGGTTCTCTTTCTGGGGTCGATGCAGCGAGTTGATTCTTGCTGTTTGCAACAGTGCTCGATCTACTCCACTATCAGTCAGTCGTTTCAGGCTACGTCTGACACAAGGTCTCCTACGATATTGGTCCAGCAGGGTTCTTGACCGCTCAAAAATTCGACGGATGTCGTCCTCGGACATGTTTTCGGGGCTGTCAATCCAGATCCGGTCGAAGCTGTTCAACTCTGGAATGGCCCTGACTTCATGGATCACCGCCTCCAGATGCTGTAGTTCAGCCTGCATATGCAGGATGTTCTCGACGTTCAGGCTGGCGAATCTCCTGAAGGCCTCGATATTGTGGTTGTTGGCCATCACCGCAGCCAATGCTCCGTAACCGGTCATCTTGGCACTAAGAGCTTTCAGTGGAGGCTTGAATGTGGAAAGTGAGGAGCCAGGGGTCTGTCTTTCGGGGAGGACACGAGCGGATGTCTGCTTATAATGCGGATTCACAGACAACTTGTCCAACGCATTGCCACTCTTAAAGCAGTGGGGCGTAGTGACCTGCACCTGCGTTGCTGCCCAAAGAAAATGGTGGCCTCTCGAAGGCTCTGCTTCAACCGCTTCACCGACGGAAAGCTCCCTGTGGAAGCGTAGGGACGGGCTCTCTCATTCGATCCTTTCCTCCCCAACGCATGACCGCATGGATGCCTGCCTCCTGGTATGGAGAGCGTCGGAAGGTCTCACGGTGCTAGTCCTAGGTGCAAGTTCACCTTGAAGCACGTGCTAACCAGGAGAGCATGCACGTCAGATTCACTCTGGTGTTGAATACCCCTCAGCTATGTCAATTCTGTTGACAGCAGAGACGACGTCCCCTTCTGGAGAACTGGTCTATCTACAACATCCCGAGACAGTGTTTCCATTGGAAACTTTACCTCTCGCAGGTCTGACAAAGTCTCGGACTCCTCAAGACGGCAGGCAAGATGTTGGACTGCAAGTTCCCTTCCCGAAGCGTTCTTGAAATAGTTACTGGCTCTCTTGAGGTTATTAATTTTGGGACTGTGGTGTCACTGTTGCAGAAGACATCCTTTCTGCTGTGATACTGGCCCACGATATTGGGAGGTGTTTCCGAGTCGTCCAAATCTGTTCGCGCTTGAGCGGCAAAGCCAACTATCTATCCACCGGATCCAACATGTCTCAAGCAGCAGGAGGGTAGCGGCCGCAGCGTTGTATAGGAGAGAAGAGTTCTCACGTTGCTGGGAGGAGTTTGTCACATCTGCAGCTCGCCCGAAGGACGGCCCCGTCCTTGTGCGACGACCCTATCCAAGCAGAGATCATACCACAACTAACAAACGTTGAGAGCTTCTTCGTCATATTTATAGCAAAGCCGTCGAATCTGGCTGTTCGACTTACTCACAGCGAAGCATCGTCCTGCTCTGAACTCTTGAGTTCGCCTTGAAGCGTGAGTCCAAGCTGCCGTCCTTTCCCAACGAGCTCAGCGAGGCCCAGCAGAGTTTGAGATGCAGGTAAGAAGAAGCATCCCAAGACTTATCTCCGTCTGTCACTCTGACCTTTTGTAGAGGACAATGGCGACATCTAGTATAAGGAAGGCCTCTATAAGCCATCAGTCTTCTCTGAACTCACGTATCCCGTGTTCGCAGACGAGAACGGCGGGTCCTGCTCATGATGTGCGCCAGCCACCTAGAAACGTCAGTCCAGTTCACAAAGAAAATGGAGCGTCGATCAGACTGCCACAACCTCTCAAACTCGCGTCGACCGGCACAGCAGTCGTGACGGAGGGCAGCAGTATGCGGCTTAACATGTTCGTGTCATTGATGTTCATCCACCTGCGGCCGGATTCGCTCTGCAAGACACCTTCTTCGCCATCGTCCACCACGCCGAGACGAGTACTCTTCGACACTGGAGCGGATTTCAACCTCATCTCACATGGGGCTCATGCCGAGCTCGATTTGAGCAAACAACCATACCACAGTCGGGTACGATCCCTTGGGGGATTCACCGAGCTCAAAAGTGCCGTCGTCCTGCAGTGGCATTTCCGAAGTCAGACCCCCAAATCGAGCCAGCAGCCTCCGACCCTTTATCGTTCCTCATTCTATGTTTTGCCCCCAGAATCTGACGCAAAATTCGACTGCATCCTTGGCCGACCATGGATCGAAGAAAACTGGATTGACTTCATTGCTTTGGTTGAGCTCAACAGAAAAAAGGACACGGACTAAGAGATAAGCGACGGCGTTGGTGGTTTCCAATTGAGGTCTTGGGTGGTTGCATCACTGCCCTCTTGTGACAGCAGGTCATGCTTCTCAAGTGAAAAGTGAAGCCAACCAGAAGGGCTCGGCGCCGGTGCACTCTTATGAAAAGTTTTTGTCTCGAATGTACGACCAAGGATGGGACACAGAGCATACTATGTGGACGGGGGCATTGTTTCTGGGGTTTGCGGCAGTGAAGGCTGTATGACACAATCCGAACATAATCTGGATTCAGACCGAGGACGGCGCACCAAGGACGGCAGTGTTACACAGCCTGGGGTTAGAGGTTCGCAGTCGCTATCACGACGCCAGAACGATAGACGAGGGTAATTTGTACGAAGATGGTCGACTGGACACAGCCGGATGGGATGACAGCGGTTCCGACGATAGAATCTTGGATTTGTACCTCGAACGATCTTGTTCAACCTAGCTGTCCCTGGCTCTGTCTGTGGCGGCTTCTGGATCTCCGCAACAAGTGACAAATTCCTGTCTCGCCGTCCACCCCAGGTGACCAGCGAGCCGGACGGCAACAGAATGTCATCGTTTTCGAGCATGGGGTCGACAAGGATGTACCTTCAAGACAAGGTCCCGTCTACAGGCCATTGCAGATATATGAAGGGGGCAGATCCCTCCAGTACCATCCTGCCAACACATGCGCATTTGAATCTGGGCTTGGGCACACTAGAGTTGTCGCAGCTGCCCATCGGAATTTCAGTTGTTGGCCTGTTCGCCCCGTTTCCGCCTCACTGCGCGGTCGGTGCACGCCTCGTTGAGGAATGGCGACAGGGCACAATCGGCCGATCGCGAATTATCACATGCAAGACAATCCTCGGCTGGACTCTTCATATCGTTCGTGGCGAAGTCGTCGTCCTCAACTCTTCCACCATTCCACCCGAGCCGCCCCAATGGTACCTACTCCCCACCCCTCTTGCTTGCATTGACGCGAGACCTTCACACACTACCCCGGCTATCCTTGTTGACATGTGCGAACAGGCATCGAACACGGCGGTATGCATCTTCGTCATCGCTGACGGGCAGGAGCATCCTGTCAAGCTCTCCAACGCGCTCTACGGGCGTGGCTTGTCCAAGAGCGTCATCTCGAGAAGCAAAGCCACGGCCAGTCACGGATCTATACGGTCGATTCCCCCAACCAAGATCACAGATCACACGGGCACAACCTACAGCTCGACCTCGACGGTGTCTCTGCGGTGGTACTACGACGGCGGCACGCAGACGTTTCCGGAGACGTTCTACATCGCCGATGCGACCACCACCACCACCACCATCACCACCACCACAACGGACATCCCCTGGGACGCCATCCTTTGCAATGCCGCCGAATCACCGTCCTCTGGCTTGGTGCCCCAGGCCAACACGATCTTGCGAGCGCCTGGCGGGGCCGACAGTCAACGCGAGAAAGAGCGCAAGGAACGTGAAGAGGTGAACCGGAAGAAGTACGAGAGGGAACGGCGCGAACAGGCCGATAGGATCAGGGAAGCATTTGCGTCCAAGCAGGCTCGGGCCAAGCATAGCTGATTGCTCGGTGGCCGCCGCGCCCTGCCCAGGAGTCGGACAACGGGGGCACCCAGCGTACCGTACCATTTGACCTCACGGCCCTGTGCATTTAGGGAGCTGGCAGTGGGACCACGCTTGGCTTGTCAGTTTTTGATAACTTGGACAGCCGTTCGGGACTGTTGCTGCTGTCGGGGAAACGGTGATGACTGATATGCTATGACATTATGATCCGTGACTCTAGTTATCTGCCTACCCAGGCACGGTGGGGGGCCCTTGGGCTGTTTGAAGTCTCGTGGCAATCAGAAATGTACCCCTAAGAGTCCTCATGTCTTCACCGATCGACTTGGAGATGAGGAACGGCAATTTATTCTTGTCATGGGAGGGTGTCCACTTCCCGTGATCGCTACCCCGACAGACAAGATGCTGACGTTCGATATTCGTGCGTCACCTCCCCTGATGGCCACTCCGGCAGACTAGTCCCTGACGTTCGATATTCAACGGCGAGCTCTCGACGCATGTTGGCTCCGCTGCACTCCCCGTGGAACAGAGTATCTCTGGCGGATGCAAGGCACAGAAGAAATAGGTTCTGTTGCAGGGTCTTTATATATTATCAAGGGGTTACGAATACATCTCCAATCAATGCCTGGCACGCTCATCTCTCGACATGTCCATGAGTCTCTCTGCTCCTGCCGCCGTTGCGACTTTGCTCACATTATCAATCTCAATCTCCACCAAGACCAACGCCTTCCCAGTGCTTATCGATTTCCGAATCTCTCTCAAGCAAGCCCTCCGTTGACTCGGAGGGTCTGCCCACTGATCCAGCTGGCGCCGTCGCCCACAAGGTACGAGATGGACGCGGCAATCTCTTCGGGCTTGGCGACCCTGTTGGCCGGGTGAAAGCTCGCAATCATGTCCAACACCTTCTGCGGCTTTCCCTCGAGGAACAAGTCCGTCGCCGTGGGGCCCGGCGCGACGGCGTTGACGCGGATGCCCTTCTTGGCGAGGAGATCCTTGGACAGCAGGCGCGTGAGCTGTTCGATGGCGCCCTTGGTGGCGCAGTAGAGCGTGTATGGGCTTGACACGGACGAGGCGTGGCATTGCGTGGTCGAGATCAGCACGATGGAGCTCCCGGGGGCCATGTACGGCAGGGCCTTTTGGACCAAGAAGAACGGCCCCTTGACGTTGAGGTTGAACGTGTAGTCGTAGTCCTCTTCGGAGGTGGACTCGATGTCCTTCATCGGGAGGATGCCCGCGTTGGGGATCAGGATGTCAATCTTGCCGAACTTGTCGACGCTGGCTTTGACCAGCTTCTCCACGCCGCTGACGGAGCTGGCGTCGGCTTGGACCGCGTACGCGTTGTCGGCGCCGACTTGGGAGATGAGCTTCTCGGCCGCGGCGGTGTCGCGACCGTAGTTGATGACCACTTTGGCTCCCAGGCTGACGAGGAGTGTTGCCGTGGCGGCACCGATGCCCTTGGAGCCGCCGGTGATGACGGCGACCTTGCCAGAGAGAGGGCCGCTGCTAGACATGTCGGCTGGTACACTTCTCGTTTCGAGTTGGCTTGAGGGCGATGTAGATGCAAGTGCTGCTGGCTCCTGTGCTGAAGCTGCTTCCTGTTGTGATGGAGTTGCTTTCGGTGGTGACGCTGCTGTCTGTTGTGGTGATGGTGCTTTGGTAGATTTGTGCCTCGAGACGATTGCCTTGAGCTGTTTCATGGAGTTGTTTGTATGCAGATGGAAGAATCTTACTTACCTTGCTACATACCTGGACCTCCTTATATGCTTTCGTCTGCTCGAATGCCCCTTGTCTCAAAGAGCCGTGAGGGTATGATGAAATCTGGATGGCTAAATGTTGTTGCTAAGTCCTTGCGCAAGATCTGAGCAAGCATGCATAGCGACGACCGGGAAGTTACCGGCCATAAGGACTCATCAACACCTTCACTCGACCGACAGTGGTGGCCTTTGGGAAACAGGCGTATACCAGCTACCAAACCTGAACCTTCGCTCAGTCGGCTGTCACTCTCGGAAAACGGAGCAATGGAGTTTAAAGGAAAAAGCCAAGGATCTGCCAAGACGACGATACCGTTTATGGAAGTATCTCGTACCCGCAAACCCCGAATCTCCTGCCGTTGAAACAGCCGATTGAAGCACCACACCAATCGAAGGCGAGTTCGGCGCGGCCGCATTGGCTCGTGGTGCAGCTGCTAACCATCTTCGGCAGCATAGAAGACAGTTAAAGCGTCTGCATCCGCGGCAAAAACACGCTAAGATTGGTTTGTAAGAGCGGCGGAGCGACCATCCAAGGTTGTTCCCGTCGTAACTGCGTCGGGTGTCTATCGGCGACGCTGTTCATTCGCTGCTGGTAGTGATGACGCAATCCTTCGTCAATCAGCTATCGCCGCACTCCGTACCTCCGTTGATACTCGCACCAAGTACTGTATACTCGTACAACGTAGTACCTGTGCGTGGGAACCAGGTACAGCTGGAACATCGGAAGTCTCGGTGATGACTACGCAACACCATCAAGCCCCAAACACCCACCAAATGTTGCCAAATACTTTGCTATGAACATTGAAGCCTGGCTTGTTTGGCTGCACGCTTGAGGGAATATTCGTCTACCATATACCACATCATTGCAGCTCGGCCGAGAGATATCTGATTTTTATCGAGATGGAAGCGATCATGACTCATCCGTCTGCATTCCATGGTGGTACGGTAGCACGAGATACCAAAAGCGAACAAAACAGTATCTTTGTCATAGCACGAACTTTAACAGTCCGGGCGATGAGTGCATCGAAAGCCCTGCGCTCTCGGTTTGTGACTTCGGAGCGACCATTTTCACTATTCACGTTATTTCCAGTCCTCAACTAAGTACTGTATTTATTCTGCTCTTCCATTTCAGGGATCTGAGATCTGGAGCAGTTAGGCCGTTGATCAAAGATCATGCAGCTGTGAAAGGACTGGACAAGTCTGGCCGGTTCACGTGGCAGGCAATCCTCCACGCCCAAGACCACTCATTTTCTCAACACCACACGTTGGATCAGATGTCCCATTCCTGGCGAATTCTCATCATTATTTATGTTCTACTCCAGATCCTTGATATCACACGGCTCGTCACCACGATTCTCGTAGTGTCAGCCCCCCGGGTTCTGTTGGAGCTCGGTCCCCATTGTCAGCGAACGCTTGAATAGTAATCATGTATTTCTTGGAAACACCATAAGCTGCGAGCCTCAGCCAGTCCTAGGTCTTTCTTGTCTCTAAACGTCTAGCCACGTTCCGTGGCTGGTACAGGTTGCGTTTATTCGCCTGCAGTCCGTTTGCAAGGACAACCAGCGATCGTCTCGGACTAAAGCACCACACGTCCGTCGTCAGGTAGTCCGTTGCCCTTTTTTGCGAGGTTGTAGGTTGCGCAACAGAAGGTCCATCATCGACAGATATCGTTGCAGTATCCTGTATCAGCGATGGCATTGATCCGGCCAAGGGATCATAGCTCCCTGGACGTCACCTTGATGGGTCATCCAGAAGCACGGAACGTGGGCGAGCTTTGGGCTGGCAAGACGAACATCAAGGAGCGGCGGAGACTGCAGAACCGGCTGAACAGGCGAGCCTACAGTGAGTTTCCAGTCTAACATTCCGCGCCTCGACCACTTAGGATTTATCATAGGGAAACGCCAGGCCGAACAAAAGCTGGTTCGAAAGCGGACCATGGCTCAAGCAGGCATCGAACCAGAAGCCAGGATGAACCGAATGCTCCGCGTGCCTGGCGTCACGGTTTTCTCTCTTGATGTCAAACATGATCAGACCCAAAAAGGACCAATCTCGCTAACATCTCTCGTCTCCGCCGCCGGCATGTCCTCTGGCGAAGACGCCGCTGTCTTGTCCTCGTCGCCGCAGCGCCATCTCCGACTCCTTCAATCGTGGTGTCGCAAGTTCGAGGAGACGATGCGGCGAGCTGGTCTAATCAGTGTCGAACCCGATCAAGGCAGCCCAACTACCGACTCGGACGCTATCCAGCTCGAAGAAGTGCTCGTCGAGGTCGGACACGTTCGATATCCGGACTTGATACCGAATCCTGAGGATCAGCTTATCAACCTCATGTACTACAATGTGTTCCGGGGCCTGGCCAAGAACATCCGCGCATTGAACCTCGATATACAATCAATGGCATCGTGGAACTACGACTCGCCATTCGTGACTGGGAAAGTGGATGTCTCAACGCTTGCCCCTGATTTCCAGCCAACATACTTACAGCGGACCATATCGCACCATCCGTGCTTCGACGTGTTCCCCGACCCGGTAGTAAGGGATAACGCGATTGTGCATTGGTACATCGAAAAGCATCCATTGGAGGGACGATTGTGCATGGCATTGGCTGGGAGACACACATGGCACGAGATTGACCTAGCTCTGAAATGTGGCTGCATATTGTGGGGCGAGCCGGATGTCGCAGAGAGCTGGGAGGTTACTGAGGGCTTTGCCAGAGACTGGCCTTTCTTGGTGAAAGGAGCTGTCCGACTTGAGGCGGCGACGAACCGCTACAGAGCGTTTCGAGGGGAGCCACCCATTCTCTTCGCTTGACTCTTGGTAATGCAGCCCGAGCAAGATTTGTCACCTTAGCAATGCCAGTCCCCAAGTTTGCGCCACAGATCCGAGACAGAACCACCAAGACGGTCTGAATCGGAGGGAAGGCAGGCATCTCCTACCAGGGTCCGGCAGGGAGGCCAGTGGACCACCGAACAATCAGTAGGTGTGGCAGAAAAGTGACAACTGCCTGCATTCAGTGCAAGCGCGCGAAAATGGCGGCAACAGAGATATATCGGTTGATGTGAACCACCGCGGCAACTGTTGCACTTCTCCTTTCCCGGTCTGTATATCACCTTCACGCCACGAACGCATTGTTGCTACCAATCCGGAGCGCTTGCATGTGAACAGGAAGGAGCTGTCCGACATGTTGTACTCTACTGTGGGGATCCCCAGCGGTGCCTGATTGCATTGTCCCCGTCTGACTTTTTCTGAGTAGTTTTTCGCAGCAGTTCAGATTGCCAGTATCGCCAACGTCGGCGCCCGCGGCCACTCTCATACTCATTCCCACAGAGTCCGCGGGCTCAACCAGGTGTTTGCTCTTGGCGCAAACAACAATCCAGCGGACGTACAAGATGGCACCGGTGCGGGAAGCGATTGGTACACAACCTATTCTGGGAATGGTTCAGCGGCGGCTGGCTGGCCTGTGATGGCACAATGGGTGTCGTTCGAAGATATGTAAGCGAGGCGGCGAACTGTCTCTGCGAGCGTCACTAATGTATTCAAGGTTCAAAGCCAACAAGGGCGTCATGCGCGTTTCCTGTGTCAATCTAGGTTCGGGCAACGGACCTGACGATAGCGAAGAGGAGATTGATCTAGTGCTGAACGCCGTGCAATACGTGTCTTACTTGACCAACGTCGACCACCGCTTTATCCTGGCGATTCTTCTTCAAGAGTCCAAAGGCTGTGTCCGCGTGCGAACAACAAACAACGGTGTTCCAAACCCCGGCTTGATGCAAGCTCACGACGGCGCATTCTCTTGCAACATGAAGGGGAACCTTCAGAATCCATGTCCAGCTTCTCAAATCTTTGGCATGATCTTTGACGGGGTTGGTGGCACTTCTACTGGGGATGGGCTGGCGAAGATATTGAACCAGCTGGCGTCGAGCAGCAATGACGCACAGGCATATTATCGAGCGGCTCGCCAGTACAACACTGGCTCGATTGCGCAGGACGGGGATTTGGATGTGGGTGGACGCTCTACAAACTGCTATGCTAGTGATGTTGCCAACCGCTTGACTGGATGGGTCTGGGCTGAATCGGCCTGCTCTCTGTGAAATGGGCGCAGGCTGCAACGTCCTTGAGGACGGACTTGTTTGACCATAAAGAGGCAATGGTTGAAATCCGAGAGTGTACAGATCGCACTTTGCCCTTGCACTCAGTGACACTTTGGCCAGCGCGCTTAGCCGCCGTATGAGGTTCGGGTCATTTTGCACTGAAGTCATCCAGATTTGGGTTGGAGGAGGATGAGATGCAGGTGAGACAATACAATGTCCTCGAACGATGGCTGGCACCGAGATATCCAGCGAGCGATCAGTAAGGTAATTTCCGTGTCCCCTAAATCATGCTTTCTCAAGGCCCAGCGGTAGGTGAGAGGTGCTGTAGGCGTCAATAGCTGCCTGAGGTGCATGAGGTGTTCAGGCGTGTTCTCTTCCTCTTGGGTAAATTTCGGGCATGCTCCCAACTTCTGCCACCTGTTGTTCATTCAATGCACAACTGCGCTTCGCGTGAAATTACCATGACCCGTCATCCCTACGGAACTTCAAGCGGTCACCTTTTCCTGCGAGTTCCTATGGTAGAAGATTAATATCTACCCTTAAAGGTCAACCTGAGCTTTGTACCAGCAATCTGCCACAATGCTGTCCTCCCTCACGCCGTACTTGTCGAACCCTCGGCAGTCACTGTCGCAAGTTCTCAACTTCGCCCTCGTCTTATCGACAGCTTTCATGCTATGGAAGTCACTGTCAGTTATCGCAGACTCACCTTCTCCGATCGTCGTGGTTCTGAGTGGTTCCATGGAGCCTGCGTTCCAGCGAGGTGATCTACTGTTTCTCTGGAATCGGGACAAGACTGCAGAAGTGGGAGAAATCGTCGTCTATAATGTCAAGGGGAAGGACATTCCAATCGTGCACCGTGTTGTGCGTAGCCATGTGCCCGCCATTCCCGTCGAGGCCGACATAAGGTATACAAGCCGTTCCTAGTCGTTTGCTGAGCACGTAGGCTGACACCACTGCAGTGGAACCCTCGCCCCGGCCTCCCCGAAACTCCTCACAAAAGGTGACAATAACGTCGCCGACGACACTGAGCTCTATGCCCGTGGCCAGAGCTACTTGGATAGGAAAGAAGATATCATCGGCAGTGTCCGCGGATACGTGCCCGCAGTTGGATACGTCACGATCATGCTTAGCGAACATCCGTGGTTGAAGACAGTCATGCTTGGAATCATGGGTCTCATGGTCATCTTGCAAAGAGAATGAAGGATCAGCTGCGGCCACTAATCAAGGCTGGACAACAATCATCTATCCTGGGCGACGTTGGCTGAAGGAATCAGAGCAGCACCGGTGTCGCTCCTCCTTGGGAAGAAACGGTCGAAAGGCATTTGACTCGGCCGGTACCTGAGGTGGCATTCCTCTGTCGGGCCAGACGCACCACGGAGCGCCGGTATGGCCAAGGACTCTCAGAGATACTGTGGTCAGTAAGGCTTCCAACAGGCGGATTTCATCGGATTGCGACCGAGATGACAAAAGTGAGGGACTTGGCCCCATTTTCTGCGATAGCGACGGCCTCGCCTCAATACGAAAGCAGACGAGAGGCTCTTACTGCGTTACATGGCAGTCTCAGGATTGCACGCGGAATCCATTGGTGTCCAGTGCAGTGCTGGTGCTTACAGCTACATATGCACACGCCCGATAGGGCAAAATCCGACAGTTCCCGGTTATATAATGGACAAATAAGCGTGCATTACGCAGCTCCGGGCGGTAGACGGTGACCCCCTCCTGGTGCCAAAACGCCATCCAACGGGCATCGAGGACGGCGCGGGATCCAGAACCTCGACCCCTGTAGCGCCGACAGGCTCAATGGAAAATCTCCAACCGAACCCCTGGTCTTTGGTGCTTTTGCACGGCGTGGGTGGGGATTTCAGCCGCTTTCCCACGTCGTCGTTTCACGCCTTATGGTTCGTTCCAAGAAGCCCAGGCGCGCGGTGCTTCGAGCTGAAAAGATAGCTTGTCTTCCCGTCTCCTGTGTTCACCAAGAAACTCTTCCTCCTCTTCAACGATCTGGAAGTCTTTCTCTGAGAGCACGCATCTTCTCCGACAAGCGCATCACTTCAGCATCGAGGTCCCGACTGAGACGGTGGAGTTTCACCTATCTCTACCACGTTGTCCAGCCTTACGGGACAAAGTTTAGCGCCTGCTCTATCTGGCGCCTCTAGTCTTCGTCGACGCAAGTTGTCGCCGTGGGCAGCCACGAGATACAATATAGCCCGAGTCGTCGCCCATCGATATCGACAAGACAACATTCGCGGGTATTCATCTGATAACGGACAATCGTGTTTGGAGCGCCTCCAGGCTAAACAACTTCAATCACTGCCCACGTCTTTTTATCGACACATCTTGCTCCGATCAGTACTTGACTGCAATTGCTGTAGAGGCCAACAAGTTCAATACACGTGTCAGACATGCTCATCTCAAGTACTGTCCATTTGCCGGTCCCCATGGACCAAAGGTGACCCGCATAAACCATCACATTGTGATACATCCCTGTTTCATGGCGAGCAACATGGACCACGACGGCGACGATCCAAGTCAAAGGTCGCTCCCGGGGCCCGCACTGCCAGACAAAGTCGAACTCCTTACCAGCAAGGGCTCTTCAGGCATAGTAACGACCACGACCACGAGCGCGATCGAACCAGCGACATACTATCGACGACATTCTAGAGGCCATTCTGGGGATGTGCGCTTCCAGTCAGTTGACGAAGACGAAAGCGTGCGAGATGAACCCTTCGAAATCATAGAGCCCCCATCGCCATTGAGGGTTCGCCGGCCAAGCGCCGGAGCATCAGCTGCCACGTCGATGCTGCGGCGTTTGACCACCAAAATCAAGCCTATGTCTCGCGGTGCTTTCCGGTCAACCAAGAGATCGAGGGGCCAGGAGTATGCGACCCTGGAGGATGGTGAGAATGACCATGGCGCAGTTGTGGATCTATCCTCGCTCGAGGGCATGGGGTGGGAGCTTACGGATCTCTCGAATTCTAACATGGGTCGTCTACAGGATGAGGAAACTGAGTATGTCAGCCCAGCCACCACAAGCAGCCGCAAACCGGACTTTCGCTCGTTTGTGGACAAGCGTGCCTCGGTTGGTTACGGGATGAAGAATATAGGTGTCCAGCTCAGACGCGATCCGACAAGGCTGGCACGGAGAGGCACTGGAGATGGTCGGAGTGCTGCGAGCTCCGCATTAGAGCGAAGCAAGACGGTCAAAGATTTCGGCCAAAACCTTGCTCAAGAGAAGAATATGATCGTGGAGGTGGAGGAAGTGGTCGACTTGAGCACTTTTGAAGGCGGACAGCTGGATCACCGGACGAGTCAGAACTTCGAAAGCATGTCGATGAGGCAGAGTGTCATGCCGCAAGAAACCAAGAGTTACTTCTTCCCCGAAGACCCGGACATTCCGAATTGGAAACCCTGGTCGATGCGAAGCTGGTATATCCTCGCTCTGATGGCGCTCGCCGTGGGCTTGGCCGGCTTCCAAGAATTCCTCTGCCAAAAATCATTCAGGAAAGCTCGTGAGAGAAGTGGCATCCTTGAGTTCAACGCTGTGGCAGACATATCGACGTGGGACTTCTTTGCTTGGAAATGTGAGTTGACCACTTTACGGACCAGTCACCCTGCTGAACGACCCTAGATCTCCCGACCATGATTACGATTGTCTACGCCGTCCTGTTCTCCATCATGGACTTTGACATCCGTCGACTCGAGCCGTTTTACCAACTGTCACGACCCCGTGGTGCTTCGGCAGCTGCAAGCATCAACCTCGACCACTTGACCATGTTTCAATATTTCGTCCCCTTCAAGGCTTTCCGACTCCGACAGTGGGCGGTGTTTTTCTCTACGACAGGGAACATCGTCGCATCGATGGTGTCGCCCGCGTTACAAAACCCCTCTGTTCGATTTCTTACCAATCCTGACCCAAAGTGTACCGACCAAGGCTGCCCAGGACCGGACAGCGCAGAGAAGCATTATTGGGTTCGCATTTCTCCGGTCTGGTCTCGACTATTGTCAGCAAGTTATCTGTTTGTAGCGATTGTGCTTGTCATCCTGTTCCTTCAGTTACGCCGCAAGTCCGGTTTACTGAGCGATCCGAAAGGCATCGCCGGGATCGCATCCATGGCCACCAAATCGCACATTCTGCAGGATTTCTCTGGATTGGACACTGCACATTCGGGAAAGATCCATAAACGACTCGCACATCGACGATACGTATTGTACAAGTCCTCCATCTGGCAGGGCGAGTGGAGCGCCACAAGCGAACCGCCACAGGACAGCGAGAGGAAGCTGACGAGTCCACATCCGCTCATGCTTCGGACCGAGGCGGCTCTACCTTTTCTGGCCTTTATGGGATTCTGCCTGATTTCGGTGCCCATCATCACACTGACAAAGGCCCGGGTGGTGCCAAACGCGGTGCCTTGGCTCCCGATTGTGATTGCGACCGCCCTGAAACAGTTCTTCAGCACCTTCGAGTCGGATGTTCGACTCATGGAGCCGTTTTATCAACTTTCAAGAGGCAACGCGAAACCCGAAAACAGCCTGACGCTGGACTACCAGGCCTCCGTGTACGGAATCATGCCGTTCAAAGCTCTCTTCAACAAGCATTATCTGCTGACCCTGGTTGGTGTGGCATCGGTCATGCTGGACATATTGACAGTGACAGTGTCTTCGTTCTCCGTCAACTCGGAGGACTTCATGCACATCGGAAGCCGCGGCGAAGACAGATCGGATGGCGATGAAACCTTCGTCTCGTTCTGGGCGTCACTGATACTGTCCTTGGTCATACTGGTCTATGTCATCTTCACCACATGCCTGGTGTATCTACGGCGACGACATCCGTTCCTGCCTCGTGAACCATCAACCATCGCGGCAGTGCTGGCATTTATATACTCTTCCAACATGCTAACGGACTTTATCGACACCGAAAGGCTGAACAACAAGGCCATGGAGACGAGGCTGAAGAATATCGGCAAGAGGTATGCTCTGGGCTGGTTCAAGGGGAGAGACGGCCAGATTCACTGCGCCATCGATGAGGAGCCCATGCGGAGTAAATATGTTCATGGCAAGCCTTACACCATGGCTCAGGCTGTCCCGCTTGGGTCTCAAGACACGTTTTATGCTGTATAAGGAGTCAGCTTCGGGTTACTGGCTATTGCTTGGGGATATCGTTAGAGTTGGACATACTAAGGGAAAACGGCAGGATTATGTGAATGACTTAGGGACATCAGGACATACAGATTCAAATGTAGATAAGACTCATGAATAGGAGGATTGGCCATCACAGGCGGTCGAGACTGTCGTCATCGGCGATGAGGTGCCTGCTGGTGCCGGCGACCAAATTCCTGGCGAGCTGGGACTCAATGCATCCTGATTTGGAAGTGAGAGCATGTGAATAACCGGGAAGGAGCAATCGAGCGAACGCGGCTTGGGAAGCCACGATTGGCGACGATAATCGATTGGTGGTGAGCGACGCAGGCGGGGCAGATGCTCGCGATCATGGCGGGGATTCGCAGTCGTGATGCGCGACGGGCGCAAGCCAATGACGTAGTGCTCAACTGATGGCAATTGGCATTCTCTGCCTGCTATCATCGCTGAGTGAGTCCTCCCTGGCTTTCTTCCTTCTGACCTCTCCGTCGTCGCTGCTCCAGGCTCATTCCCTTCCAAACATGCCCGCGCCAGGCTATGTCTTCCGCGATGGCGGAGCCACGCCACCGGCCGAAGAGAACCCCGACTCAGAGTTTCGCCAGAGAATCACGAAGGCTACGAACCCAGTCACCGTGGCGGCAACTTCCAATGCTCCGCTGGCTCAGAACACAACCACAAGTCACGAGCTAGCAACAGGCGCCAAGGGCGACCATGAAGTCGCAGGTGCTGTGCAGCGAGCCGGTAAGGAGGATAGAACCAGCAATCTCGGATGGCAAGCCAACGGTGTGGACACAGATACTTTGGTCGGCGGGCTTCCCAACGAGGAGCTGTGGACCCTGATTAGGAGGTTCAACAAGGCAAGCAGCTTCCCTTTCTTCAACGACCGTGTGCTGATTGCGGAGCCAGCAAATGTACCATGTCAAAGCCATACCCGAACAACCTCCAGGGGGGCTGGATCTCAACATCGCAGAAGAGGATGAGTTCTCTCCGGACAAGTTGCGATCCAACATTGAGCGGCTGTATATGACTGTCATTGTCGGATTGATTGCATTCGGGAAACACATTGCCAGACTGAGATCGTGGCGGGAACCTCGCCGAACCGCTTCCTTTGCAGCCGTCTACTTCATCGCATGGCTGTTCAATTTCATCGTGCCGACCCTGGTTACTATGATTATCGTCCTCATCACCGTCCCTAAGTCTCGAGACATCCTCTTCCCCCCTGCACCTCTCGCTCTGGTCAGCCACAAGACAGGCGGTGTCCAGAAACCCAAGGCAGGAGTGTTAGGCAGTCATGATAGTGTCACGGGAGCGCCAGAGAAGCACAAGGGCGAAGCAGTTGAGCAAGAAGCAAGCAACTTGGTCTCTGGGATTGCTTCGGTTGCCATCTCCAGTGCTGCTGGTCGTCACGACCAGTCGAGCCCAGATGAACAAGGTGGTAGCAAAACCCTTGACAAAGGAATGCCTGACCCGACCAAGATAGCCACGGCTACAGCCGATGCCTCTTCGGCAGCCCAAGGCAGTGATGCGGATGCTGTTCAGGACAAGACCAAGCAGCCGATGGAAGAGGCCGTCTGGGGCCAGGTGCGTCCGGTGATGCATGCTCTAGGGGAGATCTCAGATATGTGGGAACGGTTCGCCAACGCTTTGTCGCCTACGCCGCCCTTCTCGCAGAAGAACCGCCTGCAGCTCGGCGCCATCTTCGTGCCCGTCCTTCTGATCTCGCTCGTCACACCCGCTCAGTGGGTCATGAAGGGCTCAACCTTCCTCGTCGGCTTCGGATTCTTCTCGGACCCACTGATCATGCGCGGCATCCACTGGCTGAACGAGAATATCCCGGATTGGCCGAAATACCTCGAGATCCGAAACACCCTACTCCGAGGAGTTCCCACAAACGCTCAACTTACCGTCACGCTGCTGCGCATTGGCGAGGCAAATCGTGCGCCTTTACCGCCGCCACCTAAGTCTCACGAGCCCCCTTCGGACAAGCCGGCCGAAATCGACAAGCACGCCATCACGGAGGGCGGCCTGGACACGTCCCATGCGGAGATTGAAGATGCCATTACTGTCGATGAACCCGGCGGTACTGAAGCTTCTGAACCCCAAGACGCGACAAAGAAGAAGAAGGGCGGATTCGGGGCGAAAATCCTTGGCGCATTCAAGACCACCACGGCTGGAGCAGTCGAAACAAAACTCACCACCGATACGGTGAAGGCGACGCTAGGGTCGAAGCACGCGGCAGAGAAACTGGGCGTCTTGCCCTCGCGGACCGAGTTGAGGAAGAAGCAGAGGGAAGGACCCATTGAGTTCAAAGCGCGATATCACGGCCGCAAGGGCGCCGTCTATGTGGACAGCGCGGTTTCGCCGCCTAGCGGCAAGAGGCCTGCCTCGCCGTGTGTATACTTCACGACGCACCTCGACGGCGACGAAGGAGTGGAAAGCATGCCTCGCGATCCTGACTGGGCAATTTCCGTAGCCGACATCGCCGAAGTCAAGAAGATTGGTGGTTTGGGCTGGAAGGGTAAGATCGTGGTCGGATGGGCGACAGATAGAGAAGTCAAAGACGGGATTGAGATTGTGTCCAAGGATGGGGCAAGGTATCGTGCCATGGCGATGAAGGAGCGGGATGAGTTGTTCAACCGGCTCGTGGCGATGGGGCAGCAGATTTGGGCCAGTTATTAGATGGACGCTTTGGATTTTCACGGCTGTCTAGGTACTTAATTACGTGGGCATTGATATGGGCGCCGACCTCCCACGCCGAAGTGCAGTATTTAACTAGCCCTTGATACGTATTACGGAGTACCCATACCCGCAGGATGCCCACGCAGCCTTGAGCATTGAGAACGACGTCGAAGTTTGCCTCGATCCGCACTCGGTCTCGTCGGCCTCTTTTCCGTGATTTTTCCCAACGCCAACATCGATCCGGATTCTGCAACCTATTCGTCTCTTGACATTCCTAGCCACCCACCAGCGTGCCAGCCCCGCAAACCGACAGCGCATCCAATGAGTAAGTGAAACGATGGTAAGGGAAAGAGAGCGTGATCCTTCCAATGCAAACATCGATCCGCATCTACAGCCTATTCATTCGTCTCTTGACATTCCTAGCCACCCACCGGCGGACCAGCGCCGCAAACCGACGGCAACATCCAATGGGGAAATCGGCACGAAACTGAAGCGGAACGTCCCGTTGCTTGATACAAGAGCTGCACGGGTCGTCGCCAACCCCCCACACCACAACCATGAAGAACGCGCGGCTGATACGAGTAGAAGAAGTCGCAGGGGGCTCTCTGCATGACACCGAGGTCGACGGGCCGCCGCTGCCGCCACCACCGTAGGACATTCAAAGGGAGGGGGCGCCAGCATGGCCGGATCTAGCTCTTGCCTGGATACTGCTGGTGCTGGTGCTGGTGCTGGTGCTGGTGCTGGTGGTGTTGGTGCTCAGCGCGCGGGGGCTAAAACCCTCATTGTCCACCAGGTATTGGGGAGCAGAGTATGAATTACACCGGTGTCGTCAGGGCGATTCAGTCTAGGGAAAGCGTCTCGGCGATGGCTCTGCGCGAGGAACGGGGGGCCAACGTGTCGAGAAAGGGCACGATCGAGACGGTCCGTCGTTTCTTGTCGTTGTGCCGTTGTGCCGTCTTTGTTGGTTTGGTTCGCCGCGTGGGCGGTGGTTTTGGTCTTGGTCTTGTTGGTCTTGTTGGTCTTTATCCTTGACTGTTTAGAGGTTACCAAGGGCCACGACCGGAAAATCAACGTGTCATTCTTGTTGCGCCGATGGTAACGGCGGTGGCTCTCTGTCAGCATCTTGAGAACGACGTTGTTGTTGGCTTTGGCAGCTTTGTGTGGTTCGAGTCTGGACAGAGGCAAAAGAAGCCGAGAGAGATCGAGGGTGGTTGTCAAGAACCGCGTGCGCCCGCGTTCAATAACAAGCATACAAGCGAAAAGGCCCAATAATCCAGCACTAAGTGCTAGGATTCTCGCTCTTTTTGGGCGATCCCCAAAGGGGCTGTGGACCTCTCCTGACAGTGGTGTTGTAGAGAACACAGAATATCCAGAAGAGAGTCAAGCCGCGCCCCGTGGCACACACGTCCACAGACAGCTGTCACAGCGTGCCATCCCTTGGCGTGTGGATGTGGAAAGGTGCAATTGAGCGACTTACTCGGCCACGGCGCTGACACGATCGCCTTGGTTCACTGGAAAAGCGGATCCATGGAAGACGTGCCAGACCCCGCGCGCGCATCGGACCATACCCGAGGCCTAGGCGATCAGTAAGATGTCCATCTCGTATTGATCGTTGAGGAAAGCACGAAAAGCAGAAGCTTGGTTGAGGTAGCGCCTCCGCTACCAAAGGGCATGCTAGGGCCTGAGCAGATCTAATGTACAGGGTGCTGTAACACAAAGACAAGCATTCACCAGACGGTTGGAAGACAGCACATCGCCCACGAAGTAAACAGGGTGTTTCTCTCACAATGATTGCGCAGCGGTCTTCTTTGTCGGCTTCGGTCCTTTGAAAGAGTAAGGACGGGCAAGGGATTGACCTATGCGTATTCCTTTGTCACCTTCTCGCACCATTCGAACAGCTTGCTTGCCTGGCCATCCTCCTTGGTCGCCTCATGCGAGATATCCGCACGCATTGACAACGCTCTGCGTCCCCATGGGATGATGTATCGGCCCTGGTCCTTCTCGAGCGTCAATTCGGGCGCCAGACCGGAGAAGATCTCGGTGTATGCGCCATATATGGCCGGGTATAGGAGGATCTGTAGGAGCCGGGCTGCAATGGTGCCATACTGTTCGGCTGTGTGGCGTTGCAGCTCCGATGCGAGGTTGCCAGGATTATAGCACTATTGATATATGTTAATTCTCCGCCCATGGAATGCTCCAGTACGATACCTGTTCGGCAGCGAGCCAGGGGCAAACAGGCGCAGCGCTTGAACTTACATTGTGCAACACTCCGTCCCTTGGTCCGAACCTCTTTCCGAACTCGGTCGCAAAGAAGTAGTTTGCAGCTTTGCTGACCCCGTATGCCAACTGGTTGTCGCCCTTGTCGTCCAGAGTGTCTTCGCCATCCTTGCCCTTCTTCCACACCAAACCGCCCTTCGGACTTTGCAATTCGACCGCGAGACTTCCCGCCCAGCTGACCCGCACAGTTCCCTGCGGTTCCTGCTCCGCCGTACGTTTGAGGATCGGCAACAGCAGCTTTGTGAAGAGGAAAGGTCCGAGGATATTGGTCTGATAGGTCAGATCCATGCCCTGCGAGCCTTTCGACCCTTTTGGCGGCACCATGACGCCAGCGTTGTTGTCCAGCCAATGGAGCTTGTCTTCTCGAGAGAGGAAGTCTTCGGCGCTGGCTTTGATTGTTGTCAAATCTGACAGGTTGAGGTGCAGGTATTCGAGTTTGCCCTGGGATTTGGGATATTCCTGCTTGATCGCCTCGATAGCGGCCAGTGCCTTGGATTCAGTCCGGGCGGCGACATAGACTTTGGCGTTGTGGCCGTAGAGAATGCTGGCTACGTGGTAGCCGACGCCAGCATTGCTGCCGGTGATCAGGTAGACCTTTCCAGTCTGATCAGGGAGGTTCTTCTCGGTGAGTGGTGGAGCGGGGAGGCCGAAAGACTGACTCCAGAATGCCCGGAGCTTGTAGAACATCGTTGCACGAATCGATGTAGGTGCTGAATGCTAGGAACTCACGCTTGGTGTTTGAACGGCTGAGTGTGCTGTGCAGAAGTCGCGACTTTGACAGGATATTGACAATACTCGACAGTCGAGAGGCGGTGGCGGTAGATATACGAAATGCTGCTCAGCGCGCCGAATCGTCATGATGTCCACAACAGTGTTTCCAGAGTCAGCTGTTAATGCACGCCACGGAGATAGAAATCCAGGCTGACACGAGCCCCATACCTGACACATCCACTGCGCGATGCACCATGTGGAGGATGCTTGTTACAAAGAGGAAAAAGCGATGCTTCAAGCAGATCACGGTTGCGTTAGCACGAGTCGGAGATCAGACAGCCAATCAAGGCGGTCTTGTCAGTATCGTGCATTAGTTCGGAGCTTGTTTTCGACTTGTGGCCAACGCCAGTGGCACCTGAGTGGCTGGCGAGCTCATGCAGCCCCCGGCGATTAGTTTAGCGCTTGCAGGGCCCCACGGTGATTCTCCGTCCGATACTCGTAGTCAGGCTGATGAAGCTGATCATCAGATTGCCCTTTACCATGAGGATACTTGGAAGGCATTTTTCTGGGAACGAAATGCTGCTGCCTGTGTGACAAGAAGCTTCCGCGAGCCACGTCTACAGGTGGGCGCTTCAAGAGCCCACTGCTCGGCTTCAACTGATCCCTCGCTCAGACACGGCTGTAACACGTCCGGGTTCGGCCGAAGCATCCTGCCTCGACGCACACGAAAGCCGACCCAGACAAGGCTTGGTCTTACTGTAGACGCATATGAAGTGTTCCTCAGGTGTTGCGCGGCGACCGTGACAGCCACCGACAGAGTCGGCAGCAGACGTATCAAGCCACTACCAGAGTCTCTCCAATGTCGACCAACCCTATCTCGTCGCCCCATTTCAACCCCGCCTCCTCCGCGGCCATCTTCCAGTGCTTTGCCGGTGTCCGAACGTCCTCATAGTATTGTGAGAGACCTCCACGAACCGTCCCCCAATGCATGCCGATTGATTTCTTGCTCCGCACGTCCTGATGGATCCGGATTGAGTCCCACGAGTTGGCATGTACATTGGACATGAAGTTCCTCGGTGAGCACAATCCAATTGGTAGCAGCGCCAGATCAAACGGTCCCAACAGCTCGCCCACCTGTTTGAACGTCGGGCAGACGGGCCGAGCGTCCTCTTCCTCTCGCGACAGATCGTTGGCGTGGATCGATCGATATGCTGTATCTCCCGCGAAGTAGACGTGTTTGCGTGATCCCTGCAGATCGTGGATGGCGTAGGAGCACCATAGATCATGATCTCGATCCCATATGCTGCGCGATGAGAAGTGCTGGGTCGGGGTACACGTGATTTGGACCTTGCCGACTTTCTCGATCTGCACGTCAACGCCGTCCCACCAGTCGAGCTCCGTGATGGAAGACTGGTCGATACCCAATGCGGTCAGCCAGCGTGAGTTGTGCAGGCCAACCAGGAAATGGACTTTAGACTCTCTCCTGGCCCATATTGTTTTCAGCGACTCCGCATCTGCATGGTCGTAGTGGTTGTGACTGATGACGACGATGTCGACCTCGACGGCATCCAGCAGCTTCGACAAAGTGCAAGGGGTGGGCGTGTATCGCTTGGGCCCGAACCAGGACACGGGGGATGTCCGTTCCGAGAAGACCGGATCACACAGGATATTGATGCCTCGCGTGGCGCCCTCCGGCTTAGATGTCTGCATAAGAAAGCTGGCATGTCCGATCCAAGTCACCTTGAACCCGGGGTCTGTGTTCGAGAAGTCGACCTTCCGGACGGGGACGAGCTCTTCACGGTTGGCAGGAACCGGTGCAAATGCCGGGCGACCACTGCCAAAGCGCACCTTCAAAAGATATGCGATGCTGTGGTGGCCGGGATCGTGCGAAGGCCACGGGTTCCTGAACGCCGTGGGAGGGCTGCCAACATGGTGGTCCTTGGGTGCGTCAGGGAGCAAGCAAGGAAGCCTGTTGATCGAGACCATGGTGGCACTGCAAGTGAAATTCTAGGACCTGGACCAAGTGACCGCTTTAACTATCTAATACTGACAGAGTAATATTTTCCATCGAGCTGAATGCGAACTACTGTTCGATGAATCATCGGGATGATATCGCGCCGCTGCAGCTTGCCACCAACACCAGCCCTCCATTCTCCGCTGAATAACTTCGCCCATGACCGCTACCTGTAGCAGTCCTTGTAGTCAGTTTGACATCTGAGGAACACCGTCCGAACACTAATAGGACACTTCCTCGAACCGACCGACCGACCGACCGACAACCTCAGAATGGTGCCTCCACTCATCACGCTGGAAGAACACTTCTTCTCCACCGCCATGCTCACGGGGTCAATAAGATCCTACTCCGAACAACTGAAGCACCTCCCCGGTTTGTCTGAGAAGCTCGCCGACCTGGGGGACCTGCGCCTACAGTCCATGGAAGCAGGCAAGGTGTCTCTCCAGATCATCTCCCACGCCCCCGGCCCAATGTCCGCAGACCAATGTCGAGCCGCGAACGATCAACTTGCCGAAGCTGTCAAGAGCCATCCGGACCGGTTCGTGGGGTTTGCTGTCCTTCCTGTCTCCGACCCGGCAGCCTGCCCAGGCGAGTTAAGTCGTTGTATCAGAGAACTCGGCTTCGTCGGCGCGTTAATCGACAACCACGCCAGCAAAGACGGCTCCTCGCCCGTCTACTACGATAACGCAGAATACTTCCCCTTGTGGCAAACCGCCCAGGACCTCGACGTGCCAATCTATCTCCACCCCACCTGGCCGACCGACTCGATGCTTGATCTGCTCTACACGGGGCCGGACATCCCGCTCGCGGCCTCGAAATCCATCTCCTCGTCCGGCTTCGGCTGGCACTCGGACGTGGCGACTCACATCCTCCGGCTGTTCGCCGCGGGGCTCTTTGACCGTCTCCCTCATTTGAAGATCATCATCGGCCACATGGGCGAGATGCTCCCCTTCATGCTCGAGCGCATCTACCAGCTCTCGCCGCGGTGGGGCCCCCGACAACGCCCCTTCAACCAAGTCTGGGATGAGAACGTGTGGATCACGACGAGTGGTGACTGGAGCGTCAACCCCATGGCTTGTATTCTGCGTAACACCCGCGTCGAGCATGTGCTGTATAGCGTGGATTACCCGTTCGCGCGGAACGAGGACGGCTTGAAGTTTATGCACGAGCTGGAGGCCAGCGGACTGGTCACGCCCGATCAGTTGGAATTGATTGCCTGTCGCAACGCCGAGAAGCTGTTGGGAGTCAAGCACAAAAGGCGATGGGATTGAGCCAAGAGAGAGAAATGCAACCAACCACTGAGGCTAGATAATGGAAAACTCATGATTCGATGAAAAGGTAAGGGAGCAGGACGCACCTCTGCTACCAGGCTGATGTCAACTGACACTCGCTTGCTCGGGTTACTCCCTGGCCGAGAACACACCAACGCCTAACGACAGTCTCGATAGGAAAAAGAAGACGAAAGCACGACTTTCAGGGTCGTGCCTGGTCAAGTCACGCCCGACTACAAAGCATTACACGTCGCCACTGTATGCTCGATGGATTCTAGATTCGCCCCTGATTTCACTCGAATCAGGATGACAATGCTCGACGGCACGGGCACAAGGTTGCACACTGCCGTCTTCAAGTGCGTATGCAAAGGAGAAATTAGAGGACAAGCAGAGCGTGTCCAACATGGAGAAACTGAATTGAGACACAGCGATGGCTGCTACAGTGCTCACCACGTAATTATTCATACAAGGTACTCCGCAATGTAAAGACAATGGAGTCTAGCGCACCACAGCGAACAACAGCTAGAAAGAGTGGCGGGTTCGAAATGACATGTTTCTTACGCCATAGTGTTGGGGGCAATCACGAGAGGGTGGTAGATGTCTTGTTTCCAAATATCCCAGATCGTACTGTATGTAGCTCAAATGGTGGCTTTCACCCCCTGAGAGACTCAAATACTCGCACAGCTTGTTTGTACCTCACGGTTGTACTCTGTCTCATTATCCGTTACCCGTTCAGCAGCAGAATCACAGGCGAAGCCATCCAACTCCAACGCTGGAAATCAGACACGGCACAATTTCATCTTTCATACATCACCCTTCCGCCTATCGCCGCCGTCCAAGTTTCCTCATCGGCGCTCCTCCACCGCCAAACTCTGCTGGATCCACCGTCCGATACCCGCTCCTCCCACTAGGTTTCCTGGGCGGCCGCCTCTCAGGGGAATGCTCCTCAATGACCTCAACGATATCATCGTCCACGATACTGGGCGGATCGACGTGTTCCTCCACGATGACTGTTTCCTCTTCTCTCACGATCCGTTCCCTTCGTGGAGAGCTCGCTGCGGATATCACGCGGCTCGCACTCCGAGATGTGCGTGAAGCGCTCCGTGAGGGGCGTCGGCGATGCGAATGACGGATGACCTTCTCTTCGACCACTTGGCCGCTGCCACCTCGTAGACGGAACAGCGATAGTATAATGTACAGGATTAGTATAAAGCCGGTGATCGAGCCGACAACGATGCCCACCAGTGCCCCAGGTTGGGGACCGGAGTTCAGGCCTGCGTAGGTGGTTGGGATAGCGAGGATTTGGACCTGGCGCTTAGAGAGCGGGTGGGACGAGATCTCGAGAGAGGGTGAGTGGGGGTCGAGGAAGACGGGTTGGACCAGTTTGCGGCGGGAGGGCGAGGACAGGAGGCCCTGTTTCGTGAATTGGAGGGCCTCGCGAAGGATGAGGGCGAAAAGAGATGCGACGGGTGTTTTCGAAATCATTTTGGTATCTTTGGAGCTTGACAGGGAGGTAATTGCTGAGGATACGGAGCGTGAGAAGTATCGCATGTGCTGGCCGGAAGAGCTGATGCTCCGGGGAGCTATTGCTGGCGCCATAGCGACTCGAGATGGGCGACGTGCCCTCTCGGAAGGACAGAGATTGTTCTAGACAGGAGCCTATTCGGGTTTGCCGAACAGGTGAGTCTTTGCAGGTGCTTTGCTTTTCGCTCTTCTCGCTTCCTTTGCTGCCCAAATGCACGGGTAGCTGTGCTGTCTTCCGAGAGGTGAATGGGTGCGTGGTGCGGGGTCCAGTCGAGGCTCCCCAGAAGGTTTGCTGAGCGAGTAGAACTGACTTCGAACAGAGATAGGAAAGTGCGTGTGACAACGAGCGACGACGAAAGAGAATGAACCAGACGCAGCAGAACACCCAGTGAAAGGCTCTGACAGAATGAGAGGTGAGAGGGAAGTGAGAAAGTGGTGAGAGTGTCCTGAATGACGGTGCTGGCGGTGGTGCGAGTCCAGAAAAGTGCAGATCCCAGCCACCAGTGAGCGTCATGGGCCGGACCGCGGTGCCCCACTAAAAAGCTCCAGGCGGCACCCCGGCACCCAATCGGCTCGCAGTTCACACTTGTAGGCTTGCCACGGCCCTTAAAATGCTGGTGGTTGGAGTTTGACCATTGAAATCTCATTCCTTGCTCACAAATTGACAATTTCGTCACCAACCAGCATAAGCCCAATCTGCTTCATTCAACATGTCTGCTGCGCCGTAGGGAGGGGAGGTGGGCTGACACTCGAGAAATGTGCTCCCACAACATGCCATCTGTCGCGCTGGCACCTGCCGTTCAACAACGTCCCTGCAAGGTCGCGTGGACTAACACGGCTCCCTGCTCAAGGACCACCAATCTACCTGTACAGGAAGCAATCCTACGCCGGCATGTACTCCGTAACCACACAGGATCATCAATGCAGTCCTTAAAAGTCGTCGGGGTCGCCCAAATCCCATTTCCTTGTTGTCAATTTGCGTTGCTTCTTGACAGGGGCGGGCTGTTCGTGGATGTTCAACGCCGACACTCGGGTCGCGCTCGAACTCCTCAATGACAGCTTTCGCGGCGACACATCGCATACATTGAGATCGTCCTCGCTCTTCTTTGCCTTGATCGTCGCGTCACTGTCTCGTGCCGAGGCCCGTAGTGAAGCCAGGAACGGGTTCGTTGCAATGTTGATGTTGGCAGTTTCCTGCAGAACCAGCCCTTTGACGGGCGACTTGGATCCAGCACCTCCTCGGGACTTCTTTGTTGGACTCTTATGCTGCACCTCTTGCTCAAGTGCTCGTAGCTTGGCTCGGAGGCACTCGTTTTCGTGTTCTAGCTGCTCCAGCTGTCCAGTGGCGGTGGCATCCTCGTAAATGGTCAAATTGGCCGTTTTCTCCATAAGCTCGAGTTTGCCGTCCATGAACTCCTCGCTTTTCATCCTCTCTTGCTCCCACGCTGTCCTCCATCTCTCTTTCTCCTCGTCTAGCCGCTCCTCCATCTCTCTCCAGCATTCCTCGCGGATCTCTTGCTCCATCACCTGTGCCTTCTCCGTCGCTGCCTGCAGCTTCAATTCGGCTTCGGTGCGCCTGATTTCTTCCTCGGCGAGCCTGACAACTAGCAGATCGCATTCTTCTGCCAGCCTTGCGGCTTCGTGAGTGGCCTGTTCCAATTCTTTGGCAGCAAAGTAAGGATTGACTGCGTCGTGAGGAGTCGTGCGGCCACTGGGCAACGCTTTGCCTTGACCTCCACCGGCTAATATTGTGCTGGTCACACTGGGTACCCTGGGTACCGTCACCTCTCTTGCCATGGCCGAGTATCGTAGAATCTGGCTTGTTGCATTGAAGTCTCCTTGAGGATCCGCTGTCACGACCATGACGCCCCTCTGTGGTTGTCGATATGCCGAACCGTGGTTAGCAGACGGGAAAGAGTTCGAAAATAATAGCTCTGTAAGTTTGCACTGTCGGAACGGCACAATGGGCTTGCTGCCTTCTTGCTGGCAGTCGTTCATGACTTGCAGACACTGACCCAGATACATCAGGCTTTCGTTGATCTTCCCGGCTTCGGCCAGAGTTGAGCCTGTAGTTTTGGCATTTCGAGCACGCTCAGAGCCTGCGAGATCGCAGATGGTCATAGTCCCACCAGTCCACAAAGATGAATGCGCCATCACGTATCCACTGTACTGTGGCCTGTTTCGCTTCTTGACTTCGACGCAGAAGAAGCCATGGCTTCTGGAGCTCACACTGTTGCTGCCAGTCCCTGCCACTCTTCTTTCCGTCAGGCCGGTTTCGAGGACCATCATGGCTTCATCATAGCTCCCACACACAATTTTGCGAAGACCGGCCACGACTTTGACATCCGGAGACATCTCGGTATTTTTGAACAACAGTGGGCGACGCATCAATCCTTTCTGTAACGCTGCTCCTTGTCTGGTTGCTGTCATGGGGGCATTCGGCGACGAAGGGTTCGAGAGGAGGTCAAAGATACGGTCGTTATACACCTCGTACATTGAGACGAGAACCACATATTCGGCTTGCTGATCGATGTCGGCGGCAAACGATGTTACATCAGGTTGTTGTGGGAACGTTGACGGTCGAGGTAGGGGTGGTCTTCGGGTAGAATGACCAATCGATTCCTTAACAAGCATGAGTTTAGCAGGCGACATTTTCAAATTTCTTAAGCGGCTCATGAGAGGGAGTTTGGATGGAGGCTGCCATGGCTCCTTCTCGAACGAAGGGTCTTGCCCGGCCACACAAGACAGTATCCGTACGGTAGACGGATTACTGCCCGCGAAGTGATTCGAGACCAATGTCACCGAAGGACGTGCCGTCCTACTTGAAGGGGAAACGGGAAATGAGCCGGGAAGTTCGTGGGTCCTATTGCCTACCATGGGGGTTTGGGCTCTTGACATAGGCGTCTGAGCTCGAGACAATCTCGCTCGATCGCCATCTCCGTACATCGATTCGAGGAAGGTCGTGGCGGACAAGATCTGGGCTTCTGAGGGATCAGATGCCTGAAGAGAGGACAGAAGGGCAGTATCCGTAGGCAGGTCTGGATGGTGAGGCCGTCGAATGTGCTCTCCAATCGATCTGAAGAGGACATCAAGTGTCATCTGCGTCAGTCCTCGTTCGGACTTTGATCCGAGGATTGTATGGCTCTGTCTCGCTCGTCAGCCACTGCTGGAGGCACATTTGGTGGCATATACCTTTCCGCTCCCCGTGACCCCCAACGTCGCGACTAGACCATCTCTTCCCGTCTGAAGCAAGCTCTTTATTGTGTCTGCTGCACCAGTCTCATCGAATATGTCGAGCTGTCTAGCCTCCTCCCGAAATATCTTCGTAAATCCAAATCTTTCGATCGCTCGCTTTCTCGAATCATTTGGGGGCTGCAGAGTAATATGCGTGGAAAAAGACCCCGTTTTGGCATCGGTGTGCTCAATCGGCGAGCTCGGGGGTTCGACAATGAGCCATGGTTCTGTCGCTTGCCGGGGTAAAGCTGGCTGAATCGGAGGCCTCAAGCGAAGGTAGACTTGGAATAGCGAAGTCTGCGGCGCCATCTTGTTGGAGTTATCCATGGTATAAAGGCAGGAGGATTCCAGCCCAAGATAATTGAGTTTTGGAGAGGTCAACTTAACGGTCAACGCAAGGCTGGCAGTGCTGTGGAATAAAGTTGGAAGTGAATCCAATTCTCTCGGGGTTTCGTGGTCTTTGTTGTTGGCAGCCTAAAACGGGAAGGGCGAGCTGCGATTGTTGCTACAGCAGCGGGAGCAGCACCCGCTCCGTTACGGCCACGCATATCCGACTTAGGCGCATTTACCTGACGAGGCGTGCGAGGCACCGAGGCCGAAGTGATCTTTCACTTCACATTCATCGTTGACGAAGTGTCATTAGTGTTCGTTAGGCGCTACGCGTATCGCTATACATGTGAGTATTCACATACAATAAATCTTGACAGAACGAAGGCAGATCACCCTACCCCGCGTGCCAACCTTCTGACAGTACCATTTCTATGCGATTTCTTGCGCGAGTTAGCTGCTGCATCGAGTACTTCGGGTCTGGAATGCTTCTGGGGCTGGAGAGGCAATCAGACAAAGAGGTACGGAGTATCGAGGCACAGGTGCAAAGTGGATGGCAAAAAACTGCGATGCTTGGTCACCAGTCAGTGCCACGGGTGCTACCGTGGACGATGATTGCGTCAGCCAAGGCCCGACTCGGACCCAAAAGAGCCGAAACCACAGCGAGTGACAAAGAAAGCTGTCAGCGGCTTGGAGGTTCGCACTGCCCCGCCTCCACAATAGGTGCCACCACAGGCGCAGATAGTAGCCGGTTACTGCGAGTTCATGCGTCTGATCTGCACGGTGGACGACTCGGCTCGCTCTTGGGCTCAGCGACGGCTGACCACGAGTCACCCCAGCAAATAGGATGAGCGAAGGCCGAAGCGCGAATATGACTAACCTTGTATCTCGTATTCCCAAACCTTCATTGCATCCGTGAATGGTAAACAGCTGACTTACATAATGCACTGAAGTACTCGGAGGAAGTCAATCCTGAAACGACAGCGATTTCCATGGGCTCTCCTTGAGCTGCTCATCTATATAACGTGGGCCGCCGCAGACCGGACCAGGAACCAGCACATCACCCCGACACACGTGCATAACACTTCACTTCACTAAAGCTGACTGAGAATTTCTCATTTCTATCTCATTTCTATCTCAAAGCCAACCCTCTCAGATCTCCCCCATCGTGGCACTCAGGAATATCTCCAAAATGTCTCAAAAGATCATCACTGTGTTCGGCGCGACAGGAAACCAAGGTGGGAGCACAGCCAGTGCGATTTTCAACAACTCCAACTTGGCTTCCAAGTACAAAGTCCGCGCCATCACTCGTGACCCCTCCAAGCCAGCGGCACAGGCTCTTGCAGCAAAGGGAGCAGAGCTTGCCCAAGCCGACATCAACGACGTTGAGAGCGTCAAGGCTGCTGTGGCAGGTGCCTACGGTGTTTTCGCGGTCACCAATTACTGGGAAACCCAGGACAAGAATGCCGAAATCAAGCAAGGGAAGAATGTCGTCGACGCGTGCAAGGCAGAGGGTGTGAAGCACCTCATCTGGTCAACATTACCCCACCCGGGCAAGTTAACCAATGGCGAGCTAAGCAAGATTGAGCACTTCGAGTCGAAGGCTGAGGTGGCCGAGTACGCCGAGCAGGTCAAGGGCGAGATGCTCGTGTCGTACTTTATGCCTGGCTACTTCATGTCGAACTTGACGAAACAATTCAAACCGGCCGACTCCGGGGTTCCCACGTTGAGTTTGCCCTGGAATCCCCAGACTACGTGGGTGCCTATGCTCGACATTCAAAAGGATACGGGGTTGTTTACCATGGGACTACTCGAGGCTGGGTCAGCTGCGAACGGTGTCTACGTCCAAGGTGTCAGCGAATGGCTTCACCCACAAGAATTTGTTGATCAACTCGCGACGATCAAGGGTAAGGAGATCAAATTCGAGGAGGTGCCAGCTAGTGTTGAGTCGATCGCCAAGATCGGCAACAAGGTCGCAGAGGAAATCCAGGAGAACATGCTCCTCATCCGAGACTGGAGCTACTATGGCAAGGGCGCTGAGAAGAATCAGGCCGAGAGCGACAAGTACCTGCTTCCAGGCTCGAAGAAGGTCACATGGAAGGAGTTCGCTGAGAGTAACCAGTGGCCATTCTAGACGAAGACACAGCCATACATAAGCAAGACGCAATCCCCCAAGCAGCTGCAACTATCAGAAAGTGCGCTCTGCACAGCGTGTCGTGGGTGTGTAGTAGCTTAATAAACCTCAGTTTCGAAAGCATAGAATGATATTAAGCACAGCTCAATCACCACATTGCCATTTCGCATAGTTTGTGCTTATCGCTCCCACCCCTTGTGCCTTGTTCAGTCGCCAAGGGTACAATCTTTTCAACTCTGCTCATCGTGACTTGACTGGGGTGCCCCAATGCTCGATCGACTTCCTCTCATGCACCTTGTAAATTCCATGATCCGGAACTCCACGCGCTGGCCTCTGTATATGTTTTGGGCTTAGAATACTCCGTACTTCGTACTGCGTATGTGTACGGAGTACTAGAAATGAATGGGATCGTGGCCTTCGCGAGAGATGCTCGAGGCACGCCTGCCATCTGCGCTTCCCGCCACTTCATTTGTCACCATCCACTAAACCGACGTCAACGAATCACAGTCCGCGGCTGGCCGGCATCGGATCCTATTGGTTGCTCACAAGCCAGCACCATCTCGCTTAGTTGGGCAACTCAAGCCAGCGCAGCCAGAAACGAGCTGATGCATTCATGGGGTTGGCTGCTAACAGATCATTCAATTTGAGCTCTTCCTGCCCCCTTCTGCGCTCTCTAAAAGGAAGCTTCTTGCACCCAAGATGTCAAACGTCCGGAGCTCAATCCGCCCTGGGGACGGGCTTGTCCTTTCTAGCCGCATCACAGAAAGCTTGTGCCTCAGTCCAACGGCCCATTATGGACCCCAGTGCCCACGAGACAGTAGATGACAGAGGGGAAGCCATTCATGCATCGGCATCAACACCACCACAACCTCAAACAACGCCTGCAGGGACGCATGACGGTGTACCGCAACCTTCTCAGCAGCAGTCGGATACGCATGCAGCACATCGAACAACCCAGACTGCGCCCCAGTCAGTTGAGCCTACCTTCTTCGGACAAATCGCAGGGACAGGTGAGCCCAGGCCACAAGCACTGCTCCCTTGGTCGATCCATAATGACAACTTGCAGATGGCCCCTATCAGTATGAGTCGTTGCGTTTACGCGTAACCAGGGCATACCAGACTCATACGTACCAGTATTGGTTTGTGGCCATGCTGTCGAATTCACTGCTCTTTCTCCAGATCGTCATTGCGGCCAGTCTTACTGTGTTGGGTGCATTCAACGATCGCAGAGCTCGGACTGCCACAATCTTCCTTGGTGCTTCCAACACAGTAATCGCAGGTCTCTTGACCTACTTCAAGAGCCGTAATCAACCCAACCGGGCCAGACAATTCCGCAATGATCTCGCCGCAGTTGTCGACCAGCTCGACGATACCGAGGCGAATTTCAGGAACCCTACCTGGCAGGGTGATGAGTCTGCAGAGTTGCAGAAGATCAGAGACGCCTATAAGCAGGCCCGACTCGACGCTCAAGCGAACTACCCCGACCTCTGGGTGAAGGGGACAAGTCCGTATAATCCTAATTATACGCCGCCAATCGAGACGGATCCAATAAGAGGTGTCTCGGGACTCCCATCGCAACTGCATCGTCATCGTGTGCAGAACTGGTCACCACCCGGGCCCTCAGTTCCACACCGGTCGAGAACAGGATGAGGCTTCTCGATGGAGGTGTGGAGACTGGAGGTTGCTTCCCTTGCTGCGGACCGGAACGAACTGCACAAGACCATACTGGAGTGGATCTGAGATGTATTATCACATGTATCCTACTCCCCTCCAGCTATCCACTCCGAAACGCGTTCTGCCGTCGCGTACACCACGGACTGTGGATGGCACGAGATGGCAATTGAGAAGACGTTTGCATCAACAACTCTCAACACCTTCACTCCGAAGACGCGACAATGACTGTCCACGACTCTTCCCATCAAGCAACTCCCCATCGGGTGATCCAAACTGAAACCGAAGTCCGCAATACGCCGATCAAGTTCTTCATCGGTCGCGTCCGCCACCGGATCATGGCCTTCTGGTGGGACCTCATGTGAAACGAACGACTTCGAGCCTCGGTGTCCAGATGCACAGACGCTGCTTTCCTGAGCGCTTTCCGTAATATATATCGATCCACCTCCGTGTCGAAGAGGTTCACATCAACTACCAGTGGATCCTGGACCCTCGCCGACTGCAGTGTGATTGTGTGCCTCGAGACGTGGTAGTCAACCCCCCAGCCAAAGTGCTGATATAGCTGCCATCCAAAGGGGCATCCCGGCCCGTGTACCGCTTTTCCATTGCGACGTAGAGGGTGACGATTTCCACATGTGAAGCGTTTGGTCTGAGCAACAAGTTGTTACCCTCCTGGCTTTCGGCCAAAGAGCCGAGCTTTTCCAGACTATCCAGTTCGTCAAACACGATGAAGTCCAGCGGCCACCCACCGAAATATGTTGGGTCAGTAAACAAGGGTGATCCGATGGCCAGTCCCTTCTCGGGATGTTTCAGTTTCCAGGTTATGCAAATAAGAAGGTGGTCCCTGAGTTTCTTCTCGACTTCTGGATATACGGAGATCTTCTTGATGCCGTGTTTCTCGAGCTTACCCGATCGCCTATGCCCGACAGCTTCAAGATTTGCGGTGAATGGAACAGCCCAGCCGACAGGATAACCTCCTTTCTAGCCACGAAATGCTCACCACTGGCCAAATCCACACCATTCGCCAGAGGCTGTTCATCTCCTTGCTCGAAAGTAACACGCTGCATCACGCTCTCTGGCCGCACCTCCACCCTGGTCAGATCCAGGAAATTCCCCGGCAACTGTCTTATACCGTCCACCTACACCTCCGCGGACCCTGTCAACCCATTCTGCTCTTTGCCATTTCCATCAATGAGATACTTGACACCCGCCTCCTCCCACATGTTCTGCACCGCCTCTCTCAGCGGGTACTTTCTTCCAGGCCAGAGGCTCCTAACAGGGACGATCTTGAGCGGACCATTATAGCCATGCTGGCTTTTATCCCTATTCACAACATTCTCAGCACTTACAACCATGCTCTCTACCATCTTCATAAACGGCAACAGAGCATTATAGCTCCAGGCTTCATCCCCCACAATCCTAGCCCACAAGTCGAAATCACTCCTGGAGCCATTTCGTCCATGCGCCACCGTTAATAGCAGCACTGCCGCCGAGGCCTTTCCCCATAGGGACCGTCGCACTCCTACCACCCAGGTTCCTATTAGGCGCAACGGTCAGTTGATAGCTCTGCCGCAACTCTCTTGCCAAATGCGAGGTCTGCGATGAGAGGATGTGTTCTGAGTCCACAGTCGCTGGATCGACACTGGGCTCGAGGACGAGGACTTGTTTCGTGTCGGAAGGCGGCAGGAGTCTCGAGAGCCTCGACGCCAGGGCCAAGCCGCAAATTCCGCCGCCTACAAGGATATAGTCGTAAATGTTGGAGGCAGACGACGGCGAACCCATGATGTACTCGGACGAGTTGCGATCAATCTGCAAACAGACCGGGAACTGTCTTTTCGCTCAACAGAAGAATTGTTTCGAGAGGCGGGAATCGGGCTCAGAAGCCCCATGTCTACATCCTCCGTATGTATGAGGTACTCTTTGTGAGTCGCCGGACCACCTGCCTGCGTGCTCTGCGTGTGTGCTTAGACCCTATCCTATTTTACAACCTGCTTGCACTCACGCAACGCACACACGCACACCATGCGATCTAGCGGTTGACCGCCGCCTGTACTATGTAATCATGCGGGTCGTAGAGGAGCCTGGCCCGAGCGGACATGCAATGCTCACCTCTGATGCCCACTCGAAGCCTTCTGTCCACTCTCCAGGCTGTTTGTATATCTAGGGCTCAAAACTCCGTGTCGTAAGACCAAGGATGCACGATCACTTACGGAGTACTTGTACCACAGTAGATACCTGCTTACTCCGTACTTAAATTTCACTCCACATTCCCAGACCCCCAGCAATCAGCGAGCAGGCAGCGAGAAGAGGAAAGGCCGCCGTTCAGACTGTTGAAAACCCCCGATTCAGTAGCGGGATACTGTACGGAGTACTTTTTTGGAGTCCTATCCGAAGGGGATGCGAATTGCGGGATGCCTGTACGGAGTACGAGGTACGGAGTATTGCTGAACGGGTCCGTGTGCAAATTGTCTTGGCTAATGAGGTGACCGGCTCGGAAAAGTCCTCCGTACTCCGTACTTTTGGGGTGATTTGATGCGGCTACTCACTAATAGGTTGTTGGCCGTTCTCAGTGCTGGATGCGGTTGGGTGGTTGCAGGTAGGGTCAGAGTGAGGATCAGGGGCCCGGAGCACATGAACTCGAATCGGAGGTGGGATAGGTACTCCGTATATATCGAAGGCACCACCCATAGAGTCCGGTGGGACGATACTATTAGGCGGCGGCTTCGTGCTGAGAAAAATGCGCATCGACTAGTTACTAGAGGACTGTACCCAGGTACTCCGTACGGGCTGGCTCTTTACATACACCGCTTGGGACGCGCAACTCACACGCTGTCTTCATAGGTCTACCTGTGGTACCGGGTATTGTAGAAAGCAAAACGGTAGTCGTCAGACGGGGCACTTCACTCCCGGACTGTGGATAATTAGACCAGAGCGCTGATCTGGTTGCATGGTTCCGCGGTGGGTTTGACGAAGTGACAAAATTTGCATCCGCAAAAGTTCCGCCGCGTGGTATCATTATCATACAGAATGTAACCAACTATATAGTTGACCGGGCGTCCCCAACTCCTATGTACACAACTCGCTACTGGGTCGAAGTCGAGACCGACAGCAACGGCCATCCTGTGGCGCAAATCCAAGGACGTCAATTTCGCGTGTGATGTGGCGAAAAATGCGCCGGCGCTCAAAGGAGAAAGGAAAACGTTCGTTCAGCCGCATTGACAGCAGCCTTGCTTGTTGGTCCAGAAATTCAGGCAGCTGAGAGATGTCGGTCAGCAATGCGAAGGGAGCACAGAGAGACGAGCTATGTACGGCTCGAGAGTCACTTACCCGCCACCTGTTGCCTCGAAAAGCAGACATCCGTCTCTGGACTTGTAGCTCATGCTGCACAACAAAAATGTTAGTCATTTGAGGATGGCCTTGGTAGAAGGGTGTCTTGTTGGAAGACTGGTATTGCCCATCTATCCTTTGGACCTTGTTGACGGGGCGGGCTCGGTGACGGGACAGACGGACGTACCATCCACTGGTGTTATCGCCGTAATTCAGACAGCCTTCTGCATTCTTTCCGACGACCATACACCCTGATGCGCCTTCGCCGAATGTCATACAGCCTTCCTCGACCTTTGTCTTGCGGTCTCGGTCGTCCGCTTCCCGTGAGGGCTGCTGCTGCTGCTCCCCTGGTTCCGACTGCGGTAGGGTCGTCGTCTGCTGACTCTGTCGCTGGGGCGGCGTTGCTTCTGGTGCTTGTAACGGGTCAAGGCTATGTGCGGAGGACGACCGCGAGGATGCGTCATAAGGCGGTGGAGGGTCCATGCGTGGAAACGCGTTTGGCGCGCGTCGACTGGGCGGAGAGGTGGGACTTCTGAGCTTGCCCATTGTTTGGTGGTCGCTGTGAAGGGAGGCGTTCGAGGACTCTGTCTGCCTAGATGGTGGAAGACCAGACGTCTTCGTAAGTCGAGTCTGTCCGTCTGTCAGTGTGCCGCAGGTGCTCACGATATACTGCTAATCTGAGGTTATATCGCGGAATGAAATCATAGACAGTACAGCGACTTTATAACTCATGCAATGCACCCCTACTGTAGCGTGGCAGATGGTCGAACGATGGAGCTGAATGATGGACTGCTGCCAGCGCCTGGAACCTCGCGTCATTGGCGGATGCTCCGAATACGACACAGCAATTGGCTTGTTTGACGTCTGCCTGAGGATTGGAGAAACCCGCACGGTCGGCACTAAATGAGGCTGGACGATTGTGGCTGAACCGATGAGCTCGACCATTCGCTGCATCTCATCAGTTATTGTGCAGCCTGAACGAGGTCGTGGAAAGATCCAAAACTTGGAAATCGCGATGAGATGCACATTGATCAGGCGAAAGGCGAGGTAGCTGTGCTTGATTGCTTGCTGTAAGGGCAAGCACGTGGGTGAAGAGGGTTGGTCACACGCTGTTTTCTCACGCTGCACGAGCTTGTCAAGTTGGAACTCCCGGGCACAAATGCTGTTGGAACAAGGTGAGAAGGGATTCTAGAAACAAATTCCCTGCTGCGAGTCGAAGAATATACGGAGTACGGAGTTCATGCACTGCGAATTGTTATGATGAAGAACAGACAAACACCTTCCGCTGACCCGTCTCCCAGTGCGCAAGAATAAGAGTAAATATAGCATATGACGCGATCGGAGGCCGTGCCACACGAGATTCACTATAGGCCAGGTTTAAGCTGAGCGACTTCAGTCTTCAGACGGACATCACACGCATCAGCACGCATGCTTATGTATGTACCACGATACCGATGGCGGAGTACGGAGTACTTCCACACATCATGCCACAAGACAAGTGCTACTGGGTACACACGGTATCGTCAGGTGATTGCAAGGAGAAGGGTCACTTATCGATAGAGCAATTTCGACGCCGTGTTCTAGCAGGGCGCACGGGCCAGGGGGAAAAGACGCTTCGCGCGTGGCAATTGGGCGACGGGGCTCTGGCCACCGGGGCGTGATTTGGGCCTTGCTGTTAAACTTGCCGTTGGAGGCTCGGCGTGGTTGCCCCTGATGCTTGTTGGGTGTTGGATGATGGGTGGGCACAGCCGAGAAGCGCAGGTTTGACAGTGACAGCCCGGCTTGAAAACAGCGCCCGTCCCCTCCAACAGCATCTCCTCTCCACCAACCGCTCAGCTGTTACTGTCCCCTCGACACCGTTTGTACCGAGTTGCATCGGCGACATCCACACTCGTTTTGATTCTTTCTCACCGACGCTTTTCTCATCCTCGATTGAGTCCGCGATCCATCTCTTCGCCGTATTCAGACGCGCAGACAAGGGATTCTGACCTCGGGAGTTGCCACATCTCTGAGGTTCCGGCTGGGCCTGGGTCACAACAATGGGCCTCAACAATCACTACCGTTCAGTTTCGACGAACGATGAAGCCTTTCCGCTCGCCGAGAAAGGCCTAAAGAGAGCCGGCTGGGGCAAGCAGTCCGTTTTCCTGTCCATTGCGACGGGTACCCTGTTCATCGCCATTGTGGCCGCCGTCCTCTCCATGATCTCCTCCGTCTTCGTTTCTCACGACACCTCCTCCCAAGCAGTCGCCAGCTCGACCGCCAGTGCCGCCGCCGTTGTCGCGAGCACGGCTCTTACCTCAGCGACCCCCATTGCGACTCCTATCGTCGACGACGAATCATTGAAGACCGTCGAGGACTCCCAAACATCCGAGGCTCCAATCCAGGACTGCGGAAATACCCCCGATCAAGCAAGAGCAAATGGCTGCATCTTTGATGTGATGATGCAACTCTGGACTCCTGCCGCCTGTTTCGACGAGGTTTTGTCAAATCGATTCCTCGAAGTCGGCAACTGGACCTGGTATGCTGATCCCGGCGCCACTCGTATTTACACGCTGGAGGAAATGAGAAAGGGCGAACATGACGCGGTCTACGTTGCGCAGGACTATCACGTCACCCACTGCATTTACGCGTGGGAAAAGCTGGTCCGTGCCATGAGAAACCAGGAACCTCTCATCACCGAACTCATCTCCTACGACCATGTCATCCACTGCCGGCACAAGACTCTCCAAAGACAAGACGGAGGCGCCTCAATTCGTGGCGTCCGCGCACCAACCGGGTGGACACAATGTGCCCCGTACGACACATGGAAGAACCACCTGCCTCCCAACGAGCACTCTTCAGTTGACTAAAGAATCGGAGCGTTCCCTCCCTGCGCGTTGTGAGGAGTTGGGAGTTGGGCAACTGAGCAGGAGTATCTGTTTTACCAATGATAGCAGGAAGTTCTCAGATCTTAATAAATGAAGACAACGGCCTTTTTGGGCTCCTGAAAAGGTGGCGCAGTGCGAAGACAACCTGTCAGCGGGCGGCGGTTTACCAGAGCACCTTGAACCGGTGGTTCTATCCCTGCGACTTCGCTTCTATTCCTACCACCTAGCAATGGGTTCCACCGATACCGACAAGCGAGGAAAAACTCTCATGCGAAGCAGAGCAAGGGAAAGAGATCAAGACTCGATGGTCGCTGGAGCTGGGGAGGCCGACATGCGGACACAAGAAAACAGAGTCGCGCGAAGTCTTGGTTAGTTGACGAGACCGGAACCCAAGCAATCTCTCGCAGTTTTGTCGATAGAACTCCGTACACTGAATGGTATATGTCACAAGTTCTCCCTCGGACGATATATCGTACGTGAGCAGCTTCAAGCCCCTTGCACAACCATTGCTTCCTTGTCACAGCGAGCGTCCCAGTAGATAGCGAAGACCGTGTCCCTTTTATACCAGCTCTACTTGGCTCTGCACGCAACTACGACCGTGTTTTCAGATGTTGCCCAATTACTCTCCTTCACAGTCTTTCGCTTTTCTGTCAACCATGTCCTGCAGCCAACAACCTCTTCCGTGTCAAACACAGCCCAGCATCAACTGGACAAGAACAGACGAGCTGCTTGACGTGACGAGTTGCCCGTCCGACGATCCGACTGCCTACCACCTTTCAAAGCCCGCACATATATGTATATCATTGATATCAACGTCTTAGGGATGAGGTAATGTCCTACATTGCACTGATGGGTTGGGTACGTAGTGAGTGCGGCGGTCACAAAGGGTGTGTCGTTTCATTCGGACACTCATTTTCCGGGGAATTCCAATGGTGTTGGTGGTCACTTTGTAGAGTGTCCCTGCGAGCAACCCATCACATTGAATGTGGTTCCATGGGATTGGGGCAGTCGCATACATTCCGGGCGATGCTACTGCTGCTCCTGCTGCTGCCGCTGCTACTGCTGCCGCTGCCGCCGCTGCTCGATGATGTCCGTTTCCGAGCAAGTCTGAAACCGAGTTCATGTGAGTGTACCGAGTACCTCTCAGGCCCTTCCAAACCATCCCTGCCCTTATGGATCCTTTGCCTGCCGCTCTCTCTGAAGACAACGGGACGCGACGGTACTACTATCGGTCCTTGTGCCTACAGTATTGTGCGTGTTACCATGTCCCGTTTTGCCACACTTGGGTAGCGTCGCAGTAGCAGTTACTAATTTAAATGCCCACCCGCCCGTGCCAACGAGCAGCCACCGTCTACCGAGTACGCTCATGATGGCCCGAGACAGGCAGTCAGACCTGCTCCCGGCGACATCACCGTGGCGGGCATTTCGTGGGCACGGCCTCGCCTTAACTGTGTGCCAGTCCTCGCTTTACCCGTCTTCGCGCCGAAAGTGGGCGTCACATTGGCCGCAACTAGCTCATCATCCCCTCTAGGGTATGTACAGTCTCAGCTCGTCGGACTCGTGTCCGCATGCATGTGCAAGGTCAGGAAGGGACCAGGAGGATTGTCAACCCTGGATCGACTCGACTCGACTCGACTAGGAACTTCGGCGGCAGCAACTCAGGCTCCTCATATCTATATATACAAGCCGAATGTCCAGTCCAGCTTTGTCGAACCAGACGCTTGCGGGAGATGGTGCCTCCTCCCCTTTTTTGTCTCGAGAGACTCAACGCGGAGGACGAATATTGCGCAGTGCGGGAACCCGTCAATCCCCTTCCCTTATTCAAATTAGACGAAATCGACGAGGTTCAATATGCATCAGAGACGTGAATCACCGGTCTACTCTCCCATGCTCCAGATCCTCCTTTCTTCTAGTAGCATGGCATGATAATTATTTCAGCCTCGCCCAGCATTTTCAGATCATATCCAAGATCCACGAGCTCTGTCCACCCGCGCCGTTCAGGCTCACTCCTGCCATGTTCCTGCTCAACGCCTCAGCCGGCTTCTGTCCTATCCAAACAGCTTCACTTCGATCCAAACCTTCTTGAATATCCCAACACTCGGACCCGGCAGCATAGATGACACGCCCGTGCAGATACTTCTCCCTCATACCCCTTTCATGGCCTTTCTCGTACCAGATGCCTCCTCCGTTTGTGATCCCACCTCCGTCTGAACTATCATGCCCGATCATATCCGGTGTGGTAGAGTTCGTTGCAACCACTCCCACCACGACGCGAGCCACATCCTCTGGTCTGTCGGGCGGCAGTTGTACAGACATGCTCCGGCCTCCGGCTTGCGCAACGGCCCGCGGAATCATCACATTGGTGACGACCGCGTTGATTCGGACGCCATCTCGCTCCGGATCGGGATCGAACCCCGTCCGCAGGCTACGGACTAGCCCTAGTATCGAATGCTGCGTCATTTGATAAATCGGCAGTTGCGGAGTCTCCTTAAAGGCCGAGGTGGATGTGATGAAAGTCAAGCTTCGGTCGTTGGTCCCAGGTGACGTGGGTACTTCGGCCGGCGGCGTCGAATATGGGTTGACGAACTTTTTGTTATTCTTTGCCTTCGGTGAGTACTTTAGATATGCCATCGCAATGCGAGCGAAGCGGACACTGGCGGTGAGGATGTCTCCTAGACCGCCGGGCTCTGTCGCAACCTCATCATAGGCCATCTTGGCTGTTTTATTGATTCCTGGGCGATCTTCGAACCAACCCTTCTCCCCACCACCGACTGTACTAGCCTGACCACCATCCTCGCCAACACCGAATATAGCGTGGTCGACGCGACCGTACATGGTCACTGCGAGCCTGAAAAGCTCAAGCATATCGGAATATCTGGTCAGATCGCACTTGTTGAAATGGACCACGTGGGGAGGACCCAGTGAAGAGATGAATTTGCGGGCTTGGTCCGGGTTTGTATCCCCAAAAAGAACGCGGCATCCGGCGGCATGAAAATGACGTATCATGGCCTGGCCGACCTGGCTGGCACCATGCGTGAGGACGATGACTTTGCCATGGAAGGACTCTTTCGGCAGGGCTGGCGGGGTGAAGCGACAGGGATTGGAGGTGAAGACTTGAGGGACGGAGGAAAGGGATTGAGATTTCTTGGTCCGCTGAGCGCTGAACGGGTTCACTGGTGCAGGCGTCGAAGATGTGCCCTGTTTGGGGGACGCCGGCGAGATTGCTACGGACGGAGGAGCGGGTTGAGTTGGTGTCGAAGGTGGAACAGCCGCCGATGGTGTTTTAGGTGAGCCTATCGGGCTGGTTGTTTGGACGATTGACGGCACAGAATTCACCATGGTCGTAGTCCCTGCGAGTTCCGGAGGAGGAGCTTGAGATATAGACACGCGTTTCTTCTTTTTCAGGACCGGGGCCGGGACATCTTGTTTGGGTGGCTCTGCTGGAGGAGGTTGTTCCTTCGCTTTGACTGCTTGTAAATCTGCTTCAAGTTCAAAGGTATGGGGAGTCTTGGTGACAGTCTTCCTTCGACGAGTTGGTTTCGCCTCTTCGTTGCCATTGTCACCATTTGTGCCGGGGACTTCTAATTGCTGAGCGGGAGCTGGAGATGTCTCATAAAACGTTTCGTTTTCGTCCCGGGTAGCGGTAGACATGATACTCCGGATGGGCGAAGCGGTGTCGGGAGTCCTCGAAGTCTTGGAGACCTGCCGCGAGATCGCTTCACCATTCGTGGTCGAAGAGGCTTCACTAGCCCACGGATTGGGAGACACCGAGTCGCTGGACTGGGAAGTCACGTCGAGCTGAGAAGCCGCCTCGAGCTCGCCTCCAGATCCCGTCTTTTTCGACTTCTTCCGCAGAGTGTCCTTCATCCTGGAAGACGCACACTACCGACAAGACATCGGTCCCATCTTGAATTGGATGGAAGAAAGGGGTGTGGCTTGATAAGACGGCACGACAAGTTGAGTAGCAAGTGGAAGTGAAACTGGATTGTGGGGTTTCAACGGCGGCAATTGATGCCGACGGCAGTGACGCCGCTGGTTGCGAGGCAAGGAACGAGTCAAGTACGTACTTTCGGAAGGAAGCAACTGAGGCGGCCAAGAAGTCACATTGAATTGAATTTCAGTCGATCGGTCAGTTTACAGTCCTTACATGATCAACGCTGACAGAGCAGCGACAGAGAGCACATGTTGTTGTTGTCTATGTGCGTTCATCGTGTTCTAGACTTTTGCCTATCGTGGCGGCCAAAGAGGCTAAATCTCGACCATGGGGGTTTGATACAGTAATGGTTGAGAACGCGCTGAGAAGGGAGCGGAAGAAGTCTTCATCAGACGCCCCGATTTGCTCGTTTGCATTGCGCATTTAGCGCCCACGTTGGCTTTGTGCTCGGATGTACGACATGGCATCTTCGTCGTGCGATTGACACCCTCCACGTGGGCAGCACAAGACTCGGTCCCTCCAGCAGACAAGTGACGTACATCTCCGCCGAAAAGCGGAAACCACTGTCATATCGCCAATGAGACGGGCGGCATTCTTTTTGGAATTTCAGTCTTGTCGTTTTCTTGGGAACTTCGTGTCTGAGAGAGTCATTGCCCTTACATCAGACCGAGGGGGCGTATCAGGACACATACTAAGGGTATATTCCCGCTGCTGACTTAGCAAAAATCTAGGCTACGGTCACCCAACGGTCATTCTGCGGTTCCTGTTTGAGTTACCATATCGATATTACCTGCATTCTGACAAAGGTGGATCGCCTGGACCTTTTGATATATAAGCAAGGGGACCGCTACGCTCGGCCCTCGTAGCCATTTTTGTGAGAGCGACCAGCCTTGGTCAACCAAACGGTTGAGTATAACTACCTAGGGTGACCTTGAATGTGGTGGAAAGGGAGTAGAGACGACAACACTAGAGATCATCAACATGGGTGAAGACACACAACCCTCCCCGCGTGCTCCCTCTTCCTCCTTCCGCCCAACCTACACTCGCGAACAACTCGCCACCTATGTCTCGAAGCACATCGCCCCGTCGCCATCCTATACGCTCGAAACCCTCGAGGCTGAGATCCAAGCCGATCCACTTGCAGCCCTTGGAACTCTCCAGCTCCGCCAAATGGCATTCAATTCTTGGGGCAACCTTGCGCTACATTACTCCTGGCACCGTACCATAACCTTGGACTCTGATGCGCTGTATCACAAGATTGTAGAGAGAGGGCTAGGAGGGTATTGTATGGAGAACAACGCGTTCTTCTCAACCGTCTTGAGAAGTCTGGGGTATCAGCTTTATGTCACTGGGGCGAGAGTTAGCCACTCCCTGGACGGAGATAAGGACGACCCAGGGTTCGCGGGGTGGCAGCACGAAGTCATCATCGTGACCATCAACGGTCAGAAGTACTTGGTCGACGTCGGTTTCGGCTCTACCTCGCCTCTCCATCCCATTCCGCTAGACCACACGTCAAACAAGGTCTACAACTCCGTCCCTGGTGCCGAAATCCGTCTGCTATACCGCCCGATAGCGTCTAGTAAGTCGAGCGCACCGCTCTCCGGCTTCGACAGTCAATGGCTAACAAAGCTCCAGACACGGATCAATCACAACGACTCTGGGTTCTCGAATCCCGTAACAAATCGCACCCTCAGTGGCAAGGCTGTTACTGCTTCGACACCCTTGAATGGCTCCCCGCCGACTTTGAGATAATAAACTATCGCACCTCACAAGACCCTGCTTCCTGGTTCACCCACCGTCTCGTCTTGGTGAGGATCCTCGTTGACGAGGAAACGAGAACGAAAGCCACGGGGACGGTGATCCTGGGTGGCGAGAAGATCGAGCGGAGGCTAGGAGAGGCGCCGAAGGAGGTCGTAATGGAGGCGAAGAGTGAAAGCGAGAGGGTGGAGGGGCTGAAGACTTGGTTCGGCGTAGTCTTGAATCCGGACGAGGTGAGAGGCATCAGGGGCACAGCGACAGAGATTAGAAAGCCGCCTACTGTATGATTATCTGGAGGTCAATGAACGATATACTGTACGTATGGCATTCCGGTTTTGATTCTCATGCGTGACTTTATCGTGTTCATCCTCATGAGACGGACCACTCAAGGTTCCAGTCGAGTCCGAAGGGCAAGGTGGCCGAAACAATCAGAGGTATTTCGGCACCCGCTGAACGATGTGATGAGTGCATAGGTATAGTTGGGAAGAATTCGCGCTAGGATGGTAAAGAACGGCCTGCCGGACCGAGGTAAAGTAGTGCAGACTATACCAACACGGTATGTAAGTATTGCTGGGAGACTGACGGGACGACGACAACGCAGCATAGGGTGCGAAAGAACTCCCGTGGCGATCATGTCTGGCTGGACGACCATGGTACCCCCGAGAGAAGGGAAGACGCAAACGAGTCGCGACCTTGACTCTTTCACATACACAGTAGTGTACCATGCGAGTTCGAAGCCGTCTCTCACTTACTCTGGACTGTCCGCGTACAGTACCTGGTTTCCAAGTTCTCGCAGCTGCTCTGTTCACCCCTGATGTCTCTCGCATTTGTCAGTAAGGGTGTGTGGCCCCCTCATTGCAGCGCTTGTATCTTTGCGCGGCTATGCGGCCACAGGCATTTCAATGCAGGTGCTGCGCAAGGTTTGTTTATGGATTGTCAATGCCATGCTCGTGTGACAAAGGAGGCGTAGAACGAATCAAGCCTGGGCCAACAAAGCAGAGAGATCGTGCCCAATTCTTCGGGCATTTAGCCTTCGTTGTAGGTAGGCTTTGGTCGGAGCCAGCGACGATGTATGAATTGAGGTTCTCATTTCATTGGCGACTGGGTCTGCCCGGTAAGGCAGTGAGTTGTATTTGTGCCGTGTCGGCGCTGTGGCGTGTTCAACCCTATGCCGTTGCAAGGAACTCGGGATCAACCTGTATACGTCGTATGAGTACGGAGTATCCCCCTGACGTCTTCAACGGCAATTGGAGCATGTGGATGGACCCAGTGAGGCAGTGCTTGGTGGGGGTACTCGTGATTGTATGCCACACGGAAGACGGAGTAGTCCCTCCGTTTACTCGTATGCGACAAAGTGAATGAGACTGGGTGGCATGGCCGTACGGCAACCAGCTAATATCCCCTTTGCGCTGGGTCCCACAACAGTCACGCAGTGTCGAATTGTGATATCGTGCGACATGTATCGTACGAAGATCTGGCTAGTAGGGGGCAAGGCAGACTGCTCTCGGAGGTTCCTAATTCGGGAGCCGAGACGTACTGTGTACAAATGAAATGAGAATTGGCCTCAATCACACGCCGTCTGCGGAGACTGACAACATGATCGTGCTCTCGTCCCGTTCTCATTGTGGTAATCGTCTTGTTTCTTGGGTGAGATGACCACTTCAGCATATGAAGTGCCGTGCTCGGTTATGTCGGGACTGGGTATCTGCCGAAGCAGGATGAAGTAAGAATCCCCGAATGCATGTCGTCCAATATTGTAGAATGTCGAAGGATGCTGAGCTGGAGCTGGAGCTGGAGCTGGAGGAGATTCTGGGCACGACTGCAAGGGTCTCTGGAGATGGGCCTACGGTATTGCCTGCCTGTGGGCCGATATGTAGCCTGGAATAGCCGTAGCGAGAACTTGTACGATCGTTGTGCAAGACGCCTTTCAGGCGGTTCTGAGAGGATATCACCATATGCCAAACACTGCCGATCCGATGCTTCGCTTTTGGGCCGGTCATGAATGTTGGCCAGTCCAGAGATCGTGGCGTGTATCGCTCAAGAGCACGTTCTAGGAGGATTATTTCCATTTACCTTAGGGCAAGCTGTCTGAGATTCTCCGTAGCCCGCGACGCGGCAAAACCACGAGTGCTAATGTTTATTCTGGCAATATGATCCCCTATTTTGCATTCGAATAGCGGAATGACCCACGGCGGCTCGATCCTGGCATCTCCCCGTGTTTGTAGACAGTCATTCCTATCAGCTTTAGCAAGAAGAAGTTTGGAAGAGTTCGATTTGAATTTTGATCCTACTTTTAGTACCCTCTATAATGTTAGCTCGGAGGGGGGATCGGTACGAATACGCCAGCGTGATAGAACCAAACTTTATCGATGACGTCGAACGAGAGGTGAACGACGAGAAGCGAACCAACGTGTCGATTTGAGGAGCCAATAGAGTTCCACCTGTGGAAGACGAGCTTCAACCTTAGCGAAGCGAAGGAAATGTGCGAGGTAGGGTAGCTCAGCGGCTGGGTAACTGAGTCGGTTGATATTTTTGGTATCCGCTCGAGTCTCAGTCACGAGACAATACGATCTCATGGTGACTAGCTGCTAATGGAAATAATCTGGAAGGTCTCTCCCGGTATCAATCTAGCATCTCAGTCGTCCAGAGCAGACGAGGTTTCTTCGGGATCCGCCATGACGTGCCAAATCAACCGATCGTATGGAGTACGAGGTAGAAAGCAGAAGTTTTGAAGGAGAGGTGTAGGTCATGTGCGCCAGGCACGGCTCGGATGGTAGGTGGCGTTCAGGAAGCGGCGGCATTGTGGTATGGATCCGTCCGGGAATTGGGCAGATCTTTGTTCCAGAGCAACGGCAATTGCTCCTGTATCGCAGGACCCGTAAATCACAAACCGCAGCAAATGGAGCGGCTCTGCATGGCAATTGGGATAGGGAAAACATCTCGCTCGGATATTACTCAAGCCTCGAAGGATTCCGCGCCAAGGCAAGGCTCACTCGTAGCTGGCAGTGTCACGGCTACTCGTACAGCGATGAGTGGGGGCAGCCGACAAGTACCTGCCTTCTCTCAGAGTGGCAAACTTTATGGCAAAGGGAACGAAACTCAGGGCCAACGAACTGTACGGTACAGCTCTTGGTCTGACAGTCCGACAGCAGCATAGTCGACAAACAGCAGTGGTGTGTGATTGCGCGTCCAACCCAGAGCGATAACGGTCTCGAGGGCCAGGCCGGGAGTATTCTGCATGCTAAGCTTTCTTACCGAGGAAGCGTGTGGGGTGTACTCACCAGGGATGCCCCCCCAGGGAGGTTCGTGACCGCAGAGTGGTGACGCCCCGGTCGGATATGCGGCAGGCAGAGAACCGCGGAGAGGGTGCCGCCTCAGGGAGACATGGACGAGGAGCAGCTTGGGAGCGAATCACCGAAAACCCAAGGCAGACTGGCAAGAACGGAGCCGTAATGGACTGGGTGCCAAGGTGGAGAAAGCGTCGAAGTCGGATTGGCATGATGTTTGCACTGCCTCGTCTGATGTTGCTTTGAGAGGTCGAGAGAATGTTGCAGGAGAGTCGCCTGATGAAGGATGATGGATCAATGCTGACTCGGCCATTCGAATGGGACGATCCTTGTTCCTTTGATCTCCTTCATGCAGCAGAGACTGAAGGACGCTATTCCGTGGTCGTCTCGCATGCGAATACGACATTGTCAACGGCTCTGGTCGCTTTCCAGGCGCGCTCAGTGACTCTACCGCCACGAACATGGCCACTGTGACAGCGTTCGGGGTCGAAAAGGCCGTGCCCATCTAAGCTAGAGCAGCGGTAGGCTGACTTCAGTACCTCGAGTGCGGGCGGTGTCGTGATAGACAGATATCTTCGAGCCCCGTGACAGAAGATTGAGGGATCTGATCGCCAGAGGAAGGGTAGCCCATGTGCCCACGCTTCCAGAAATAGCGTTGCTTCAGGATTGGTTTTAGGCGGCGGGGCAGTTAAAGTTCTTAACTAACTAGTGACTGGGCTGCCCGCGGGAGTGGGTATTCCACACCTATGGTGCAGGCGCATGGCCCAAGGCCATCGCCCAATCACACAGCCGAGCGCAAGTCTGACGGCTCGTTCTCCTCTCACGCTTCACTCACTTCTCCGCCTCCAGCAGTCCTTACATAAATCAACCCGCGTTCCATGACGACTTCGATCTCTTGACTTGTTGCCACGCGCCTCTTGCAATTGTTATTCTGTTTGTCGCATCCTCCGGCACGCGAGCAGAAAATATATCGCACCATCGCAACCACTGCCTCTCCTGCCATCTTGACTCTGGAATCAACTGCAGCCCATCCTGTCTTCCACCCGCCCCCTGGTTTCCGAATCGCAACCGTCGACAATGGACTCTCCTCGCGAATCTGGCCTCGAGAGTGGCAAGAGCATCAATGCCCCGCCCGTCGGTTTCCGACCCCAGAACGGTGGCTTGATTAAAGTGCAGCCGCCTCGACGCGAGGACTTGCAACCATCCTATGCGCAGACGCTCCAAGGCGACGAGGAGCAGAATCATGGCTGGTACGGGTCTATGAGTATGTACATCACGACGTGCACTTCGGGCGAAAAAGCTAACATCGGGTACAGTCAATACACTGGGCAGCTGCGTCGGCTTCCTGGGTGCCATTCCTTGCTGTATCATCTGCCCCAACCCCTACAAGCCGGTCTCCCAAGGAAACGTCGGTCTCGTGACCAAGTTCGGTCGCTTTTCGCGTGCTGTCGATCCTGGCCTGGTCAAGGTCAACCCGCTCTCCGAGCGACTCATTCAGGTCGATGTCAAGATCCAGATCGTGGAGGTTCCGCGTCAAGTTTGCATGACCAAAGACAATGTCACTCTGAACCTGACGTCTGTCATCTACTATCACATCACATCGCCCCACAAGGCGGCTTTCGGTATTTCAAATATCCGTCAGGCTTTGGTTGAGCGCACGCAGACCACGCTCCGCCACGTTGTTGGCGCTCGTGTCCTTCAAGACGTGATTGAGCGTCGTGAAGAGATCGCGCAGTCGATCGGAGAGATCATCGAAGAGGTCGCCGCAGGTTGGGGTGTTCAGGTCGAGTCCATGCTCATCAAAGACATCATTTTCAGCAACGATCTCCAAGACTCGCTCTCGATGGCTGCCCAATCCAAGAGAATTGGTGAATCCAAGGTCATTGCTGCACGCGCCGAGGTTGAGTCGGCCAAACTCATGAGACAAGCTGCCGATATCTTAAGCTCGGCTCCTGCCATGCAAATCAGGTACCTCGAAGCCATGCAAGCCATGGCCAAGACGGCGAACAGCAAAGTCATCTTCTTGCCTGCTGCTAACCAGACCATGCCGACTGATATGAGTGCAACATTCTCAAGTCAGAACAACGGAGGCGAAGCTAGTGGCTACAACTCGAAGCAAAACACCGGCAATGCTTTCAACATGGATAGTGGCGATGGCTTCCAACAGGCCATGAATGCCCGAGTCATCGAGAATATCTGAACCATACCGGCCATGTTATGAGCTGGGTGGTGGAACAAAGAGAAACAGGTTGCGCTGGGCATTCGAGATGAATTCGCCGCCAGTCACTGCTCGCTGGAAAAGCAGAATGCTTGGTGGTGCGTTATGTTTTCGGCCGGGAGAATTGACGTCTTCTTTTTGAGATACCCCTTGAGTATCAACAGCATTCGCTTTATTTTCTGTATCAATATTGAGTTCTCCTGCCCCGCAGATTTTGTCTGAAGCTGAGCCAGAAATTAATGACTGGAATGAACAAGGATATGTTTGCCTCGATAATGTCCTTACGCACGGCTGCGTCGTATGTTCGTCATCGGTCATGCTCCAAACAGGTAACGCAACGGAGTACGGACGAACCCAGCAGCAGGCGGCTGACGCATGGCGCGCTGCTTGGGTAAAGTCCGAGAATGATCTTGGTGAAACGAGATGCCTTGACCCGTCCGGCGGAACTTAGTGTGATTCGAATGGATTTGACCGCTCTTTGCGCTATGATTTCCTTCCTGTAGCCGTTACGGAAACCGGAAAAATCGCAGATCCGGCAAAGATGGATCATTTAGTCCGAGTTCAGCCGGGACGCTTTGGACAGATTCTCTCCTATTTGAGATGCCCAAGGTGCCGACTCCGTTTACACCTGGAATGGCCACCTAAAAAGGCCAATCAGCAATATCTCCAGGGACTGGCCAAGGCTATGAGAGTACGCGCCGATTCTGCTCCTCGGAGTATCCGCTTCAAGGCAACAATGTAGCTCATCAAAGGAGGAGCAACCTGCTGCTTTCATCCCAAAGCCGCTCTAAAGCCGACATGTATGCGGGAAGGACATTGCATGGAGATATGGCTTCCGCCGTGGCCGGCAGAGACGCGCAAGGGAGGTGACTATTTAATCAAGCATTGACCTCCATGTATCCAAGACCAGCAGCAAGCCGAATCATCATCGTCTACAAGGCGCGACATCGCGCCCGCCCTTCCATTTCACGTGGGAAAAGCACAATTCGAATTTAATTACCGTTCGACCAACTCCAGCAGGATGGCTACATTCACGGGCAAGACTACTGGCGCCGACGTCGTCAGAGAATCCAGCGACAGAGTCAAAGGCAAAACAAGTCAGTGTTCATGCGCTGCCCATGTGAAAACGCTTCGGGATTGACATAGAGAGCAGTTGTCGTTACAGGCGCCAGTGAGAAGGGTCTGGGAGGCGAGACAGCAGTCGCACTTGCTTATGGCCACCCCGAGCATCTGATTCTTCTCGCTCGATCCCAGGTTCGCGTGGAGTCGATCATTGCCCGCATCAAAGAGATCGACTCATCCATCAGAGTAGACTTTGTGCCTGTCTCTCTTGACGACTTCGATTCCGTGCGCGCCGCAGCCGCCACGATCAACGGCAAGATCTCCAAGCTCGACATTCTCATTAACAATGCCGGAATTATGGCCGTTCAAGAATATACAACCAACAAGAACGGAATTGAGATTCAGTTTGCAACCAACCATCTGGGCCACTTCTTATTCACCAAGCTCCTCTTTCCCAAGATTCTGGCGGCCGGTTCGGGGTCCAGGATCGTTAACCTGACGAGTCTTGGTCACAAGATTGGACCCATGCGACTCGATGACTATAACTTCTCGGATGGGGAAGAGTACGACCCGTGGTCCGGGTACGGCCAGTCTAAGACCGCCAATATCCTCTTTTCGCTCTATCTGGCTGATAGGCTGCGTGATCGCGGTATTCAGAGCTACGGCGTCCACCCTGGCAACATCTACGAGACCCAACTAGGGACCCATCTTACCGATATCAATGCTGCATTTGCTGCGATTGAAGACGCCGCGCAAAAAAACACGGGCAAACACTTTCCAATCGAAGGTGAAGCCCGGAAAAGCATGGCTGAGGGCATTGCTACGACGCTTGTGGCAGCCCTGGATCCCAGGATTGAGCCGCAGAGTGGAATGTACATGGCAGACTGTCAGCCTCAGAAGACCTATGAATACGCAGAAAGTCTCGAGAACGCTGAGATGCTGTGGAAATTAAGCGAGGAACTGGTTGGTGAGAAGTTCGACATCTGACGCTGCTGGAAGATAGAGAATTCACCAACGTAGCATATCACCAATCGTTGTACCTCTTCCTGCCTGCCTGGCTGTAAAGCTTGTGACATATGAAGACCGGTTGCATGAAAATCTAGGTCCTGGCCTCAAGAGTGGAGTTCAGAGCGTGCTCTCTCGCCATTCGCACTTCACCCTCACCATACTCTCATCTCATCTCACTCTCATCCTGATCATTCGACCTGAAGCCTGTGACGTAAGGCCTTGGCGAGATTCGTTCTTCTGCTCCATTGGGCTTTCAAGTCGGTCTATTCATCGACTCGCCGCCTTCCGCAGAGCCTCCTACCTGATCACTAAGTGGCCATATATGCTTGCCGCATGGTTAGACTGTCCCGGACGCGGAGAATAGGCTGGGGGCTTGCCAGGCTGACCGTAAGGGCTTATGTGGGGTCGGTTATCAAACGTGCCACTGCCGACGCTGATGGGGTATTTCCGATGGAGAGCCTGTCGCGGGGCTCGTGCAACAACTCTCACCATTTGCCATCGAAAAGCAACTAGTCCGTAGTTGTCGTGGCCCTCCAATCAGAGGAAAGCTGAATACCGCTCTCTCGGCTCCTACGAGGTCTCCCCAGACCAGGCGGATCGAGAAGGTGGTACAATTGGACGAGCGGACAAAACGCGGGCTTGATATCACATGGCGGCGCGCCGAGCGTTCTCGATCTGGAGGGAAATCGTCGGCATTGCCTGTAATGAGCACCATTGGGCGGGGAACGACGCCTATAGATATGGGCTGGCGATGGGCTCATCCCTGCGACAACTCCTCCTCTTCTGACGTCTGCTCTCTGTCACAGTGTTAGAATAGGATTCACGAGGTTAGGCCAGTCAAGATGAAGGTCGTCGACACTTCGTCGTCGACAGAGAAAACCTCACTTGTCGCACAAATTGTCGCCTTCGTGACCAGCAATTTTCTACTTGTCGCTGTCCTTGCGCTCGTCGGCAGATGTCTGTACAAGAAATATGCTTCGCCTCTGAGAAACGTGCCCGGCCCTTGGCTTGCCTCGGTATCTCGATTATGGAAAGGTACCAGATCTTCCTCTCTGTTCTTGCCGGGTCCTGCTGACAATCGATCTCCAGTGTGGAGTACATACAACGGGCACACCGAGCTCGACCACATAGCTCTGCACAAGAAATATGGTAAGTCCGGATTGGTAAATCATGGTAGACCAGGTCATTCTCACACGGAAAAAGGACCCGTCGTTCGGACAGCACCAAATGAAGTATCCTTCGGCACCTGTAACGCCGCCAAGGACATCTTTGCTGTGGGCAAAGGCTTCCACAAGACCATGTTCTACAGCGTCTTCCCACCAAAGGTAGATACCACCTCGAGCCGCAGGTCGCCACGTTGCGACGAAAGCTTCATTAGCGGAAGCTGACTTGTCCGGACAGCACGCACCTGATATTTTCACCGAAGTCCGAGAGTGGAAGCACGCACAGATGAAACGCTACGCGGTTGTGCCATACAGTCTGCCTCAGATGCAGAAGCGTTCCGAGCCAATTGAAAGCATGATCAAGCTGCTGATGGAGCACCTCGAGAAGTATGCCACGGACAACAAACGGGTGTGCAACTTGGGGAATTTGTTGCATTATTTCGCCTTCGACGTACGCACCCCCTTTCCCCCCGTTTCTGTTCGGTTAGCTGATGCCGCTGTTAGGTGCTTGGTGAAGTCGCATTCTCCCGTCAATTTGGGTTTCTCGAGCAAGAGATTGATGTTGAAGGTTCGATAAAGAACATTGACGATGTGCAGTGGTACGACGGCATCGTCGGCCACATCGCCGAGTACGATATCCTCCTTCGAAACAACCCAATCCGACAATACTTGCCCAAGAAGTTTCAGATGCAGCCCACCACCATGACCAAAATTGCTGTCGCTGAGCTGGAGAAACGGAAGCAGAAGGACGGCAGTTTTGATTCCCATGGCATTGATCTTCTGGCAGAGCTGTTGAGGGCTCATGAGGGAAACGCCGAAAAGTTCTCGATCAATGACGTGTTCAGTATCGCTCATGGCGCAGTGTGAGTGCTGTCGAATTTGGCCATTGGGATGTTACGCTGACCGCCATTGCAGCTTCGCGGGGTCCGACTCGACCGCTTCGACAATGCAATCGTTCTTCTACCTCGTCTTGAATGCTCCCAAAGTGTATGCCAAGCTCACAAAAGAGATTAATGAAGCCCAAGAAGTCGGCAAGCTCTCCGAGATCGTCACCTACGCCGAAGCCCAGGCTCTGCCTTATTTCCAAGCCTGTCTGAAAGAAGCCATGCGGGTACGCCCGGCGGTCGGGTTGGGCATCTACCGCAAGACACCTCCTGAAGGCGTCGAGATTGACGGAAAATACTACCCCGGTGGTATCGAGGTTGCGGTGAATGGATGGGTCCTTCACCGCGATGCTGCCATTTTTGGAGACGATGTCGAGGAGTACAGGCCGGAGCGGTGGTTCGAGAGAGATGCGAAATTGATGGGTTCACATTTGTATCAGGTAAGTTTCTCACTCTACTATCTGGGTCCTGCGACACATTGCTAACTCTTAACTTGCGTACAGTTTGGAGGCGGTTCCCATCTCTGCATCGGCCGCAACCTTGCCTTGTTCGAGATGAACAAGACCCTCATCCAGATTCTCCGAGAATACGATGTGACGCTTGTGCATCCAGGTCGACCGTTGCAATATCATTCGACATTCTTCGTGGTTCAGGAAGGGCTGGAGGTCTATCTGCGCAAGAGGAGCGACAAGGCTCAATAGATGGTTGCTGCTGTAGTGTTCTGCTCGGAAATGAATGTCGGCGGGGGCAGATTTTTGTGGAGACTAGGCCGCACACGAGGTGGCAATTCAGAGATTAGTCTTAAGCAGGAATCGGTGGTGGATTTCGACAGATCTTGTTGCGCGTCGATATACGGAGTACCAATTTTGGAAAGTGATTCATCCTTAATTATTGCTGGGAAGCAGCCCGAGTGTACAGCCTCGTCTCGGCTTACCTGCCTAGATAACCCCTGAAAACTCCCCGCCGCAGCCTTGTGCCGCAGGTGTGAGTGTTATTGTTTCGCCCACCGCTAATCCCCCACTCCCGACTGTTCATCCTCGCGATCAGTCGACTTGATCACGCTGACGTCGTGCCGGACCGATGAGACCGCTCGAGGTCTCCGATCATGTCGTGCTGAAACAAGATCTCAGCCTCTATGGCTTCGTACAACGCACCAACAACGACTCATACGATCCAATCGAGGACGACTTGATCATCGCGCATGCTGAGGTCCCACCTGATATCTTGAACGACTTCCTTATCAGTGGTGTGCCGCCGACAGGCTATGTGTTCGTGCAGTTCGCTAACCCAGCGGCTGGGAGCTCTCTCCTGCACCAGGATGATCTCGTTTTGCTCAGTCGCTCGTACCGGCTCGGCGACTGCGTCAGGCGAGATGGAAGTCCTCTGACAGGCGCAGTTATCGATGTGCAAGAATCCTACATCCTCGCTCCAGTATTCGCAAATATCACAGCGAATGCTCTACCACTGCCACCATACCCAAAGTGTACATCGGAGTGCCCCTCGAATTTCCCTCCGTATTTCTCTCACCCAAATCCTCACACGCTCCTTTACGATATACCGGCGCGAGAAATCCAGAGAGCCCAGGATGTGGCACGGGACGACTACATCATCTCTCGAAGCTGGGTCGGATTAGTCGACGAGGTGGAATATGCTGTTGTCATCTTGCTCCAAGATGGAGCCATAGTAGCAATAACCGGGCCTTACGGTCTACACATCCCTGTACCGGACTATGGCAAACCGCTCGTAGCTCTGCCGGAACCTGATGGATTCAAGCGACCCGACGTCCTCGGGGCTACACAAGAATGGGCACGACTCCTACCAATCGGCCAGGCTCGCCCCGGCGAGTTCGTGATCATTGATCGCCATCAATTACGGAACGGGAGGTGGATTTCTGGATCATATGACCCTACGGTTCCCGCACAGGGCGTGGTTCTCGATTCTCGAGCATGTGATGTTTCGGTCGACTGGGTGTCCAGCAGTAATGTCTGGGACGACCGACCAGTCTCAGAAAGGTTGCCCAAGGACGATATCCAGGTCTACGAGAACATCAGGACTTTTCGTGACACTGCCAGCCTACGTCAGAAGAAGGATATAACGGTGTACGATCCCGGAAAGATGCCGGTGAGGAACAAAAGCGCGGCTCAGCAGCAAGGGGATATTCGGGACGATCACTCCACGCACAAAGAAGTGTCAGCGGCCCATGACGTTTATTCGGGACAAGAGCTCGGGATCGGGATGCGTGTCAAGTTCAGAGACACCTCCGCTGCTGCAGTCAAATATCAAGCCATTAACGGAGTCTCGCATGGCAAATTTATTCGGATCCCTACGCACCTATCTCACGGCTGGGATATCAACGAGTTCGAAATCGTCTATATACAACAGCATGCGACCGTCTTGTGGCAGGATGGCACTACCACTACCACTAACTCAACTTCCCTGACAGGGTTTGCCCTCTTTGAGGCCGAAATGGCACCCACGGATATTGTCCTGAAGCGAGAAGGCATGCGGCAGAGACCAGTCAATCACAAAGGAAAGGCGAACGGTGGGACAAGAGATTTTAATGAGATGATCTTTTTTGAGCGTCCTCATGACCTCCTTCCAGCTAGCGTGGGTGTCGTTCAGTCAGTCGATCCTACTGAAAGAGTCGCTCGTGTCCGCTGGTACAAAGAGCCTCGAGTTGAACTACGAGCTTCTGGACAAGTCCTCAGTACGGATTCACGGTTCGGGCCAATAGGAGATGTTATCGAAGATGTCTCACTCTACGAGATCATGTCGTTTCCTTCGTTACTAAGACAAAGAAGCGACATGTGTGTGATATCAAGTCCAGGGGAGGCTAAGGCCGAACGAAACAAGCGACAGATAACAGCAACTGCAGACAACGAGAACCCTGCCGACGAGGCCGCCGATCAGTCGAAGACCAGCGAAAGCACATCGCGCCAGCGACAACATGCTCGTCCTCCGTCCACGACTCCGAGATCAACTAGCAGAGATGGCTCGTGGAAAGAGGTCGATTGGGTCGGCCAAATTATTGCAATAAACCTTGATGGTTCGATCACAGTCCGCTTGGGAGCCTTGCAACAGTGTCGAGATGTGTCAGTTGACGCCGACTCTATCCTAGCAACCATTGACGACCGTGGGCATCTAGAAGAGATGCCAGGCAGCATGATGGACCTTGATTCTTGGATGGACAGCTTATCAGAATGGTCTGAGCAGAGCCCCGAACCTATTTCCGAAACAGTCGAGTACGAGGGCGGCCAACGTCTTGATAACGACAGCGGAGACGAAAATTGGGTATCTGACCAGGATGAAATCTTCGAAGATGCTGAAGAAGAACTGCCGGACACGGATGGAGATGTGGAAATGTCAGAGGATAAACCAAAGCAATCCGGCACGCCCTCTGCCAAACCAGAGCGATCGCTCCTTCAACTGCAAACGATGCTTGATTCCAATCCCCCGCCTCAGTTTCTCGTCCTTGACTGCGAGCCTCCCACAGACCAATTCGGCCTTCATTCAGCCCCGACTGCGCAGGCTTCCCTGAAGCGAATTGCCAAAGAGCACAAGATTCTGGCTACGTCACTGCCTGAAAATGAGATATATGTTCGCACCTACGAGGCCCGACTGGATCTCCTGCGGTGCCTGATTATTGGACCTAAAGACACGCCATATGAGAATGCACCCTTCTTAATCGACCTCTACCTGCCGGAGAGATTTCCGGACGAACCTCCAACTGCTCACTTCCACAGTTGGACGAGTGGCTTAGGTCGCATCAACCCGAACCTGTATGAGGAGGGGAAGATCTGTCTGAGCTTACTGGGGACGTGGTCGGGAAAGAATGAAAGCGAGAAATGGAGCGACAAGGCCACGATCCTCCAACTTCTGGTGTCACTGCAAGGACTGGTCTTCGTAAAGAAGCCCTTTTACAATGAAGCAGGGTTCGAGGGGTATGAGAATGACAGGGCATACACAAGGGAATCCGAACAATACAGCGAGAAGGCTTTTGTGATGGCGCGAGGCTTTGTCAAGTATGCATTGCTCCGTCCTCCCGGTGGCATGGAAGACGTGCTCGCCTGGCTGTATCTGTCCCACGACCCGTCTCGGCCGTCGAGGAGCTTGCTCGGCACAATCATCGAGAGGGGCAAGTCACTGTTGGAAAAGTCTGAACAGGCACGATCGGCACAAGACGATTCGCTCCTCGACGCGGCAGGAGAGAAAGACGACGCCACAAAGGTCTTTCTGAAGCCACTGAGCCGCGGTGCCAGCGTCATGCTACGACGATCGATCGGTGAACTGCAGGCTCAGCTGGATCAGCTGGCATCCGGAGATGCGCGCCAAAGGGGTGAAGCAGGCGCATAGAGCTGCACGATGCGTTACGATTTTGATTCTCCAGCATTAGCGAGGCTTGGGGGCAGATCTCGGGGTGCTACTCCGTACGAAATACGATTCGGGATCGCGTCCTTTCCAACGGCGTCCTGTAGATGCTGGTCATTAGACGCCTAATTCTAGTCCAGCCTGGCACTGTTCCAGATCATTCGGGACATGAAGAGCGCGGAACTGGTCGGGACTTGGTAGCTCCTTCAGTTAGTAGAATATTTTTATCATACCGAGCGGAGCTTCTAGGACCTGGTCGTGGTTGTTGAGGTCAGATGTGCCCCGACTGACTGACTGACTGACCGATCACCAGGGGATTCTTTGCGCCGAGCTCGCCCCTCGATTCATCTGAGCCACGAACTGCATGGAAGTTCTGACCCTTGGTCATCGCCGCGCTCATACTCACTGTGTCCATGATCGCGATGATCAATCGGATTGGTCTTTTCTCTTTGTTCTGTCCCCTACCCAGTAGGTCGCGCTTGTTTCGGACACAGAGACGAGACCACCGAAAGGGGAAAGATGAGCACTTTGAACGGGTTGCGCATATGTACTCCGTATGTTGTACTCCGTATGTTTTTTGTCGCACACAGGTCTTCCTGACGTGACGAAGACGAGGGTTTCCCGGGGCGTTAGCGTTACAGCATCGCCATCTCTTCAACTGCCCTAATCTTCGCGAATCGTGATATTTGGAAGACAGGGCGGCACCGCGATTTGTTCAATCTCCCATCCCCACCCGCATCGTCCCACCCGTATCGCGAATCGCGGAGGCGTGGATCATGGCAGAGGCCGCAAACACGGCAGAAGAGGCAGTTTGGCGGGGCCTCAAATATCCGCCTTTTCGGGGTCCTCGCCTTTAGCTTCGAGCTGTTTCTCGTCCTCGGTCAACTGCTTCACCAACAGATCCTCGCGTCTCAAGGCATCTTCGTCGATATCCGTCCATCCGACTTCCCGCAAAATCGTCCCCGTTAGATGCATGTACTTCAAATGTCCTGCGACCTGCTCACTCAGATCGTAGTTCTCCACGCCGTACACGCCCTCGATGTCCTGTAGGCCGGCAATACTCAGCTGCGCAGAAGTGGTGCGGTACAGAAAGGCGAGGATGTAATCCTGCTTGCTGTACACATTGATCAACCGTCCCGAGACGACACTGCGCATGGCTCTCCACTGCTCCACGTCACTCGGCACGGGCGCGCCCATAAGCACGACGTTGTCAACCACTCCGAAGGCGCCCCGCTTCGCCAGCGTCAAAAGACACGAATAGACGACCCTCGCCCCTAGACTCTGTCCCACCAAGCTCACCGGCCGTTCTCCTTGGACCTTGTTGATCAGCGCGTCGGCGAGCACCTCTCCGGCCTTGACGGCCAGGTTCTTCGCGTTCCCAAACGGCGAATCCACGACTTTGATGGCCTTGCGGATCGCGAGGGGCGCGAGCAATGCCGCCCACACCGCCGCGAAGATGGTGCGTTTGATGATCTCCCGCCGGATTTGACTCCACGCTTGGCTGACGACGAAATCCTTCAGCGCGGAGCCCAGGGTGAGCAGGGCGGCGAGTTCCCACCTGAGTGCGAAAGGTTCGCCGCCTTGGCCCAGGACGCGCCACGGCAGGGTGACTTGTTCCTCGTCGCTGAGCCAGCCTGTGACGCCGACGGTGATGCGCAGCCGGCGTCGCTGCTTCTGCACGTCTTCTGGATCATCCTCGCTCCCTCGGATGGGTAGGAAGGCGAAATCATCGATTTCCTTGGCGTATCGCTCCATACTTCTGGATGTCATGCGGGCACCGTACGCTCCGAACAGTCCCCCAACCAGCACGGAACTGCCCGCCAACGCGCCTAGGTATCCTGCCGCCGCGGTCGCGCCCAAGCCTAAACCGCCCATCAGGGTGCCTACTCCAGCCGCGAGTAATGGGGCTGCCAGGCCACCAGTGATGCCGATCAAGGCTGCACCTGCCACGCCCGCAACACCGATCTTCCACTTCCTCGCCGTCGAGGACTTCTCCTGTGCTTTGGCCGTGGATTCCGACGCGTCCATCTTTGCTGCTGCGGTCAACAGGCCAAATGCCGTGTCTTTCTCCATTTTCGTGAGTTCGGCGGCCGAGACGCCAAGGGAGATGGACAGGCGGATCATGAGCGTGCGGGAGTGCGCGCGGTAGGATTCGAGGGATAGAAGCAGGAGAAGGAGGGCATTGACGATTGTGCTTCGCTCTCCCGAGCTGAGCGACGCCAATGACGTCTGGATCGGCGGGAAGACCTTGGAGAGTCGCATATCGACTTCCCGTTCGCGGTCGGTCGGTTGGAACTGCTGTCTTGACGACTCGGCCGCGAGCTTCCGGGCGGCATCCGGATTTCTGGGCTGTGCGGCGTGGTTGTTTTCAGGGTCGCGTGAGTTGACGACTTCCCCGACCCGGAGGATCACAGACTCCGCCCAGGCATCGAAGAACGCGAGGGCTGCTTGTTTCAGGGCTTTGGATTCAGGTGTTGGCGCGGTGAGCAGGGCGTCCGGTTCGGATTCGGATTCAGGTTCGGGCCCAATTTCTGATTGAAGCGAGTTGTCTTCTTCACCTGGTCTGCGTGCTGGTTGTTGTGCGAGTACCTTTGCGTCTTTCTCGGATAAAGTCAGCTCCGACATCTCCTTTACCGGTTCCCCTCCTTCGTCTGGAGGTACCATCTGAGGCTGAGCTTCATTCTTCGCTTTCTCGACCGGTCGCCGCTCATCAAACACCCGGACCAGACTTCTCCTCATCTCCTCCGTAGTCTGCGAGATTAGCACCGTCAGTTCTGCTCGCTGCTCGCGGCCGAGGATGGTCGCGAGTGACTGGTCATCTTCCACCCCTGTCTGGCGCTGCTGATGGTTTGTCCCACTGCCACTGCTGGATCGTTGGGAGATGGTGTCGTTGACGCGGTTTCGGAGGGAAGAGAAAGCAGGCATTCTAAAAGCGGTCTCCTGGGACGACCACGAAAAGGTCAGACGGCTGTATGTTCTCGGTCGTGACTTTGCCTTGAGATGGTGACGTGGGAGTAAGGCAGAACAGAGACCGTGGTGACAGTGAAGAAACATCCAGGTCCCATCTGTAAGCTGACGTCATGTGGTGCTCATCTTCTTTCGCATGAACATGTGAAGATATTCATTAATCCATCATTGTACTTGACAGTGTGGCCATATTCAACTTTGCCAGCTCAGATACCGGCTGTGGCTTGGTACCGCACTGTGGCCAGTCCAGGTACATTTTACAGTAGTTGACCACATAATGGCGCTGGAGACACTCCGGCCAGGCTGCTACCTAAATTCGAGAAGCTCGTAATTAATCAGTATTCAGGTGGCTCTTCTCCGCTACCGTTGAATGAACAGACGCTGCCGGATCGTCGACCGTCACTGCCACCACTTCAGCCCACAGTCTCCGTCGTCCAAACCGTTTACTCCTCCTCGCTAACCTCACTCTCGTCATCTTGTACGTTGCTATTCGTCATGCCAATCCCCAGCCCGACACCGGTACTCTGATTCCCGTTTTCTTCCTCCAGCGCCGCCTCCAATGCCGCTTCAAGTAGGTCTTCATCGTCCTCGTCGTACGTGTTGGCTGGGGCGGGCGGGGTTGGTGGCGTCTGGTGGGCCTCCTGAGACGGCTGACGGCCTCCGGCCTGTTCATGGTCGTCTGGTTCGTCCCTCGACACCTCGCCTCGTCGAGGGGCACTGCTCTGTTCTCTCGGGCTACCCAGCTTGAATTCCTCCACGTCGTCGTCTTCATCTTCCTCGGAAGCGGCTTCGATATCTTTCATCCGAACATCTCCATCCCTCTCTCGGCCGTAGCCACGAGCTGACTCCTCCACCACCGGCGGCCTGGAGATGGGTCTACTTGTCGGTCTGAAGTTGGAACTCAATCCGCCGATCGGCGTGCCCGTGTGACTCCTGAACGCTTCCGGATCGACTCTTCCGCGTCTACGAGATCGTTCATCCTCCGGGGGTGGACTGCCCATGTCAATTTCGAGGTCGCCGTCATCGTCGTTAATAATGATATGTGGTGAACTGCCAATGTTGGCCGAGATATTGCGAGTATGCCCTTTCGCGCCGAGTGGTCTAGAAGGTTTCGAGGCTGTAGGCTTTGATGCCGAGACAGCTGGCTTCGCGACGTTGATGGTCTCGTTCTCGGAATCGTCCGAGTCGGAGATGGTGGCTTTGCTGAGTGGTTGATCTTTCTTTGTGCTATCTCGCTTCACGGTCGGTTTCGTCGCGGCTTTGATACTCCGTGACCCTGTCGTTTCGACCTTGGATTTTCGCTGTTCTGTAGGTTTTGATGTGGTATTCGTCTGTGACGGCCGGAATTGCGGTGTTGTGGGCAAGAAGCGATTTCCGCCTGGGACGGGCGTGGATGTTCCGCTCAATGGTGTCCGGCTTCCTGGCATGGGCGTGTGAGCTCCTGGAGCTTGCGTAGATTTCCCTGCATTTTCGCGCGCTTCGGCTAGGAAATGACGGAAATCGTAGGGATTGGATGCATCGGGAGTCTCATCGTCGGCTGAAGTGCCCGAATGCCCGTTCGCTTGTGGCTCTTTCTTGCTCGTTTGCTGATCCTTGTGGAGTTGTGGTAGATCTCGAGCAGCGTCCCTGGGCATGCCGGGTCCAGCTTTGAGATTCATATCCAAAGTCGCAGAGATAGCTTCAAGGACAAAGGCAGATTTGGATTCATCGAAAATGAGCATCAAAGGTCTTGTCCCTTCCTCAGATGTCCCAGATTGGTCATGAGTCGCTATGCTCACATATTGGTAATTCCCGGAGCTGTTGTTCGATACATCAAGATGCCATCGATCTCCCGACCTCCTCAACTTACTCTCGCGGCCATCTAGAAAACCAGATTTCGGTTGCCAGTTATAGCGGATGTTCACAAAGGCGTCCTTGGATTTAGTGTCCTGATCCAAGCTGTCTCCCAGGATAATAGGGTACTCGCCCTCTTGTCGAGGATCGAATAAGCCAACAGGCCTGCTCGGACGTATCGCAGGAGATGCCATTGCCTTTTACCAAGGTGCTTGATTTGAATAAAGGTATATAATGAAAGTAAGACAAAGCCACACTTGAGGGGAAGCGGGTCCAATGGTTTGTGATGAATGACCAATTCCAGTGACACCAAACGAGTGACAAACGTAGGCCCAATGGCACTATGAGCCAGATGTCAAGAATAGCTTTGGTACATATTGAAGGCTGGGGCCGATGACAATGAGGATGAATCGAGAACAAAGAGGACCTGGTTACGGCACAGTTCCAGGCCCGGATCTTCTTCGGCTGATTGCCCCGTGATCCCGCGTTATTGTGGGTGTCCACTGGCGCCCACATCGCCCGCCAACACCCACTAGCGCCCACCAGCGCACTTGTTGTCCAATACTGCAAGGGAATGCTGATACTCGGGTGACTGGCCTCGTTTGCGACGTCCGTTCAAGGGCAGTTACAACCGCTGCAAACTACATCTTCGCTTCTGTTGGAACGTTGAAGGATAGAGCAGTGATCAGTCTTTGGCAACAAGTGTATTGCTCGCCCACTTCGACCGCTCAAATGGTCAAACTGGACATCCCTCGCCCGCAATGGGCAATACCTCATAGTGATAACACACAGTCGAAGGCAAAACTCACAGTCAATGGCAACACTACGCCATCAACGGCCAAGCTATATACGTTGCAAGCCTCAGAATCCAAAGCTGTCTAACAGACTATTCGCGCTCGGCTCCACAAATTGCGTGGGAGGCGGCTTCTTCTTCTCTGCCTGCACCACCATTTGCGGGCTCTCCTCTCTACCCTCCTCTTCTTCCTCTTTCTCTAGGTCATAAAATGTCTGTCTTCTCCGAAGGGGTTGGTTCGGTGGCGAACGGTTGTTTGTTACGGGTGTCTCGGTGCTCTCTGTAATGAACTTCCAGCCGCGGACCAGGGCCAAAGCAAGCACGTCGCACCCCATAAGCTGGTATTGCCTCACACACCTCATGACGAAAGACCACTCGTCTTTCGTAGTGACGACCTTGTCTCCCCATGCGTTTTGTTTAACAAGTTGAGTGCGGAATGCGGTGTAAAGTAAACTTAGTAGAGGGTCATTCACTGCGTAGCTCGTCGAGTCGAGCGTCTCATGCCCTTCGGTCCTGTTGAGTAGGAGTCTACCGACGACGTTTTGAACAGGGTGTACGATGACTCGAGCTGCGAGATCTTTCCGGTCAAGGATAGTGGAGTATGCCCAGCTTGCAATCCACCGTCCTTGCTCGCTCTCTACCGCAAGCGGGAGAATTGCTTGTTCGACCAACCGCGTCAGCGCCACTGACTGCTTGTCGCTTTCATATACTCGCGCAATGGCAATCGCAAGCTGCAGATCCTTCAATTGGTGCGTACAGACATTCACTGCGTCCCAGAGACTGTCGCCGAGCAGGAAAAAGGCGGCTGCATATTGGAAGCGTCGCTTGCTTAGCAATGCGTACGCATTCTTTAAGGCGGAGGCTTTCCATCTAGGTTCGCTGAAGTTGTTGGCCAGCAGTTTCATGGTGTTCTCTTTCTCTCGAATTCCGATCGACATCCTCCAGAGACCAAGCAGCACGGTCTTTTTGTGCAGTGCAAGATAATACAGCGAACAGTCAATGGGATTGCGGTCCTCGCCCTTGGTGAACTCTGTGCGACCGATGGTTTCCATTTGCTGTCGAATAGCATCATTGTCTGTAAGCCAGCAGAACAAGCCAGACTTTCGCGCGGCTTCCCATGTGAGTTTGCCGCCGTAGTGTTGAATGACCGAATCGACAAGAACTTCTTGGGAGGTGCTCAGTGATGCGAATGCAATGGCGCTCCACGGCACACCTTCGTCGCTCGATGAGTAAAGTGCTTGCAAATAGCGCTGACCGTGACAGTCAACTGATTGCTCCTGCTTCTCTAACTCTGAAGTCACCGCGATCTGCTTGATCAGTAGCGACTGCTCATCCTGAGTGAGTTGCCAGAGCCGGTATTTCTGGAGGGCTTCCTGTAGTGCTTCCGCAGAAGATGAAAGTGGTTCTGGTTCACCATGGCCGTTGACATCACCGTTGATGCTATAGTATGAATTTTCGTTAGGCGCACCAGATCCATGCCGTGGCACAATGTGCTCAATGGGCAGATCAAGGAAGCTCGGTAGCTCATCGCCCTCACTGAAGAATTTCAGCTTTCTGTTCAGGCGGTTCAAGACATTCTTGGTTGCCTTTAGTCCACTGAGAGCCGTCAGTAACAAGATGAAGGTCGGGTGAAAGACCGGCATGAGTGTATTGAGCATTGCCATGATCGCAAACGTCTCATCGGTTTTGACCTTCTGGCGCACATCCCGCAAGGCTTTCGCATTTTCGTTGTGGTGGCTGATTGCGTATCCCTCGAAAACGAAGAATTGGATGCCGCTACCAACAACAAGGTCGCCACTTTTCAGCCAGCAGAGGTCCCCAATCGAGTGGGTAGTGTAGTCTCTGATCCTGATATGCCGAAGATCAACCCAAGCCGAGCCATGTGCTGGATAAGTGTACCTGATCTGCCCCAGGATCACGATATGATAGTCAAAGCAGATGGCCAGCAGAGCAGACCCTTGTGGCGAGACTGCCCACGCGAACGTCTTGATAGTATCACTTCCATCGAGCTCATATTCATACTCACGAGACCCTGTTCTGGCGTCCCAAATTGTCAGACTGGTGCTGTTTCTGTTTACCACGACAATCTTGCCATATCCGCTGGCACTAATGACTCTAGGGTGTAGGATGTTGGTGGCAATAAGTCCGGCAGATATCAGGTGTGGCTTGGTAGAATCCGGCTGTTCTTGCGACTTGACCATCTCCAGTGTACCGCCCTTTGCAAGCACAGCAGCATAACCGAGGGCACTCGACTGCGCCGGCACGCCGGGACGGAGGTCGGTACTCATATTGTCACAGATCGAGACCAAGGAATCGTATCGATTCTGGGCGTGCAGCTTCACGTGACCCAGGGAACGTATAACCTCATGGTACCCGTTGGCCGCCGTTGGATCGTTGGCTGGGAGTAAAAACTCCCAGGCTTCCATGCTGTGATCCGGATAGTAGCCAATAATGACGCGACTGGTCAAAGCCCGTGAGCTTGCAATACGGCTCTGCGTGATGCGGTCCGGGAGTCGATCTGCTTCGAGTTCCCTAACAGCAAGTCTCCTAGCTTTTGCTTCGCGAATATCCCACAATTCCAGACCACCGGTGCTCAGGATGGCTGCATATCTACCGCGGGAAAGGATGACTACATCCTTGATGTCAACTCCCACGTTGAATGTGCTCCGTCGAAGCAGCGGGGCACTAGACAGATCTCCCCCATGCTGCCAGACACTGGCGAAGCCTCCATCAGCTGTCGACATGACAACGTTGGCGGCAACATTGCGAACAAGCCTCTCAATAGGAGCACCAGCTCCTGCTAGAGAAGTTATTAGTCGCGCGCGATGGTGTCGGTTCGCAGTGTCGAAGAGATGGGTGACCTGGCTGTCGTACCAATCAATATCGCCTGCGAATGAGTGCAGAAGAATTGACAAGGACGACGGCGTCGCGCCATCGGCAAAGATACAGAACTGAACGTAGTCGTGTAGAGGATCACTCAGCTGTGGCACCGAGATACTCATGCCATCCACATGGGAGATGTGAAATACAGAGGGAGGTATCTTATTCTTGTAGCCAGCGTTTTCCAGTCCCCAAATAGACATGTGGCCCAGCCCGTCGAGGACAATGCAGATCTCGGGGCTCCGGTTGGCGATTTCAATAAGATGCTCGAGAGCATGATCGGCAACCCTACCAATAGAGCTTTGTACAGCCTTCTCGGTCGCGCTGGAGAAGTCCCGACTGTCTATGATGAACGAATAGCGTCGTGCGCTCATCGAGTTGGCACTGAGTCTCCGCGGCTGTATCGAAGCGCTCATGTCAATGTCTCCAGCCTGCTGGAGGACAGTGAGGGCATGCTGATCGGAGGCGGTCCATGCTCGGACATGGTTGTCGGAACAGAAGGTGTAGAGTAGGTTATCCAAGTTCTGTTCCAGGTGCCATGGCTTCCGCCAGTGTAAATTCGTGACAGTTGAGGGATGTGGTAGGTATGAAACATCGAACCTCGTGCCGTCGACCTCATACGAAAGTCTCCTCCAGATCTTGACCAGTCTATCATGCTGGCCGATAGAGGCAACCAAGCTGCTGTCCGGCGAGAGGTACGCGAGCGCAGTAGGGTACGCCAGTGCTTGGTTCCATGTGATTATTGGTTCAGTCGATGGGGGAATGAACCAGAGAATCAGTCTCGACCCGCCGAGCAACAACTCTTCAGGTGAGCCCCAAGACAGAGAGGACACGACGGCGCCATCCGGATTCTTCAGCTCATGTATTTGGCTCCACCTCAACACGCCTTCCTCTCGGCCAAGGGGTCTGTAGATGTAGACGTGGCTCTTATCGCCGAGTGCGATCCGTCCGGTGGTCTCTTCGATGGTTATCGCCGTGAGTGCCTCGACTGTGTCGACATAGATAGTCTGAAGAATGGTCTGCGGACCAGTGAGGATGACGGCCGCATTGCCGGAGATGTATGCCTGGAGATTGGGTCAAAATCGTGGTGGTGGGAAGGTAAGATCGAAGAGAAGGACACTCACGACGATCCGTAGACCATCCCAATATGCAGTGCACAGAGCCTGCCGCTTCGATTGGGGTCGCCCGGGGAGGATGGCTCGCATCGAGCAGATGCAAGTGCTGGAGGTTGCAGTGCAGTGCTCAGGCTCTCATCTCACAGTCAATTCAAACAGAGTTGATCGAGCACTCACGTTCGAGTTTCGGCCCTGCAGTGCTGAATGACGCGCTCCGAGCATGACTTCTCCGCGTCGAGATAATTACCCCGAATCCGAGCCCGAATCTCAGATCAGGCTTGGGTACGTCACGCGAGGCAGCCTTCAGAAGGACACTGATCTACACTTCTCTTATTCACCTCTACGATTTCGTTGTCTTGTCCTGGAGATTCATTGAAAGGCACATTTAGAGCAGTCTGAGAACAAAACCTAAAATGGCACAAAAGACATTCATCCCGCTAGGTAGGGCGCCGCCTGGCAATATCACGAAACTGAACACAGAAAACTGACAAGCATTCTTGCCCATGTTTGACAGAGAACAACCCCGGGGTGATGACCAAACTGGCGCACCGTTTGGGGCTCTCTCCGGCTCTCTCCTTCCACGATGCTTATAGTCTGACTGATCCTGACTTGATCGCCCTCGTACCCCGGCCTGCCAGTGCTCTTTTGTTCACCTACCCTGGGTCACCGACAGCGGAAACTTATTATGCCAAAATCAATGACGCCGAGCCTGATTATGCAGGATCTGGCCCCAACGAACCCGTCATGTTCTACCATCAAGTCATCAACAACGCTTGTGGCCTCATCGGGCTTCTTCATTGCACCACCAATGGCACTGCTGCGGACTTCATCCGGGCGGGGAGTGACCTCGACAAATTGGTCAAGGATACCATCCCACTGAAACCAAAAGAGAGAGCTCAGTTCCTTCATGATTCGGACATGCTTGAGAAGGCGCATGCTGCAGCTGCCGAGTCCGGCGACAGCACAGTACCTCCTCTCGGCGAAGAGCCCGATCATGCTTTCATTGCGTTCGTTAAGGGGAAGGATGGCCACTTGTGGGAGCTGGAAGGAAGGAGGAAAGGCCCGGTAGACCTTGGTGTGCTCGGTGATGATGAAGATGCGCTGAGCGAAAAGGCATTGAGACTGGGCCCGCTGCCGTTCCTGAAGCGTGAGGAAGCCGCCGGCAGTGGTGATGTCCGGTTCAGCTGCACAGTGCTTGCCCCGACTATGGAATACTGACGAGAAGGCGCTAGCAACGAACCTTCAGTCTGCGAGAAGAAATTCCGGACTCTTGAGGTCAACCCAGCCAAGATTCGGCTCACTCTGTTTCCAACCAAGTCGCTCTTGTACGATTTTCGAGTACGTCTTGACCTCCGCGATGGGATACGACAAGAACGAGACTTCTTCCTGTCGATGCACGCCTGTGCAGGAAAACATGGCGTGAACTGTTCTGCTTTCTCTTGTCCCTTCCTTTGAAATACCAAGTGGTTTCTCATACGCGCCTCCTCCATGATAAAGGCTTCCAAGCATAATAAATGCTTCGCCTATCCGTAACTCGGCGTCGACTACGCCACGCTTCCCGTCCTTGCCAAAGTTAGGAATCTCGTCCCCCCACAAATGGCTGCCCGGGACCACTCTTGTAGCTCCATTGGCGGTTGTCGTGTCACATGCCGGGACAAACAACCCTAGCAGAATATCACGGCCTTTTTGGTATGATTCTGCGTGGCTGTGACGAGCGTGGTGATTCTTGTCGTCGCGATGCAGCCCCTGAGCAGGTGTACCAGGAGGGATATCGAAGGTAATAGAGATCGAGAGTAGCGGGTGACTTGTTGTGGTCACAGGCTTGTCACCGTACCAATGTGTTGTCTCCAATGCCAGGAAGTGCTCGCACAGCTCTTGGTAAAGCGGATCCGCGAAGAACTTCTCTCGAACAGTGGCGCTCTTTCCTATGAGGCGGGTGACCGTTCTAGTCTTTCCTTGAAGAGCTGAAGTTAATCAGTATGCTGCCCTGGCTGTGAGGAGGAGAGATTATACCGCCGACTTTGACTCCCTCCCCATGCTGCTCTAGATATGGGCGGACTTCACGACCGGCTTTCGCTAATGTGGCTTCGTTTGTGAAATCCTTGACTATAACGCAGCCGTCCGTCTCCAAGGCTTCGATAAACAAGGACAAAGGAGCCGTCCGAGAGACCCTTCTGATGTGACGTACTGGCGCGTGGTCCCCCTTGCGACTGTCGTACGCGACCCGACGTGCGTGCTGCAGGAACGAGGCCATTAGTTCGATTGTTTGGCTGTCGATGCAGGCCACCAGGGGTGCAATGATTGTTGCAACTCAGCTGTACAGACAAAATATAGACGACGGTACTCAACATATAAAGGGCGCCAACAAAGGTCTCATTGAGCTCGCCAAATAGTTTCTCCAAAACTTACCACTGCAAGGTCTCCCATGATGTACGACTAGGATTTTGTGGCGCCAAAGGGCCTTGCACGCTCTTGGAGTAAGCCAATCCACCCCTGAGAGCAAGGTGAATGCAACAGATCAAGTGAACGATGCCCCGTACAAGACGCACAAAAAGCCCTGCAAAAGGGCCGTTGAACGGCATAAGTAGAGTTCGCAAACGCTGACGACGACTCTTATCGGAAACGAGTATGGCGGTTTCCTCCGTCCTGCTTGGCACCGAGGTTTGTCATATTGCCATCACATTTCCCGTGCCAGTCTGCCAAATGAGTGTCATTTCGATTGTGTGAGGAGAGTACGGCACACTTGCATGTGTTGATTTGTTGCCATGGGCGGTAGGATCTACCATGGTGTCTTGGCTCATGTCGTTATTCGGATAAGTCGGCTGGATCGGTAATTGAAGAGCTCCATGAGATCAGAACGTGTTGCTGTGGCCATCTCCGTCACCATCACGCGTTTGCGAAGGCCGGAGGAACTCTGGATGCGTTTCCGCGAGCTGGTTCTAGACAATCTGAACCGCTCATGGTATGTGCGGAGGGGTAGTTCTGCCGGTCATACTCGGCTCACGTCGCTGAACCTAAGTCCCCGACTCACAAGGCTTTGTTTCCCTTGTTTCTTGGCTGGTCGGTGGTATTGGCTGGGACTGCGGTGCATTCTTTCGTGGCGGAATTGCCCCAAAATTGGTTCAAGGTACTACACCAAAGAGCCTGCCAGCGACAGGATCCCATTCGGAGGTCCACCGGCGCTGACTCTCAAGTCTGGCTCCATGTTTGAGTTGAACAAGCTTCTTCGATGCTGGGTCGAAGAGTTCGCGAAGGATACCTGCTAACTCCTCTGGGCTGCCGAAACCTTTGCCGTTAACGTCCTCTGTGACTAACTCAGACCATGCTGGAAACTTGCTCCAGCCTGCAACGGGGAGACCGGCACCAAACATGTCAACGACTTTCATGGGTAAATCGACTCCACTACTACTTGTGTGAAGCGATACGCCAAGGTCAGCGGAGCCTAGCAAAAGGGCATAGTCTTCGAAACTGAGCCAGTCGGTATAAATAGGCACCATCTCCAGCGCGTCGGCTGCGCGGAGCTCCTTGATCTTGTCGAGGTAGAGCTGCTTCTGTGGCCCTTTACCCGTGATCACGACAACCAGTTCCGGGAGCTGCGGATGAGTAGAGGTGGCACTAGCGGAGTAGCTACAGAGCGCATCGAGGAGGATACCAAAATCTTCATCAGGTGTCCAAGAAGTGGAAGAGACCAGTAGCCTGGCCTTGCCGTCTACCAATGCATTGAAGTGTGCGTTCACCGGGTGGTAGCGTTGTAAAAAGGATAGCCGCTGCATATCAGTGAGCGGCTGATACAAGTTCGCGGGACGATCATGGAGGGTTAGGACAGGAGCTGTGATGCCGTAGTCGGATCTTAGGACCTTTGCCATCGCATCTGTCACGGTGAAGTTTGCATAAGCAATCCTTGACAATGCAGTTTCGTAGAGTTTGGACATTCTGACTAGAGGATGACCTGCACCCAGTTTGAGAGCAAGGATGGAATAGCCAAAATTATGCCAATCCACGACGAGCCTAGTACGTCTGAAGAAAGCAACCACAGATACCAGTAGCAGAGTCGGTATTGAGGGCGGGTTCTATGCAGAGCCTCGTCAGTGAGCAGGCCCAGACGAATAAGAAGCGCATACCTGAACCAGCATCCACTTGCAAGCAGGAGTAGAATAGCTCAGAGCCTGCCAGAGGCTCCATGCCTGTAGCAACACTTTCAATGGCCCATACAGCAGGAACAGGACCTTGTTGCTTGTTTGCAGCGAATGGGGGGCTTGTGACAATGGGACTATTGCCACATGGGGATGAGAGAGCAGCTCCGGTAGAGGATCGGTTTCTGGCGAACCAAGGTTAGGCGAATATCAGCTAGAACGTCCGATGCTCACCCCGGTAGCCAACAAGCTGAACGTGGCCTCCATGTGTAGCAATGCTCAAGGCATGGTACTGCATGCGAGGACTTCGACCCAGGTCACCAAGAACCACGACTTGAACAGAACATCGCTGGTCCGAACGGTTCGCGGGAGACGGCAACAACAATAGCAGGACGGTGAAGATGGTGGAAGCGACCACCAATAAAGTCAAGATCATCTTCCTCAGAGCTTTACAATGCTCTTGAGGGTGGTGAGGGAGGAGCAGAGGTGGTGGAGGAGAGCGAAAATGACGTCGGCCAGTGAGAGTGAATTGAGAAGTTCTTTCACATTCGGTTTAGACTGGCAGCTTCAAAAGGGGCTCAATTGCGCGTCCGCCAATGGAAGATGCAAGTGAAGTAGCATGCCCAGCGGCGTTTGATGGATCCTCGTCCACGCCCTCAGCTCTCCCTTTCCAAGCATGACTTTGACTTTGGTATGCGGTGCTGCTGCCACTGACACATGTAGCCAGGAGCAGGCAGGTTGAACGTCCACTTCCACATTCCAACCAATTCACCATCGTTCTTTGGTGTCTGAGTCGATGACCAGGACGACGGCAACCTGCCACCCCAACCGGTCCAGCATCCTGAGGGGATCATGAGCGCAACTTTTACATTACCCGTTGCTTCCACCGACAGCAGCAGGCATGGGCATCCTCATGGTCCTTCCCACACCCACGCGCATTCTCACTCCCACCTACAGTCGAATCCGAGCATAGATGCACGGTCGCATCAGAGAAGTCGCACGGGAAGTCGGCTCACAGCACCGTTCCCTTTGACGCGAATACCCTCCGAGTCTATCGTTCACCAAAATGAGGCCAGTGTGGATATGAATCAATTGCCCCCCATCGACACGCACTCCCACCGAAACCAGCGCGTTAGTCCAGCCCCGTCCCTCGATCTTAATGGCATGCAATTTGGAGCAAAGAGACGGGACAATGAGAAGACAGCATATCCCTCCCCAGCTGCGCCTCAGCGGCCGGCTTTCAGGAGGCATCACTCAACGCCCACTCGATTCCTCTTGAAAAGCACCGAGAAGTACTCCCTGCTTCACGGCATCCTAGAAGATGACGAGTCAAGGCGCATATTCTATTTCATGATCCTGAACTTGTGCTTTATGGTGGTCCAGTCGACGTATGGCATTTTGACAGGGTCATTGGGCTTGATCAGCGACAGTATACACATGTTCTTCGATTGTGTGGCGCTCTTGGTCGGTGTTTGTGCTGCAGTCATGAGCAAGTGGCCTCCGAGCCTGAAGTTCCCATATGGGTACGGAAAGATCGACACCTTGGCTGGACTAGGGAACGGCATTTTCTTGATGCTCATTAGCATTGAGATTGTCTATGAAGCTGTTGAGCGGCTCTTCTCCGGAGCCGATGTCAGTCGAACGACTGAGCTACTTGTGGTCAGCACCCTGGGACTGTTGGTCAATCTGGTAGGCATCTTTGCCTTCCATGGAGCCCACGACCACGGACATGGACATGGGCACAGCCATAGCCACGGCCATTCCGATCACGATCATGCCCATGAGCACGACCATGACCATGGTCACAAGCATGTCCATAACCACCACGAAGAACCACCAACCCCAATGACCGCGTCGGCCTCTCCCATGAAACACAAGACTGGCGTGGCAAGCGACCCCCACCACCACCACCACCCTGGCGGGGAAAACATGCAAGGTATCTACCTGCACATCATGGCCGACGCTCTCGGATCTCTCGCCGTTGTCGGGTCGACCCTCCTTGTCCGCTGGACTGGCTGGAGTGGCTTCGACCCACTAGCCTCGTGCATTATCGCCGTCCTCATATTTGCATCTACAATCCCTCTCGTCACCTCGACGACGAAGATCCTTCTCTTATCGCTCAATTCCGACATCGAGTATAACCTCCGTGGCATCCTAAGCGGAGTCGCCGAGATCCGCGGCGTAGTCGGCTACACCGTCCCCAAGTTCTGGCTCGAAGACATGAAGAAAGAGCCAGGCCACCATCACGGCCATGACCATGGACATTCGCACACCCACACTCGCAAATCGAGTGAAGGCAAGAAATGCGACCATGACCACAACCACGCCCACCACCATGACCACGAACAGCCAGCCGATGATCCCACAGTGCTCGGTGTAATTCACGTCATTGCCTCGCAGACGGCAGATCTAGAAGACGTACGGGAGCGCGTGGACCTGTATCTCCGACAGAGGAAGATGGACGTCGTGATCCAGGTCGAAAGGGACGGCGAATTGCGATGTTGGTGTGGCGGCGGCGGCGGCATCAAGAGCCCCACTACAATCTAAGGACAGCGATGACTTGGCCGGCGTTTTGGGTGGTAAGGTTTATGTAGTTGGGAAATACCACACACAAGATAGGACAAGACAGGACATGCGGACACGATATCACATGACACACTGGAAAGTCATGCACGGCACCATCTGGTTCATGAGTGTAGCGCTACGGCTAGGGCTAGAGCTAGATACCGCATGAAAATGGGTCAATTTAGACAAACAATGTGAGCAGACGGGGACGGGACGACGCAGCAGACCGGACGACTCTATGCTATACTGCGCTTCATATTCATCATCGTCAGCATTTACAGAGTCCACCTGGTAAATGTAGGGTCTTACCAAGGACGGTGGATGATGTGCAACCCCAGGGCAGTCAGTCAACAGTCTTCATTGCCTTCCACCGTAAAGAGCTAGAAGTACTCCGCAGTGGCTTCGCGCAGGCAGCCATACGTGGCCACAGAGACTGTACAAATGCGAGAACAGTCAGTTGCCTGATTGGACCTGTCCAGGAGTACATACATACATACATACATATTGTGCTCAGACGTCGTGACCCGGGGGGGGGCGGGGGGGCGACTGGGTCTCCCTTCCTTTCCCTCAGATTGCGAAACTCGGTGTCACCGTCGCCTCTACTCGTGTGCCCTGCAGGAAGGGAGGAATGGGGGAGTCATCGGGCTGAGTGATTGGGCGGATTGGGATTGGGAAGGGGAAGAGAGAAAGACCGCCGATATGATTTAGTCCGGATGAAGATACCACATACCTAAGGATGTATATATGCATATACGTATTGATACAAGTATGTGTGTATATGCATACATGTCTAGGATTGCTCAAATATGTTTCTGTTTGTGCTGTTGTAGTGAGAGCTCATTTGGAAGATTGAAAGATCAGGCAGGTCATAGTTATAGCATACTCAGACTTAGAGTCATGGTCATAGTTATTCCTGTTGACATCGAGATATCATCAGTATACATCATCAGCGCCGCTAGTTGTTCCTCCGAATCAACAACGAATGTACAAAGCCGGTTTGTGACTTGTCATTCTAGTTTCAGTACTTGGACGAGAACAGCTCGTAACCCCTTTTGTTTTCCCTTTCGCCAGAACAGCCAACCTCAACCATCTTCCTCACTCGACATCGTGGTCTTGAGGACTTAATACCTGACACTTCCTTGCGAACTCAACTCCGCTGGCGGCCTCGGTTCGCCTCCTTGTTGATGGTGCGACCCTGTCGCAGCAGTGGTCGAGGTAACTTGGCTCTGCGTGTCGCTCATGCCAGTGCTCTGCCGATTTACAGGGACGGGGTGCATCACGTCCCCAGCAACCTCTGCCGGTGGCTTATAATGTCCCTGATCGTACGTACCACCCGAAGCGTAGAACGGTGGTGGCGGAGATTGGGCCTGTGGATAAGGACTCATTCCAGGATATCCCATACCTATGGGTTGGATGCCATAGGGGTTGCCGTATTGGTCGTGTTGGACCATCGCAGGCTGCATTTGTGGGGCACCGTATCCGAACGCCGGGCTAAAGCCATGCTGTGACGGAGTGCCATATAACTGTTGCTGCTGCATCGTTGGGCTGTCGATCCCCGTTGTTGCTACAGACATGTGCTTGGGATCACCTTGTGCAGCAATGTACGCGCCGGACTCGGGCCGAATTGGTCCTCCAGCTGCAGTGTTGGCCGCTTGGAGAGCCTTCATCTTCTTGCGGCGGCGGTGACGCACGGCAAGGCAACCCCAGAGAAAGCCAATGATGAGGAGGCCAGCAACGCCGACGCCGGCACCAATTCCGGCTTTGGCGCCGGTGGTTAGATGGGTGTGGTTATGATGGTCGTCATCCTCCACTTCCTCTGCACATGGGAGCCCGAGGGCGAAGACTCTGTCTGACTGTCAGCGTGAACGAGTTTGAAGGAGATATATAAAGGGAATCTAGAATAAGGATGAAACAGGATGCAACTGACTGAGTGACTACGACACTGACTGTCGGTACAGCTGTTGTGGTTGTAGATGCCGTTGCCAGAGATGCTATCACAGCAGACGTGATGGATGCAAGCACTTCAGAGTCGGGCGTGATGGCCGTTGTAAGAATGCTCACGCAAGGGGGGTAATTGCCGACCAAGACCTGACCATATACCTGGAAGCCTGACGGACTGATGAAGTCGGTCAGCAATGAGACACAGCAGGATTCAACACAGCCGATTGGAGTGGATGGGATGGCCTGTCATACCAGCACACGGGGTCAATGTCAACCATGTCACTATCCTCGAAGTCAGGTCACGTCGCCGAAGTGAGGTTCGAGCTTGGGATTACCTTGGGCAAACAGTAAGCGGGGCCTCGCTCAGCATCGAGATCACGCCCGTAGGGGTCGGGCTAGGGGTCGTGCCTGTCCACGATGTCGTATGCTCTTCATCTTCTCCCTCGCCACCCGAGTCTGTGGCGGCTGCTGAAGCAGAACCGGTCTCTTCAGGTTTGGAGTTGGTGAAGTTGAGGGATGGACAGCATTCTGGGCGGTCATCGGAACAACCCACCAAGGGAACTTCAATGGAGCCGCCGTCAGGGAAGGTCAACATTGTAAATCTAGCAATGGCACATCTAAGGAATCATCAGCAGAGTGTTTTCGCCCATGGTAGAGTGTCAACGTGCGTTCCTACTAGCAAAGCCTGACCTGTGTAAGGTACAGTTTGGATGGCAGGGATACTAGTTGAGGCCGGAGCATACGCCGTGGTCGTCGCCCCATCATTGGTACTGCCTGTAGTGTACGAGGTGTAGATTGTGGTGCTTCCATACTCCGTGGTTGTGGTCGAGTCTGTTGCGGTGATGGTTGCCGTATCGGAGAGCGACTGAGCGTGGGCGAAGAAGGGGAAAACAAGAAAGAACAAGGTCAATCCGGAAGATGTCCCCATAACTGCAACGAAAAGTAGCCAACCTGGGAGGTGAGCAATCTCGAGCCCCAAAAAATCAGGTTCAGACTGCGTTGGGGAGCAGCGGAGGAAAAGCAAGAAACATTCTCAGCCCTGCGGCGACCGACTTCGTTATAGCGCTCTGTCCGCGATGTGATTGAACTTACTGTAGTAGAGGCTTGGGAGGTCTTGCCGCGGCTAGGCAGGTGCCTCGAAGAGTCGGCCGATGCCCAGGACCACAGTCTCGGAAGTGCGTTGGTGAGAGTTGGTCGGACACGAAGTCACTAGGTCTGGATCTGTCTTCAGCCCTCCAATGCTCGACGATTAAGCGACATCAAGACAGTCGTGAAGTCCAAAGCTTAACTTCAGCGGCTGGGCGCAACGGTCAGGATTGGCCGGTCCATGGCTGGACCCTGGTTGACACGATGCTGGACACCAGCCGCGTTTTCTACGGGTCGGTTCGCCTTGTCGCGGTGAAATAATGGTCATGTATTGCAGCCGCCTCTTCCCCAAGTGAAATAGACTTAGCTTCGGGGCCAGGGCAGACAGCCGGAACGCCAGTAGGACGAAATCAGCCAGTCGTGAAAGCCATTGTTTCGACGGGAAGCAGTAGAGGAAGTTTGGATTAACAAGGGCACAGAAGCGGGAGCAAGTCAGCCACCGATGGGCTTGAGGATTGGCAATTCCTCGCTTGGGAGGCTCGCGTGGTGTTATACTTCTCGTACCACCAGCCCCATAGGCAAGATTTCGAAGAAAGAGGAAAGCGTCTATAAGCTCAATGGCGGAAGGAGGAAAGCTGCGAGGTCACAGTGGGCCGCCATCTCCGAGCCCAAGTTTCAGCTGCCAAGCTACCAAGAGACTGGGCATCTTGGCTTGCAGGCTCCATCAGGGTCAACAGTCGCCAGAGTCGAGAGTCTGGAGTCTGAACAAGGACAAATCACCTCGTCTTCGAATCCCGGCTTTTCCTGCGCCATGTCCTGCGGCTGATGCTGCTACTGGAAGTAACTGCCAGCCGCTCCAATGTTCTGCATATCATTCGGTGGACTGCAATCCGCCTGTCCTTTGCCCCTCTACAAAGACAATGGTTCGGGCTAACCCGTTGAACATATAATTAGGTGACCACACCGAGGACAATGATGCCAGCCTATACCGCTGGTTCCTAGTTCGCCATGCTTATATCAACTGGTAGAGTGGATGGAAAGCAGGAGAGTACCACTGCGCAGCTGGCGTAGAACAAGGCGAAGACGTTGATCACAAATCCATAGCGACCAAGGTTCCATCGTGGCGGAGGCGATGGCTCGTCCGGGATCCTATGAAGGGCGACACAGCCGCTCGAGAGCATGTAGGTGCTCGTCAAAGCCAGTAACGTCCCTGAGAAGATGATGTATAAAGCCGTCGTTGAGCCAATATTGATCAGGCAGAGTAAGGCGAACCAGAAAGACAATGCATACACGGCATTGCATGGGATGTTCCGCTTCTTTTCGATCTTGCTCAGCCATCTTCGAAATGGAAATCTTTGGGTCCCTGGAGAAGGCGAAGGCTTCTCGGCTGGTTGTCGCCGAAGCTGTAATGTCATCGCTGAATATGAGGACGAGGAGCATAATGCAGAGCACGAATGCGACTGCGTTCTATCCGGTGTTTAGAAAGAGTTGCAGATATGGTGCATCGTCCTCGATGGCGTCCTCCAAACGGGCCAATGCAGAAGAGCATCGTAATGAGCATGATAATGCCCATTGAGACGTCGAGGAGGAAGCTCCACCACATTGATCGTGGGACGTTCAACGAAGCATCTGCGACTTCTCCTGAAATGTGACAAGCACTATCTGAGCCTGTAATAGACATATCAGCTCATTCATCGGCTGAGTGGCTGGTGGCTTGCTTACCGAGATTACAGTATAGCACAGACACCTGCGATACAAGACACGCGGTGCCGATGTTTCCCAAACCGCCGTTATCAACAAGGATCGCGAAGACGTCCTTGTAGCTATTTCTCGGACACAGGACTGTTGATGGAGAAGCGAACAACGGCCAGTCCACAGTGCATGGCCACCGACCCTGTGAAACGCTGCGACGACACAACCCAGAGTGGTACAATGGTCACCAGAAACCCAAAGAGTGTGGCCGAACAAGCTGATGATCTCGATCATTGGCAGGCTAACAGATCGACAGCGTGGCTGAACTCTCGCTCGGCAGGTGCCAGTCTGAGAGCTTCTCACGTTGTCGCACCCCAGCTGTTGAAAAAGATGGTTATCACTACAAGCGCGATAGTAATGAGCATATATTGCCACTTAGAAACACGAAACCCGAATTCGTGACCTCGAATCGAGACGCCGACCAAGGTGCCACAGACGAAGACGCCGGAAGAACAACTTGCCAACCATCCCAGCGTGAACGTCCAGGCAGGACCCACCGTCAACATGGCCTACACAGAATGAGACCGACACAAATACCCATGTCACCATATATCGGGGTGGGCGAGCATCGGTGTTAGTACTGTCGAAATCATGGCTTCGGACCTGTTTAGTGTTGAAAAGAACTCCACCACTCACAGGGAGATAAACCCGAAGTTCGATTATCAACGAAAAGCTGCGTCTAAATTCTTGACGCTTGCCAAGACGAAACATGACTCTGATGTCCTCTATGATATCGCCAGACAAACCCATGGTGAGCCTCTCCAAGACCGTTGTCAAGGGGGGCTCACTCGTCGGCCATCGTTGAGCAAAATCTAAGATGCGCCATCGCCTGATCGCTGTCAACTTTGTCTTTGCCATAACTTCCTCATACGCATTCATGGTGGTCGCTAACGGCCAATCCTCTCTTATCATTCCCTGAGTACGCCGTGCGCGTCCCAGCCCGTGGTGTGTTGAGCAGCGCAAGATGGAGAGTCAAGCACCACGACTGGGCTCAAATAGCAAGGAGTTAACGATGCCGCGCTTGCGAGTCCCTCCGTTGCCGAAAGTCACAGTGATCTTCAAGCCTGCATATCGCCGTTGACACTTGTGAAGGTTGAGGAAAGGGACAATAGCCTAGGCGCAGTTCCTGGCACCCAGGTTAGAGAGAAGAATCTTTCATGCAGAAGTGTCACTTCGGTGAAAGCCTTTCATCGCGGGCAAGAGCCAATCTGGTGGCTCGGCCTCTCCGAGAGGATTGGATCTACATGATTATCATCTTCAGCAATGTAGCTGGCTGCCAGCTTATCGGTGGCGCCATGTAACCAATGAATATATGGTGGGTTCTATGATACCAGATGCGCGATACTGTGTACTGTAGCACTGGTTTATCCAGACTGTGTCCTCTTCCCCAGTCGCCGTGGAAAAGACGCCTGCGCGGAATGTCCAAGTGTCACATTCGCGGTGAGGAGTGATGGTGTTGCTGCGTACGAGCTCTAGCAAGGTAGCCCATAGCCCGAGAAGGTGAGACAAGCAAAAAGAAATTCAAGTCTTCAGGTTCTGTGTAAATTACATGTCATCATAGTGATTCTACCCAAGATCATAAGAATAATGTGACCTGCTTAAGAATGTCTCCCTCCTGACGGGCGCCCTCGCGGTATCTGTACACGTTCGTGGGAGTGCCCCGTCATCTTCATCACGCACTGCAGCACGAAGAGGAGTTCAAGTATCCAACTTGCCTAAGCATCCAGCAACGCCTTGCGTATAATCAAAAAGTGACCTGCGTGGCCGCCGAAGCGGATGGAGGGTTGTGCAGGCGCAAATTATAACCACAACGCGGTTTACAGACCAGCGGCAATCTTGCCGGCGGCCTCGTCAGCCACGCTCTCCTCATACCAAGCCTTGATGCGAGCGGCCTTCTCGGGGCTCCGGACCTTGACATCCATCTTGAAGGGGAGGGGACCACCGATCAGGTTGGGGGTGAAAGCAAGCGAGTCTGGCCACATGGGTTGTCCGTTCGCGTCTTTTTCCGGAAGGAGTTCAAAGCAGCCAACAATGGAGCCGCAAGCAACGAGCAGTTCAGCCTCAGTAACCTCAATACCTGGGCACATGCGGCGGCCCATGCCAAAACCGTGATGACCCATAAGTCTGGGGTGTTCCGTAAGAGGTTCCTTGTAGGTGGGGTACTCCTTCTCCAGCCATCTCTCGGGTTTGAATGTTTCTGCGTCGGGATAGAGCTCCGGGTTGCGGGCAAGGGCCAGGTCGACAGCGTGAATAACCGCACCCTTGGGAAGGTAGTAGCCGTTCCATTCGTCATCCTCCTCAAGGAGACGGGGGACACCCAACGGGACTGGTGGTCGCCATCTGACGCACTCCTTGATCGCGGCGCGGAGGACAGGCAGGTTGGGAGCGTCAGAAACCTCAATGACACGGTCGCCGATGACCTCGTCGTATTCCTTGCGGACCTTCTCTTGCCACTCTGGGTGAAGAACCATGGCGAGGAAGAAGCAGTAGAGAGGACCACCAATTGTGAAGATAGCGACGGTGACCAGCATGCCAACAGCGTAAGCGGCCTCGTGGTCGTCGAATCCGAAGGATCTGTTGCCGCCTTCAGCCTCTTTGCGCTCGAAGTAGGTTCTGGCGTAGCTGATGGGAGCAATGCCTTGGTCCATTTCCATACGAACTTGCTTCATCAAACCCTTCCACAGCTTTTCCTCCTTTTCACGTCGCTCACGGACACGAGCGATTGAGGGATTGAGCCATTCGGGGAGGCTGCCGAGGAAAGGCAAGAGGTTGGTGATGGGTCCAGAGGGCGAAATCTGGGGAATGAACTCTCCGGCATTTTTGCAGTGGGCGGCAGCAGATGCAGGGCTGCCATAGCCAAGACGAGCGCTGATGCGGCCGCAGAAGCGATCGGTCAGGGCGAAGTGATCCTTGGGATCCACGAGGAGCTTGTACAAGAATCGCTTGCATTCGTGGCTGACATAGCCGTAGTACTTCTGGTTGAAGCCCTGGGTCAGGACAGTGTGGGCGAACTTGCGCTGGTTGCGCCAGTGGTCTGCATTGATCAGTCAGAATCCCTCGATTCCATTGAGTAGTAGATCAACTTACCGTCGTGAGCCAAAAGAGGGAGGTACTGGCCCTGGGAGTCGCTGCCTGGGACAGCAGGTACCATAGGGCGCGAGGAGTAAATCCTGGCCTTCTTGCAGAGAAGGTCGTAGGCAATCTGCGCATCACCAACCCAAATGTGCATCTCTCCGCAGATTGTGGAGCGGAAGATTCCGTTGTACTCGTCGCAGAATTTCTTCATCGCGAACCAAGGGGCATTTGGGTCGACATCGTGGACGCGTCCGATGTAGGGGATGGTGCTCGTCGGGCCAGGAATGAGCTTGAGGCCTGGCGGGGGTCTGTCTCGAAGGGAGTATTTGATTATTTGAATCGCAGTAACGAGGACAAAAATGCTGGTACCAATGAACCATTTGTAGGTTCCAATGGCATTGAATGCCTGCTGCGGCTGGAAAAGAGCGTCGGAGGTCTCGTTGGCGTTGAGATAGCTGGATAGCTGGGTCATAATGACCGACGGCGAGATGGAGGCCGCCATGGCGATCGAACTGCCCTGCAACAATAATTGCAAAAGGACTCGACCCAAACGAAGGGAAGGATAAGGATTGATATGGGAACGATCGAAAGGGGTCGGGGATTGGGGCCTCTAGGGAGTCGGTCATATATCAGGCCAGCAGCAGCCACACGCAGGATGGAGATGACTTGCCTGGCTGGGCAGGCCCCAAGGACGCCGCGTCTGGAGACATCTTACGGAGTACCGAAAACGAGCAACCTGATAGGCGCGTGGGAAGGCGCAGTTGTAATCAGAACTGGATTCCACGTCCCAGGAGCGTCAGACTTGTCCGTGGCTAACACGTTGTTTGCAAGTGCTAACAACGGTCTAGAGACTCGCTACATTGGCTGCACATTAGACATTCGCTAGTGTCACTCCCCCACCACACCGCCTGGCCCAATGGACGCTTAGCGCCCCGCCAGGCGTCCCTAATTTTGGAACATCAGCTTTACAGCCACAGCCTCTTGGCGGTGTTGCCCTGATACAGCCCCTGGGGCCACTTAACTAAGATTGGCATGTCCGTAGCGCGAGACGCCGCTCATTTACTCTGTAGGCACTGGGCTCGTATTGTCGGATGCAAAGCACTATGTTTTGAGCACCGCACCCGATACCCGACGCTAACATGTGGCTAACGATGGCGACACAGTCGAGAAACACTGGAAACATGGGACATCATCGTGTGTAGCGGCTACCACTCTGGGGAGAATCGACCGTAATACAAAGTACTTCAATGATTGACTCGTATGAGGACCTCTGGAAGCAGATATAACTTCCTTACTACCCCCGACTTTTGCGTCTGGAAGGATCAAATTAATGATTTTCAAGAGGATGCGAAGGATGGACTCTGCAGGGGCTGTTGTCTGGCTCCCTAACCAGTCAATCCTTGATCCATTGCTTACAGAGTACCCAGTACATTGGGAGGTTCTGGACGCTCATGCACGCGCCCCTGGGCCCCTTCTCGTACGAGTACAATGGATCAGTGCGGCTGGGAGGCTCAGTTTTCAGTCTGGGTCCTCAGTTAGAAACAAGTAGTGACGCGCTTATTTACTGAATACGCATACCCTTCGTCTTCAGTTCAACATATTTTGATCACACCGTAGAATCCTTCGCGGGTGTGGCACTTAGGTAGCGAGGCAACCAGGTCACTCCAGACTGATGCTGGTACGGGGTACCTTCCAGGGAGTTGGATAATACTTCGCGTGTGTATGAGGTACTGGCGCCGCCCGATCTCGGCTATCGTGAGACGCTGTCGTTCCTCTGTAACGGGATCCATTCACCACGTTACTGGTAGTGCTGAGGGCCTGTTTACGAAACCAATGGGTAATCCGTGCATCCTTCAAGCTCCGAATTTATCTTTCGTTAACCCCAGAACATGTTCAGGAGCCAGCTCGTAGGGCTAGACGACACAGGACTCCTCCTTCTATGCTTGTCAGTTTGCTCACCTCTTGGATCAAACTGTATCGAGTAATCCGGCATGATGTTCCGAAGACCGGTAACCTACGTCAACTCAGAGAGACCAGTCATGTGTGTGCACCCGTTCATCCGTTGAAATCTTGTCCTTCACAATCCGGGGTCTACAGGGCAATATCCTCAGCCTTACGATCCGGACTAGGACGTGGGCAAGGCTGCACTTCTTGGCGCTCCTTGCGAACTTTCCCACGTGAAACCATGTTCGAAGCTACACCACTACACTCTTGCCAGTGAACCTGGGCATAGTGAGAATGGCAATCATTGGTTCTATGGCGCCTTGACTATTTCCGGCTGCATTCGAGTTACTGGATACGAGGTACTGCTCACAGCAGGCACAGCGTCGACTTGTTCTATCTCACCGAACTGAACAAGTCGCAGATACTGCCGTGACCAGTCCGGGAAGCCTCCAAAATCCTGCGGGAGCAGCCCCGTTGCGACTCTTGTCACCGCTTGACCTGACTCCCTCCCACTTGCGATCTCCTGATTGCTCCAATGCACTGCCTCACCGGGGATATTGAACCTGTCACTCTGCCGTTTTGGCCAACATGCAAAAATGCACTGTCTTGGTCTACCGAGGAGCTGGCAGTTGCGGCAGGCGAAGTTGTGCACATCCTTACGCCTTGCGATTCGCTCACTCCACCAGAAAACCCCAGTCACAAGCAATGGCACACTCATACCGTCCGTGTCAACCAGTTTGAACCCAGCGAATGGCCACCCCAAGCCCTCGCTACGGTCTCTCAATTTTCACTCGGGGAAGAACTATCAGAATCGACGATCGTCTCCATTGCCTGGTCTCCCCCAGGGCTGGGTGTCTACAGAAGAAGTGTCCTAACCGTCTTGACATCTAATCTCATATTATCGCTATGGGAGACCAATGGAAGACTGGGGGTGTGGCGGCGTACAGCCATCGTCAACCTGTATCTGTCAACACCAAATGCCGGCGAAGGCGTGGACCATGCAAGACGTCAGCGAAGAGTTCGTGCCTTTGCTTGGCTGCCCAGCCTCCCATCTACTCCAAAATCCACATGGGGACGGCAAATTCTTGTCGTGGCTGACGATAGCTATACCATATTGGTCTATCATGTGTCAGGAAAAGGTGCTGTTGATGGGCAGTGGTCCTTCCGACTTCTGACACAGTACACAACCGCAGGCACGCACCACCCTGACTTCAACATAACAAGAACGCAGAGTCTGCGAACCATTCTAACCCATTCATCGCCTATCTCGAGTCTCGAGACGACTGCGTGGCAAGTGGAGGGTGATCTAGGTGATGTCGAGACGAAAAGTCTGGTTGTCAAGGTGAGTCGCGGTCAGTGCTGTGCCCCCACGTTTCTGCAGTTGCAGGTCCGCGGCTCCAACGCAGCTCCAGCCAAAGATGAACGTGAACTGGAAACCTCGATCATCCCCTTGCCATCGATGCCTGGTCTCATTATTCCCGTGCCACCTTCCAAAGACATGTTCGAACCGGTTGTCGAGGAGTCTTGTTCAGAGTTCGTTCGAAACCACGGGCTCCGCGGGAAAGTTCGTGTCAATCACTGGGGCACCGTGTGGTCTCCTGATCACAATATTGCAGCAGCTTGCGTGTCGCTGCACCCTTCAGACATGATTGAATATGTCATACCTTCGGCTCAGCGCGTCATCCTTCATTTCATACGCGAGCAAGAGTCTTTAGCTGAGGAGGTTGCCATGGAAGATCCCGTCAACGTGCAAAAACGCATATTTGAATTCATGCTGGAATCATCGGAAGGCCAGATAAACACCGACTTCGACCGGAAGACTATCAGAAATACTGCTGCTCTCATGAAGCTGAATTTCAAAGATTCAATTGATGTGGCTGACCTGGTAGACGCGTGGTTAGCACGACATCAATGCACTGTGGCAAAAGAAAAGGCTTTGGGCGGGGACGTGCAAGACCAAGACACAGAAAACCAGCAGGAGGAGCAGATGGATCTGGATCGCCCGGGGACAGGGAGGGAGCATGATACAGCCGAAGAGGTGTGCGAGCTCTGTGGCGAGCCTATTCCGTTCACATCAGACTTCGATCGAGCCAGATGCGATCGAGGCCATCAATTCAGCCGGTGCTGGCTCTCCTTTGTTGCTATCCAAGAGCCTGGAATTTCAAAGTACTGTTCTAAATGCGGAAGGCAATTCCTCGATCTCGCTAAGATGGAATTCCAAGGCGATGGTCCGAGCTTGGGTCAAGCGCTGTTCGACCGGTTCGATGCCTGCCCCTACTGCCAAGGCAAATATCGAGGTTGAGACTGGAATGCGGCTCGACATCGGAGATAGTCCATCTTGTGTCACCACAACGAGATTGAGGCTGTGAACAGGGGCTTCCATACCTCTGGACGCGATGATGAAAACCCATCTTTGTTCCATCCGAAAGGGTCAAACGATCCCTGCTTCGCCGGATTTGAGGTTGCTGTCGACCGTCGACGTCTCCTGGTCGCAGCATTACCGCAAACGGAAAAGTTCTTTCAAAGCCAGCACGCTCCGAAAACGACCGCTTCGAGATGGCGGCGCTTGAAATATACACCCAGCATGATGCGATGTGCGGCTTCTTTGAAGTGTCTTGTCTTGATTGTTCAACCCAATGGTCTTCCACCCTACGAGTCCAGTACGAGTCTTTGCAGAAAAGGAAGTCATTTTCCATCAGATCCATACAACGCCAAAAGGAAGCGCCATTTCCGACGAGGACGAGAACAATATGTCTCCAGCGGATATGTCGGGGTCCGTGTCGTCGGCGTCAGGCTGGCGCGGTCGCCTTATGCCACGAAGACAGAGTCAAGACAAAAAAGCTCGTCCTAAGGAGATTAGCCGATGGTCGAAGACCACCACAGAGTCAGAACTGTCTGAAGCCGAGTTAGAACCAGTCTCGAAGAGGAGGAGCTTCCTCAAGAAGAAACAAAATCCGAGAAAGAATTCCAAAGAGGTGGACAACAATAGTCCAACAGATCCCTTTTACGACCCTGTCATGAAGCAGCTCCAACCCTATGGAGGAGACACGCCTCCCATCATCACTGCCAGTCGACCAGACGACACAGAGGATCCTCAAACATTTCTTGATGACGCTTCAGACGATGGGACTTTGGACAGCCCGACGAGCCCTGTCATCCAGCGAGCCAGCAGTGTCCGAGTAAGCAGGCCCCAGGTCATTCGGCACAGTAACAGCTCTGCCGCATCAGTGCCAAAGCTATGTCCCCCACAGAACACTCCTTTTTCAGTCCACGACACGTCATCGTTGTCGAAGCCTCCACAAACTCTAGGTGAAGACCTAGGCAACCGTCTAACGCCCGCTGTGGAGGGGGATGAAAAAGACAACTCCCCAGGCGGACCGATCGACGCCCTGAGAGCACTGGAAGGCAACGACACCAATGGAACCGACGGCGACATCACTGCCTTACCGCAGATCCCCGGCCAAAGCAGCCTCGAGCCCCGCGACTCGTTGAGAGAAACCATTGTCTCATGGCCCGACACCCCATCTCGACTCGAAGCGCTCGACACTATGCCCACACCGATGGGCGGGTTCGGGTCCATGCGCATCCCTCGCGCTTCGAACGGCACCTTTTCCACAGACAGCTCAGCCACGTATGTGTCCCCCTCGTCCATTATAATTGATGGCCTGCGTTCCAACCCTCCAACCGAGACGGACAAGAAGCTCTCCCGTGCCATTTCCGCCCCGGTGCGCAATTCACGGCGCGTGATGATCCGTCCCGCCGACTTGGTAATCAACAAAGCCGGCCACGATCACAAGCTGTTCAGGGAGAACATCGTCAGCACACCCTATCCGGTCAGGAAAAGCAGCCATGTGGAGATTGATGGTATACTTGCCGCCTCTGCTTCGCAATCTCCACAAAAGGAGGGAAACAAAGGCAAGCGGACGTCGAAGCTCAGGCGCTCGAGGCCGCTTTCCCATACTGCTGAAAGATCCGAACCGGACGACGAGACAGCTGATATTGCGGATCCCCTCGACACAACTTCTACAGGCTCCCCGAATGAGAAAGCGCCGAGAATCCCTTTTTCTACTAAACCTACACCCCTACAAAGCGCGACAGTAGCCAACACTGCCCAGTCCGACCGATTCCCCTCGCCCTCTGCGCCGGAGATCCTCTTCATCGAGCTCGGACTTGCTCGTCACCCCTGCACGCGCGTGGCAGTAGAGATCGAGGTGACGGACAAAGCGACCTTCGACGACGAACAACTCTCCACCGCCATGCGAGATCACTACATCAACAGACTCATAGGAAAAGCACGATTGTGGTTCTGCGCCAGAACGATCGAGGACGCGAGCCTGGACTGGGGAAGAGACCTAGACGATTCCACAACCTGGGGCTCTACCTCTCCTAGGACGTCCGGACTCTGGCACACCCACCACAACGCAGGATTCGTCCACGGCGGTGGCGCGAACCGCGAATTCGATCCCGCCGACTTCGTTCGCCATCTCCGCACACCGCGCCTTGGCCGCCGGCGGAAGGTGTGGCTCCTCTGGCTCCGCAGCGCACAACAGCACGAATACACCGCTGGGACGGGATCATGTCGAGGGCGTCGATCCTATCTCCCCAAACCAGCGCCCATCAGCCACGGTTTCAGTAATAGTACTAGCACCAACCACAGCCCGCAGGACGAAAAGTCCACAAGCCCAGTCTTCTCGTTCACGCACTCGCGCCAGAACAGCGCGGCGAACCAGCCGCAGCCGCAGCCGCAGCATCTCCACATCCACCTCGACCAGCAGGCAGACAAGTCGCCGACGCAGGAATACCGCGGCGTGGTGTCCAAGCAGCCGAGCCTCTCCATCGGTCGTATGCCGTTCACATCACCCCCCACGAATCCTCAACCACAAACCCCGTCGTTCCCGACGTCGTTCAACCGCTCGAGAACCCTAGCCATGTCGTCTTCCTATTGTCCATCTGCATATTCACCTGCATATTCACCTGCATATCCGCATCCACATCATCCTGAAGGACACCCTGGCTCCTACTCATCAACAACCCACGCAGTCCACGGCCCGCTCCTCCCACCATCAATCTCGCTACACCACAGATTCTCCATCCCGGCTGTCGCGCTCTTCACTTGCCTCGTGCTCTTCCTCGCCTTCGTCACCACCGTCCTCTGGATCCTCTTCGGCTACCCCGGCAGCAGTGCCACGCAGGGCAACGGCGTGACGACCATTTCGGGCCAGGACTTCGATGTTCCCTGGCGGAGGGACGCCCAGGCGCGCGTAGGTGTCGGATTGGTCATGGGCGTGATGGTCTTGCTTGTGGGTGCCGTGCTTGAGGGCGGGTGGATCTGGGCGAGTCGGGTGCTTGTGTAGGTAGCTAGGTTGGTGCACAAGTATACTTTCTACCGGGCTTGCAGATAGATCAGTAATTATGGATCAATTGGTTCGTTGGCCGGTCGGTCGGTTGATATATTTATCAAATGCATCAAAGCATAGGTGCGTTGATCTGATGCATGTATAATGCATAATGCATGATGAATGGATCTCTGAGAGAATGGTGGAGAGGAGTCCGGGACGCGCAATTGCTGTGAGTCATGCAAGTCGTGCAAGTCTTGTATGCGATGTATGTACTCTAGGGAATAGTTCAACTTTCATCTTCAACTTTCATCTTGAACGTTCCATCTCCCATCTTCAACCTTCAATCTTCAATCGTCAACCTTCAAGCTGCTTACGGCGTACAACCTGATCCACAATGAATTCTTGACCCGTGGCATGGCATAGACGTGGGGTTAATGAGAGGACCGAGATCAACAATCTCCGAGAAAGACACAGATCACGCACGAATGTACGCGTGGCCTCGAGATGTCTCCGAGAGTACTCCGTGCATACCACATACATAGGTGGACGACTTGTGTGTGGCTCATCTTCTTCTGATGAAATGTTGGACAGTGACTGACAAGGGCCGAGCGTATGGCAGAGACACACGGACAGACCGGATCGTAATGTGTTTGCGCCCACCATTCAGGGGGGTTTGGATAGATATGCAAACTGCAATGTTGGTCCCCTTTCGGGACTGCAGTGGTAACCACCACATTCAGATATCTTGAGATATTCTCCGATTGTCTATCGACAGGATGTATATATATTTGTAAATTGCAATGTCGAGGTCCTTCTTGTCAAAATATGTAGCGCCCTTTTTGCGTGATTCGTGTCCCGCTTGCCACCCTTCTTTATTCAAGCCTTCACACCCATCCATCCCGGAAGCGCCGACTTCCGCTTGCCCGTCGCCTTGCTCGCTGGATCCTTGTCTTTCTCCTTCTCCGCCACTTCGATTGCGCTCCGCATGCTCTCAAAGCTGAATTTCGGTCGCAGAGACAGGTCCATCGCATTGTTGCCCCCTAGATACGAGGCGGAAAGTTCTTGCTCCCACGGTGCCGCCACCGAAGTCGCCATGGAGGTGGAGGTGGCGGTGGTGGCCGAAGTCGGTGTGATGATTGTCACTGTCGTCGTTGTGGTCGTCGAAGTCGGACTCTCTGTGGTGGATGTCGGACTAGGCCTCTCCTTTCCGAGCACGTCTGATTCGTCGCTTACAGGCGGCTCTGCTTGAGATTGATCAACAATGGAGGCCCGGTGCAAAAGCTGACTGATATCCTGACGAGACGGCTGATCTTCGCCTGCAGGTGCTTTTCCTTGCGCTGATGTAATGGATGTATCAGAACGGGCTACCGCGAGGGGGTTTTCAAGCGGCGTTCTCTCCATGAGACCAGTCGTAATGAGTTGCATGTCATTGGGGACCGCCGTCGAGAAAGGTTCGACAATCGCTCGAGCTGCCGATGATACTTGAAGATCAGGTCGGTCCATCGCAATCTCGTGGTCTACTGCTCCCGCTTGCGACATCGTCGCAAAATCTCGAGTCTGTATGGTAGAGTCCTCCATGTCAGTCTGCTCGATCATCAATGGCTGGTGTTCGTCGGCTTCGAGCTCGAGCTCTTCGTCTTCTTCGAAAATTGGGCCGGTGCCTCCATTTCGCTTCCCATGTAAACTTGCAAATCTGACGAAGCCGGGAGGCGCAGAGTTCCTCTTCAATTTTATTGGGCTCGCATTCTTCTGCCGGAGGGGCTGCCGTACCGGACTCGACGCGGCAATTTCCATGTCCATTTCACCAGTGTGCTGCAGCTGCTCGGGTTGAGGCTCGGGCGGCCCATTGTACGGCTCGATACTAGCTTGTCGGGTCTCATTCTGCCCTACTTGCATCGGTAAGATCGGGGTGAATTTGTCGCGGCTGGCATCAGAACTCCTTCTAGCAGATGAACCGGATGTCCGCTCTATTTCAAAGCTGAAGTTTGTCCGCAGATTTTCATTCTCCAGGACCGGGCTCAGTTCGCTGTTAAAGCCGTGGGGCCGTTTCAACCTCCCGCAGCAGGAGCAACGAGCGTAGACCGGAGCAGAAGTGATATCCTTTTCTTTGCCTTTGTGCCCGTCTGGAATCGTCAAGGACAGCGGTCGAACAACCGGGTGAGTCGCGAAGTCGCCATTTTCGACTGCCGCACCATCCGCGGCGGGCTCCCCAAGCGGTGCGGCCGGTACAGGTTCCTTCTTTGGGGGTTCTGTTGAAACTTCATCCTGGGGCAAAGACAGGGTCCTTCGTCTTAGTTTCTTCAATTTCTTCTCCGGGCTTTCATGGTGATGTTTGTCTCCCCCAAACAGTGCTGCGTGTATTGTGAACCGCCTCTGCTTGTCTTTCTCCTTCCTAGGGGATTCTGGGACAGGAATATCCTTGGGGTTCGGATCAGATACAGTGGGTGTAGCCTTGGGCAGGCTTTCGACAACGGCTGTTTCTGTTTCGATCTGAGCATCTTCATCGCCACCCTGGATTTTTGGCTGATTATGCGGGTCATCTGCAGCATCGAATGCCGGAAACTTGTGGGTGCCATCAACGATGATCGAGACGGGAGAGTCGGTCAATCTGGGTGGACTGGGCTGCCTCGATGACGGTGCGCTGACATTGGGCAGAGAATTGGCACGTGTGTTTCGCAGACTATGCACCTGCTCGATGCTCTGGTCACTCGATCCACGTTTCGCGAGTTCCGGCGATGTGCTGATTTGGCTCTGCCTCGGCCTGGAAAAGTACGAGAGGGGATTGTTGACAATCTGGTGAGAAGGGTATTGGAGCATGTTTACGGAGCCTGTGCGCGTCACCTCAGGGCCGCGATATGTCGGGAGGCCGCGATACGTTGAGGATCCAGAGCTTGATGGGCGAGATGAGATACCGTTACCGGACATGAAAGCAGCCTGTACTGACCCGCGAGGTCGAGGGGCATGAATGACTCCGCTTGCGTGGCCATGAGAAATGCCGTGACCATGATGGTGATGACCATGAGTGCTGGATTGCGATGGGCGTCGGTGCCCGCTGGGAGTGTGTGGGGGAGTTGGGATGCTGAAACTGTTGTTTCGCGAGACGGGGTTTCTGTGCGCCTGTGGCTGGTATGCGGGAGGTTCGTCCGGAGTTGCTGGAGGAGTTGCATTGGTCGAACGACGCGACCTGGCTGGAGATGAAGTCGATTTGGCACTGGACTGACTCCCGGTTCTGGAGGCCAGGGCCCCATTATTAAGCGACCGGATTTCGGCTGGCGTCAACTTCGCGACATGCGCACTGTTGCGGACGGCGTGTCGTTGTCGTTGCTTCAGCGTCTTTTGCAACTTGGCCATGTCGAAGTCGTCTGCGGCGAGTCAGTATCGGTTGTACAGAGCAAGGATAAAGGCAGAAATTTCAACGCATGAAGATTCGTGGGCAGGACGTTGAGATGGGTCCGAGCGAAAAGTACTCCGTGTCGGGCGTTGAAGTCAATGGTCAGCCACGGGAAAATGGCCGTCTGCACGATAAGCTTTCGACTGAGACAGGAAACGCGACTCACCGGACGGATGCGCAGTGGGTGCCATGGTGGGCATGGCTGGCAAGGCTTGCGTTGGACGAGGAATACTTCCCCGTCCTTGTGCGAATAGACTATTGCCGTCCAAACCCGCTCGAGAATATCCGGTCAGCAGGAGGTGGTACAGTCGTGGGTCAAGTCAGCCAAGATCCCAAGGTACCAGGGACGATCAGGCCTCTCAGGCACGCAATACGGATGGCGGCGCAGGGCAACTTTCCTCAAGAGAGCCGTGAATGAAGTCGGAGCTGACTTGCAGGATTACTAGCGCTACGAGTCGAGACAGAAGCGAGTGACGGTGTCCGGATTGGCGTTCGAAAAATTCATTGAATACAGAGTCGAGTGGGTGATGCGATCGTCATTCCCAAAGCGGTCGCTTTGGCTGGGGGCTGATGTGTCAGATGCGTGGTTGAGCGAGTGTCGGAATTGAAAGCTGCGGGCGACCGTAATCGACTAGGCGCGCGCGCGATATATGGCGTAGAGACGCAGTCGTCGTGTAGGATGACCGTCCTGAGTACGGTGGGTGAAACGAATGACTGGAAGGAGGAAGGGTGGTAAAACGGCTTCAGACGAAGAAGTTTCGAGGTGACAGCAAGGAGGGGCAGTCGACTTGCACGGTGTCGGGGAACCGTGATCGAGCCGGGTGTGTGTCGCTAACGCTGGAGCAGGAGCTGGTTCTGGTGCTGGAACCCGACTGGTATCGTGATCCTGGTGATGATGGCTGGATTGACAATGGTGTCAGTGGGTGCGCGAAGAGAAGAGGTCCATGACCACACCACTTTGTCTGCCTGCTCTGCCCTGTTACCCTCTCTTGTATGGAGTATCTCCTGCTCTTCTCTGATACATCCCGTGCCGGCGGATGGGTGCCATCGCCGCGTGGAGTTTGCCCAGATTAAGCATGGGCTCGGTTCCTGGATGGGGTGTGCAAGGGTGTCTTGGTGCGTGAGGCTTGATCCGCTTGCACGGTCGTTGGCTGGGTTTTGGGAATTGTCTGAGTTCGGCGTGCGCCTCTTCCAATGAAATGCTGCCCAGGACTTGGAGATTGACGACTGAACGCCATTGATGAGGCGCCTGCGGAGCCACAGAATCACGATCCACTGACGGTCGGTTAAAGACTCGCAGTCACGAGGCACATGGACGCGGAAACTCACAGATGCGACCGAATATTGGGCAGCCTCGTTCCACTCTCCTTTGCCTCTTTCGCAGCATGGACGTTTTGACAGCTCAACATTATCTCTCAATAGTCCCTGCTCGACCAGCTGAGGCGTTGAGATTGAGACATCGGTCGCGCCCTGCGCTGAGCCGCTGTCGGTGAGATAACATGATCAGATCCAGGTACCAGGGACCAGGGACTGCGAAGGAAACCAATCTCGCCTGGCTGACACGCTTACGTGTCGGGTTTCGACCCTTTATCGACGCTTGTTATCAGAGTCGAGGTCCTTGGCTCATGATACTTATGTACACAGTGCCATAATAGAGATACGGGCACGTTTTAGGAGGCACATTCCCGGTGCGTTAACACCGAGTACCGGGGGAACGTTTACAAGCAGTGCGTGGCCTTCACATCAGCTCTCCTACTATTTACTATACCCAATTTCCCAACTTTTTATCCCAATCCGCGCTGGGATCTTCCATCCCAGTTGACCGTTTCCTTCGTTCCGTCATAAAAGTAGACATTCATGAGCGTCCTCGCGGGAGGACCACAACCTTGGGTAAATTAACATATGCTGTGAAGGTGGTCAAATGACCATCGATCGGGCGCAGGGCTGTCCGCTTTGCCTGTCCCTGATCATACACGGCGGCAGTCAAAGTGCGAGGTTGACTTATTGTCACAGCGCCAGGCCCGTTCCATCACCAGTCCACCTATACAATGCGAGTACCTCTCGCCGCCAGTGCTGTTGCTCAGCCAAATCCTCGGGAATACGACCACGAACCTGCTGGAGCGCCGAGCGCATGACCTTCCGGAAATTGCGCTATGGGCCTGTTAGCTGTTTCCTGAGGTGACAGTGTAAGATCCAAGCGTACCTGGTATTGCGTGTCCAGCGTGGCCACGCATGCTTCGTGGGCCCGAACAATTGTCTCACATGCCTTGACAACATCGGGACTCACATCGCCCTGAAGTTTGTCGGCGAATAACAACAGTAAGAAACTGCCTTGGAGCAGATATACTCCGAAAAAGAAGGGCATGAAACTCAAATCAGGGTCGTCCTCGATGATTTCGGCCACCGCCTCGGCTGCGGACACGGCATGCCCTGTGGCGGTCACGAAGGATTGCGACGATATCCACAGGTCGTTGTCATCCAACAAAGCAATTGGGTCCCATTTGCCCGTCAAGAGAATGTGCAAGACGTGCATAATATGAGTACCGTATGCCACGACTGTCTTCGTTTGCAAAGCGAGCTCCGAAGCACTGTGCGACTCGTTCGTGCCGGCGGAGACGACCGAGGGAGTGACCACATCGTTGTGGCTCGTGTCCTGGAAATGTCCTCCTGCCGCTTCAAAGTCTTTCAGACTCTGCCCATAAGTCTCCAGCTGCAGGGTGATTTCGTCTGTGTGATCGTCCCAGTTCTTGGCCTTGTTTGCGCGGGGCCCAAACCGTGGCCTGTTCCGAGCATGGTTGAGATCCAAAATCTCACCCAATATCACCATCAGAGGCAAGAAATACCCGAACACACTGTGCGACGTGCACTCGATGTTCAGTCCCCTCCGTCTGAGCGCTGGATCAGAAGCCCGGTCAAAACGCCCAGCTTGGAAGATCTCGTCGTCCAGTGGTTGCAAAAGGCCTTCGCACTCCTTGTTGAGAAAGAACATAGGCCGATTGTAGCATAAAGCTAGATGCCGATCCTGCATATAGAGCAGCCACCAAGTTCGCCGACGTTCCTCCCTCTCTTCCTCCGACACATATCCTATAGAATTGCGCCGAGCATCATCCACCGAATTCTTGCGATTGTCTCCCGCATGACCATCTGTGTTGTTATTCGTTTGATTATTGTCTTCGCCGTCCTGCTCAGGCGGATTGGGAGGCAGTTCTCGACCGAGTCGAATCTCTCGAGCGAGCGACCATGCCGCATTCCACCATCTCAAACTAGCTGCTTTCCGCTCGCTCGCCGAGACCACCGTAGCCAGGTGAATATAAGTTGCCAGGTTGTCTATCTGAGCTCGATCCACTCCGTGTCCCCCAGAATGTGTCGGTACAACCAGAGCACCCAGTCCTCCATCATTAGCGGTCATTTGTGGATAGTTTGGATTGGGAGTTGGCACCGAGGTATTGGGATGGCTGTGAATAAGTGGTTTCAGCATGTTGATTGTAAGTTCCAACAACCTTTGACATATACGAGCTCGGGCATCCAGCTGCGCGGTCAAAAAGGCAGCGTCACTGGTTTGTGCCGCGATCCATAACATGCTAGCCAGCAGCGCTGGAGTACATGGACGAGGGTCGGTGGGATGCAGAATAGACTTCTTCCGGAAAATGTAGCCCAGAATATATGCGTTAGCGGGTCTCAGGTATGCCGAGGTCGAACTCGTGAAGTATTGCTCGAGCAGGTCGCAGGCCAATGCTTGAGGAATGATGGACTCGATATGGGGTAGGAGAGGACGCAGGACTGGATATCTCAAAGTGTCGGTGATGCGAGGCTGGGCCGGGAGGGGCTCGTTGATGAACATTGGCGAGGTGAGTGCAAGCCAATCCGGCGACTCGACCATGGGAGCTTTGCCCATGAAGGCGACAGAGTAATCGTCACCCAGCGGAAATCCAAAGCCTTGTGTCGCTCCTTGTACGTGCATGGGGTCGAGGCTGGACGGCGCATATGCCTGGTTGGGGACGGCAAACTCGATAGCCTGCGTCTGGGCAATGGATGGTATCATGTTCGGTTCCATTTCGTGCATTGGATGTGCGCCCGTCATTCCTACTCCTGACGAAGGATCGAAATTGGCGAAGAAGGCATTCTGATGAGGGTTGGGGTCGAACCCTGCGCTGGGGGGTGTATTGTTCGACGGTAAGGGATTGGCATCGACCAAGCCATCGCGACCGGCAAAAGAGGTACTAGAATACTTTCTCGAGCCTGCGGACTGACGCACAGCGGATTGATGGTTGGTGGACGGCTGAACAGTGGTTCCGTAGTTTGCTTCATCCTGCCCATCCGTCTCTTTCTTTGGTGCTCGGCCTCTCTTCTTGTGAGCACGAGCATACTCGCAGATGAGAGAGTTCTCGGTGCAGTGCGCGCAGGGTTGTTTGCCGTCACATTTAGTACGCAGTTGATTGCATTGGTCACAGGCTCGACTTATTCGCCGGCGAACGGCCGCCGCGTCGCTGGACTCGTTGTTCCCATCAAGCTCCGACTCTCGTCTCTTGCGACCGGCCTGAAGGTTGTCATTTTCATATTTAGGCTGCGGGTGGAGGACAGAGGTGAGCTGTTGCGGTTGGGAGGTGATCATGTCGGATCTCTGGGCATAGTCGTGGTATTCGGAGTAGCTGTTGTGGGTTTGTGGGGGAATGCGGGAGAGCATGGCGGCGGGATTTGAGGGTGAGAGCAGCACGAGGCCGTTGTCATAGTCTCTCGATGTTCGCTCGAGTGCCGTCAAGAGTCGGCGGACAGCCAAAAAGACGCTGTTTGTTTGATGAAGGTTGCGATCGACGACAGCCCAAGCACTGAGGACACACAGCTTCTGCCGTAACGGGGATAAAAGCGGTGGAAACGGTCGCAGCAGGGTAGCACAATCTGAGGAGTGGCAGTTTCGGTGTGGTGTGGAGACTTTTTTTGCTCACATGAGATGCTGGAGGATCGAACATGGAGTCGGAGCGGGCACGCGGCGGAGGGCACGAGTCAAACGTCGGGATTTGGACGCCTCGACCACCACGCGCATGAGAACGAAAAACATGGGATCATGAGCAGTCTCATGCAGCAGACATGCCCAATCGGCAGCAATTGTGCTTGTCCTGTGCAGGCGAGCCAGCGAGAGGCACGGGGAAAGCTGCTGGCAAAAGCAGGGTCTTTGATGAATTGCGAAAGGCATGGCAGTTCACCGGGGGGGCATGTTGCTTGCCCTGGCACGCCTGGCTAATGAACGTTGGAAGCTGGGGGCCCGCCCACCAAGTTAGTTAGGCAAGCTGGGGTTAAGTAGAGGATCATGTTCGGCCCTCTTTATTGGCAGCGTGGTCGGCTGCACGAAGGCTGGCCGAGTCGTAACTCGTACAAAGTACTCCGTACAGGGATGGTGGTCCCAGTGGGTGGTCGCGGTGGGCGGGTGGGCGGGGACCGATCACGCATCTTTCCTGGCAACCATCTCCGGCCACATCTTCACGTCCCAAGGCTGAGAATGCCCATCTAGGGACACCGTGCAGGAAACACATGTCGACTACGATCCTGACCGACCAGACGCTGGTGGGAGATGAGTGAGACAATCATTAACAAAGTGGCGGTCTCTCCAGCGTAATCGAGTCTTGAATTGGGATCCACTGGGAGAATTCCATCTCTTCTCGCAGCTTCCTTGTGGGGGAAAGGCGCAAGATGCGGGGCACGCCTACGCACTGTGTTTGGCTAGAAGTGCCCACCTAGGTGGCGCCCCGAACATCGAGCCGCGGCTGCTCGATGACTGCAGGCGCCCAAAAGCTCGTGCGCACCACGCGCAAGGGTAGCTTTCCACTGGACCGGCCGTTGCTCTTCTTATTCAACGGGTTACACCATCAAGATTTCGAAGCTCCTCTGCGCCAACCTGCCACCGTCTTTTTGCTGCATACTACGATGCCGCATTCTCGTGATCGTGACGCTACGCAGAAGGTGCTAAAGTGCGCAGTCCTGCCCATGCTTTCATCCAAGTGTCGATATCTAGGCCTTGCGCAGCATCCCCCGTCGAACTGTAATAATGCTTGCATATTCTCGGAACGACAGCGAAAGGCCCCGGGAGTTCTTTGCCATAGCTCACCATAAAAGCAGTCACGTTGGTAGATACTTCTGGGATGGCGTTAACTGGCTTGCATGGAATTAAACGTCCTCTGGGCACTCAGCTGCAATAGTTCCGGGATTTTCACCCTCTCTCGTCTGGTCTAATTTCGAAGACACCCATCCCGAAACTATTTGCTTTCGAGTGTGCCACAACCACAATAGCACATTTCTCGAGGGCAATGTAAGCACTTGAGGTTGTTGGCAGCTGCAGCTAGCTGGCGTATGGAGATAATGGCCATGCAACAATGCTGCCCTTTGTGGAATGTCTGTGGTGAATTGACTCGGACTTTTGTGATTTACCATGGCCGTCCTGCATTGAACGCGCTGCCTTCCCTTGCTCCGTGTATAGTTCACGCCCCGCTGGAATGATTTACACAACCCTGCCTGGTATTCTTCTCAATTGTTGCCGAGATGTGCACCGTCTCTTCGTGTATCCCCGGCGGTGCGAATATATGAGGGTCTGAGGCTTCTCCGAATTGCATGCCGGCAGAAGTTTAGTCGCTAATGATTAAGCGACGAGTGTCTCGTCATAGTAGTCGAGCCTTTAGCATTCAGAAGGAACGGTAGCCTCGGGGGCCGCTGTACCCCCCAGAGATCGACTCGCCGAGGCCGCTGACGGTAAATTGTGTTCCTAGGACCCATAACTCGTACCTCTCGGCGTTTCATTGCGGAGCATGTTGGCTCAAAATCTTGTTCAGCCCTTCTCGTTGTACGCATTCATCAAAGTGAAAGCTGTGTGCCAGCTCATCCAAATCTTTGAAGTCCATCCCCTGGAATTGTTTTGCGAACTCATCGGAGAATTGCGCGCTCAACCACGTTTGGATCACCGCGCGCATGACGTGCCTTTCAGTCTGCCACGGGCCTGGGTAAGCGTCTTTTGCGGTTGGGCAGATCTTATCGATCCACTCCACCAGAGGATTCAATGCAGCCTCAGCTTCAGCGGAGTGGTGTACTCCCCAGGCATCCAACCGATATCGCTTCTTCTTGTCTAGGAAGGGCTGTATGGTCCGATTCCACTTCGAGTTTCTGTTCGTGTGCATCATTCCTTGCACTCCGATGTCCTTGTACAGCCAGATACTCCAGCTGATCTTATGCTTGTCGTAGATATTCAATTGCTGGCCGAGCATGTTATATCGGTCATGGTTGATGCCTTCAGCATCCTCTTCCTCTGCTGGGTCGGCGTACACTGGACCGAATTCTCCATTCCAGATGGGGCATTTGTGCTTGAGCATGAATTCGGCCTTTCGCAGGAACTGTCGTTCCAGCTTACGATTCTGGTCTTCTGTGCCCTTGTAGCGGTCACCAGTGGGGAAGCCCATCATCTGCATTTAATTAGCGGAAAACTTACGGTTAACTTATACCTGCAAGACGTACGGAATAGTCGTGTAATGCGTACACGCAATTAGGCAACACGTCGTCAAAGCCGATCCACTCCATCGAGAAGGTGTTGCCGTCTAACCACAGGATGTGGTGCGGGTCGATGGCACGAATAGCCGGTTCCAACCGTTTATAGAAAGCTGGAAGGCGGATGTGTTCAGGGTCGCAGGGTTCGTTGATGGGATTGTAGCCTGCCACCCATTTGTTGTCTTTGTATCTCTTTGCAATCTCTTGCCACAGCCAAACGGTTCTGTCTTGGTGGTCCTTGTAATCCCAGAACGCCGAATAGTTGGTCGGATTATCGGAGTGCCAATCTGGATTTTGACCTCCCGGCACAGTATGCATATCAAGAATTGTGTAGATCTGGTGCTTCGCACACTAGTAGGCGTCAGATCTGCTCGCTTTTGCCTCGGTCTATCGGTATCTCACTCACAATATCGATGACTCTGTCGAGATGTTTGAAGCCCGACTCCTTCAACACTCGTGGGTTCATGTCGTCTTCAAGATGTCGGTAATTGAAGGGTAGTCGAATGCAGTTCAGCTTCAGGCTTGCGAAGAACCGGGCGTCTGCCTCGGTGAAGTGGTATTCGAGCCATTTGTCGAAGAAGTATTCCGCCTTCTCCTCTCCAAGCACCTTTCTCATCGAGGCTCTATGTTGAAACTCGTGTCCGGGATACCCTGTGATAAAATTCTCCATGCTACGTGGATGTGAGCTCGAGTTCTGTCGGGGGGAAGGCAGCCTCACTTCATCCAGCCTCCAATTGCTGCACCACGAAGAACTACCTGCTGCCCATTTCCGTCCACAATCTTGTCGCCTTCGACCTTGAGGTAGCCTGACGCCATATCTGCTTTGCTGTGCTTTGCTTGGGAGACACCGAAGAGAGATACTCACGGCTACAGCATGAATAGTCTTACCTTCTGGGTTCCGGGTATTTAGGAATGGTGGAGGATTGGCCACAGAGCATGTTTGTATTAGTGTTCAGCATTGGCTGGAGGGATCCATCGCTTTCGCAGGCAGCGTTTCCCACCGACGGAAAGCATGCCGGTCGAGGTTCTGAGATGACACCGGATCAATGGTGGGGGGTCTCTATCTCAATCTCTCGAGGTCGAGGAAGTCCACATGATGGACTCTCCGGCTAAAAGGTTCGGGTATCCCGCCTGATATTCGGGAGAAGGACCTTGGAGATGTGAAGGACGGACGGTGGATGGACGATGAATGGGGAGACAATGACGTGCATCACAGCAGCTGCAGTCTTTTAGCCGTGAAGGTCTTGGCGAGAGACAGTCGACACGAGTGGTGAGAACAGTCCCAATCCAGCTCAATTGCAACTCACTCTAGTCTCGAGTTGAATATAGCTACGAGAGTTCACAATGCTGTACTGCCGAATGTCAGACACTTGGCTGTAGAGATCCTACTTAGTAAGAGACAGTGGTGGTAAAGTCATCCAAAAACACATCTCTATCCAGATCAATTGCGGCTCGCTGATGGCTCAAATCGGAATCCAGTTGTTGGAAGCGACAGGGCTGGACAATGCCCAGAATTTCAGACGGCTGTCTTGAGTTCTGCATCACGGTTCAGCTCAGCCCTGCCTTTGCCCTTCTTCACTACTTGCTCGACCACTGTCGATCTTGACTCCAACGGATGTTCTTCTACCCTTGAGCAAATCTCCGAGAAGGATATGGTCGGCCAGGGAATTGCGACAGCTTGACTATCGTATGAGGCTCGTCCCTGCGATGAACTGTCTGAGCTCTCGTCTCTCATGAAATCCGATCACGTTGTGCTCTCCAGAGCTTTGGCCCAGTCCGGAGGAAGCCCCTGTTCATAAGCTCAACTTGCGAAGTCATGTTCTGATTAAGTTCGACTCACAGTGTATCTGCCATATAGCACGTCATATCTGACGTGTGTGACATGCATAAGATTCTCTGGACGAGAGATCTTTACTCGACGTGGCAGTTTCCGAAGCGTGGGCCCGTCGGGGGACTTTATGCGAGTGTTCTGACTGTATCTTTCCCGGGAGTTGTCGTTCTGGGCTCTTCGCATCAAGGAGCGGAGCGTGGCCTTGTAGGCGTTTGCCTGCAGGATTTCGGCGTCAAAGGAGAAGTTCGCTGAAAACCTTGAGGTCCCGGTCGTGGTCCTGGTGCGTTGGGTGACAATGGACGCTGAGTCGCACACGACTATCAGGGAGGTCGAATCATCCCTGACCTGATCGAAGACGCTCCTCGACTCCGTCTCTTGCAGGAACTCTTGTTGCACTCTTGGGTTTCGACATTTGAACGCTGTAACAAGCAAATTGAGCGCATTAATCTGCCGATCCAGCCGAGTAAGGCAGTCTTCAGTCCCTTTGCTCTCGAGCATCAGGTTAACTTTGCTGAGAAATGTGACTTCATCCGTATCATTATACTGAAGTTTGGCAAGTTGCTCGTCAAGGAGGCGGAGAAGGAGGTTGCAGCAGCCAATTGCGGCGCTGAGGTCCAGAGTCAGCTGGTAGTGTTGTTCATCTCGCGAGAGAGATTCGACAATCAGCAGGTTGATTTGGCTGAGAGCTGCTCTTACGGTGATCAACTGGCCCGAGAGCGTTTCTATCGTGAGATTTGATTCCTTGAAGCGCTGGCGCATCTCTGCGAGGGAGCATATGCATCCTGTTGCGATGTCGATGATCCCAAGGAGGGAGCCGACAGCTCCGATCGCTTCCATAACCAGGAGAATGGGCACTCAGAATCACGACGACTTCTGCTACTGTCAAGGTCTGGCCGCCCAACCTGAGAAATAGATTGGAGCGCAACAAAGGTAAGTCAGTGGGGAAAAGCTCGAGGTGTTGCGTCGCTTCTGCCCCAGTAAAAGAACTTGGTCAGGGGGCAAGCGTGGAGATGAAACTTCTTAGGGCCTGGCGGCTCGGATGCCTGGCACACCAGGGCCGAGTATATCGTGGCGGAGCATCTGCCCAGATAGCCTAGGAGCCCCTCGCGATGCACTCCAGCAGCGTGTCTCTATCAGACTTGATCAATCCAAACCGTGGATAAGGAATGCTCTGTCGACATTAGCGAGGATCATTTGCACGTAGCACGGCCGATATGATGACAGCTGAACCAAACCAATGAATATTATCCATCTTAGATTGACGCTACTTCTTCCAACGAGACTACATCCATCGTCACAGCGACTCCTGTCACTGATTGAAATAATAGCCGATGCTATAGTTCAACCACGCACATTGAGGGAGGTCAACAAACGTCCCAGTCGAAGCTGGATAGTCCAAATGTTTGATTGGACCAGTAGCGTTCGACACTTTCGGCCAAGGACCTGAAGCGTGAACACCCTGTAGAGTGTTTGTGTAGCCTCTGGCTTGAAGGTAATTGATCGGGATGTTGGGCTGCCCGGTCTTGACGAACTCAGCAAAGTAGCCGCTGACCAGCTGCACGGAGTACAAGTCTTTGGCATCTCTGAGAGGAACATAGAAATTACCGAATGCCCAGTCCATGTCAGCGCCGTGTAGTTTGAAGTATGGGAGGTTTGGATTTCCATTCGGATAGCCAGGCGTGACAGGGGCACCGGCAACGTTTTCTGGGTTGTAGCCATTGATCGTGCGGTCCATCTGATAATAGTATGTAGCAGGGAATGTCCCTGTTTCGGCGCCGGCATAGACTGTCGCTTGGTCGATGCAGCGGAAAGTGGTATCAGTCGCAACACGCTGCGATACATTGAAGGCATCAAGGGTCTTGTTCCCAGAATCGTAATAGGGAAACAACCCCGACTGGATAATGGCTTGTGCGTAAGACGCGTTGATGCCTAAGCCTGTCATCAAGCCCTGGGTCTCGTTCTGCACTGGTGTCGGAGATATCGTCGAAAAGGATGCCCCATCGTTCGCGGCAACGCCGAATATTATGGGCACATACGCACTGCCACCATTCTTCTTTGTGACTTCGAGCTGGGAGGAGTTGACAATTGTTCCATCCTGGACCACGTATCTTGCAACCGTCTGTAGATTGACCAGGGCGGTGGCATTGACAGTCTCCAGGCAAGCAATCTTCCCGCTGAGAGTTGACTGGGTACAGTTCGACGCGTTGAAAATCTGAGGTCCGGCCACAGTATATGATTCGTTCAAGGTATAGTATGACGAGTACGTGGTTCCGTAGTTACTCTCAAGGCCTAAAGTCTCTCCGCCGCCCAAGTTGGACATGGCAATGGCACCTTGGAACAAGCCGATGGCGGGCGGGCTTCCGAGGAGAGCTCGTACTGAGCCAGCACCTGCGGACTCTCCCATGATTGTAATCTTCTTTGGGTCTCCACCGAACTGGGCAATATTCCGGACAGTCCAGTTCAAAGCCACGATCTGGTCTCCGATGCCATAGTTACCTTTGATGTCTGTGCCAGGGATGGCGAGAAAGCCCAAGGTCGATAGTCGGTAGTTGACATTGACCACGACGATGTCTTCCCGCGAAGCCAGGTTACCGCCATCGCTGAGTGGATCGGCGCCGCTGCCACCAGTGAAACCGCCACCATGGATCCAGACTAGATAAATCAGCAGCGCTCAGTCTCCAGGCGCTAGGTAAGTGAGAAAGCTTACATAAAACAGGTCGCAAGGCTTTCGTCGAGCCAGTCTTGGGGATGTAGGGAGTCTGGATGTTAAGGAACAAGCAGTCCTCACTCGTGCTGTTCTGGTATGGCTGAGAACATTGGGAGCCGTACGCAGTCACGTTCAATATCTGGCCCTTTTTACTGTATAGGTGAGAGTAGACCCAGCGTTGTGGGGGGTCGGCGTATCTAATGCCAAGAAAACGGAATGACTTCTGGTTGCGATAGCCGACATAGGTGTTTCCTGCCGCCGCCACGATCACCTGGTTCGAGGCACGTGCTGTTGAGTTCGGAGGTTGGCTGGCGTCACTCGATTGCGTGCAGAGAACAGGGAGGGGAGTGTTGCCTTGTGGTGTACTTGGAAAAGACAGTTGCGCTTGAGCGGAGACTTCCAAGTTCCCCCTTGCAATGTGGTACTGCTGGTTGGGCGACACTCTTCCAGAGAATGCCAAATATGCCAACGCCGAAGAGAAGTCGCTGCTGTAGTTCTGAATGGCGGCCTGAGTCAAAAGAGTCTCGCTCAAAGCTTGGCATGCAGCTTGCCCAGCAGACGCTGGCATGGGGTCGAGGAGGATAGCGCCGACATGATTGACATCGTCAGAGGCATTCAGGTTGTTCTGGAAGACGTACGTCAAGGAGCTCCCGGAGTTGGACACAGAAACGGGTGCTCTTCGCTCTGCATCATGCGGATGTCCCCGAGCAGTCACAGCGAGCACGGCGAGTGACAGAGCGATTCGAAGCATCGAAGGCATCGTCACAGGGGTGCGATTCCACTCAAGAAATAGCTAGCGAAGGTAGAAATGCCCAGAAGTCCTGGGCAGATATTCTTACCATTATCACACTCAATTCCACCACACCGTACTCCGTCATTGTCTGCATGATCATCTCCGTACGTCCGTGGTGTCGTAGAATTCATGCTATTTTCATCTCTCAGTCAACCCGCAGGACAAATGCCGGGAGAGAAGAGCAGCTGTTGAGACGCCGTTCTAAGACAGGCAGGCAGTTGTCCCTCGTACAAGTTTTCTGGCTAGGGTCAAGATGCGGAGGTGCTTCGCGTCGATGCCGGTTGAATATGCAGACAAGGTCACCGTCTCTTGACCGCGGCGCTGGGGTATGAAAGGCAATCTAGCATTATAGCCGCGAAAAGGGTCCATCTCGCAAAAGAACAGTCAATGACGGCGACAACTGCAGGTCGACCACCCTAGGTCGGTCTGCTACGCAGGAACCCATCTTGCAAGTGGAAGGTCGGAGGCTGCGATATTCAGGCTGAAATGATCTGGGGTCTGATTGGCTGCGACTCGAACTTAGTCATTTGCCAAAAGCGGCCTAGCGCACAAATATCGTCGAGAACCGAATCTTGGCGCTACTCAGGCTCAACTTGCACCCTTGACGTTCACCTTGCATTTGATCTGCAGCTATCCCCGGCTCTATTCCCATCTCCGCATTCGATCAGAGCTTAACTGGCTAAATAATCTCATGGAAGCTATGGCACGGCTGGTGGTCTTGCGAAAGAATGCTTGCAGACGATCCAGCGTTGCTCCGCTTTCAGTGTCCGTGGCAGAGCAGTCAATGTTACCTCCACTAGGAACATCACTGAGCTTGTTGAATGAGACAGGAAGGTGCAGCATCCTGCAATTCCCACAGCAGACCATGTCCTGATCTGTGTTGATTTATACCAAAGGTAGGTCGCGTTTGTTCTGGCAAGACCTCAAGCGCGTGTGACACTTATTCTATCATGGCGGCCTTTTGCGCCCTTTTGTTCCTGTGCTGCTTTGGCTGGGCAACCCAAGCACAGCAGAATCTGATCGCTTTCAATCAATCTGCTGGTGCTCTGCTGCTCGCAGATTCGTCTACAGCGCCCGTGATACTAGTCAGCAACGATGAATGGGCGGGGTGGGTACTCCCAAAGCTAGCCTGGCTGATGCGATACAAGTCTTTGGTGCTGACAATACCACAGTGTGCAACGAGCGGCGGGTGATCTAGGTCGTGATTTTGGACGTGTAATCGGCGTCAATGGCACTGTCCTTACGTTTAATTCCAGCTCCGGTGCCCAGTCCAGTGCACCCGTCGTCATTGCAGGCACAGTGGGCAAGTCCAGTCTGATACGGTCGCTTGTCCAATCCGGAAAGATCAATGTCGACAGTATACGAGGCCAATGGGAGAGCTATCAGATACAGCTGGTTTCAAACCCATTGGAGGGCGTAAGCAGCGCACTCGTTGTTGCCGGCGCGGACAAAAGAGGCTCGATTTATGGCATCTACGACATTTCCGAACAAATGGGTGTATCGCCTTGGTATTGGTGGGCTGATGTGCCTGCCATGTCGCAGAAGTCCGTCTATGTACAGAATGTCACAAAGGTGCAGCCATCGCCTTCGGTCAAGTACCGCGGGTTCTTCCTCAATGACGAGCAGCCTGCTCTGACGAACTGGCTGAACACCCGCTACCCGCCTGGTGAATATGGCCCTGGCTTCAATCATCTCTTCTACTCCACAGTCTTTGAGCTCCTGCTCCGCCTCAGAGCCAACTACATGTGGCCTGCACAATGGGGTATGTATGCATCCTGTCTTGGGCAAGCCTCTTCTAACGGTCTTCCAGCGAGCATGTTCTACGTGGACGACCCGCTAAATCCGGCAACCGCGGACGAGTACGGAATTGTTATGGGAACAAGCCACACAGAACCCATGGCTCGAAACACCAATGAACAATCGAACTTTCTGAATGGTACATGGGGCTGGTCAGTCAATCGTGCGAATGTTACAGAATTCATGAGGCAAGGTGTGGAAAGAGCGCAACCATATGAGACTCTCTACACCATGGGTATGCGGGGACTTGGAGACACCGCTTCGCCCACGCTCAACGCAAGCAGTCTCGAGCAGATCGTCAATGTCCAGCAAGACCTCATACGAGAGGTCTACAACAGCAGCAATGATTCGGTCGTGCCTCAAATGTGGTGTCTGTATAAAGAGGTGGGAGGCTACTTCGCCGACGGTCTGGAGGTGCCGGATGACATAACGCTGCTATGGAGCGATGACAACTGGGCTAATATGCAACGTTTGCCCCTGGCGAACGAGACCAGTCGGGCTGGCGGCGCAGGGATTTACTACCATGCAGACTACGTCGGCGATCCAAGGGACTACAAGTGGATCGACACCATCTCTCTTCAGAAATACTGGAGTGAGTTACAACAGGCGTACGACCGACAAGCTCGCCAAATCTGGATTCTCAATGTTGGCGACCTGAAGCCGCTTGAATTACCGTAAGTTTGGCCAACTCCTCCTATGTCAGGACCGAGCACTGCTGACTTTGCGTCTCTCAATCTACAGGATCAGCTACTTCTTCGCTTCTGCATATAATACCCCTGCCCTCGCCTCGCCTAATAGCACTCAAGCTTGGCTAAGTCAATGGGTTGCGCGTCAATTTGGGACACAAGTCGCCGATGCGACAGCAACCATTTTACTCAATTACTCCGTGCTTGCGGGCATGCGGAAGTACGAGCTCGTTGACCCAACCACGTATAGCATCATCAACTATAACGAAGCCGACAGCGTCCTCCAACAATGGCAGGACTTGGTCAGTGCAGCCAGTGCGATCTACGACCAACTCGATTCTTCCCTCCAATCCTCGTACTTCGAGCTGGTGCTCCACAAGTGCCTTGCTGGCTTTACCGTGTACGCGATACACATCAATGCAGCGAAGAACAATCTATACTCTGAACAGGGACGGACCAGTACAAATACGTTGGCGCAGACGGTTATGAATTACTTCGCACAAGATCACGCCTTGACACAGCAATATCACAATTTGCTGAATGGCAAGTGGAATCACATGCTGGATCAAACCCACCTTGGATACCAATACTGGCAGCAGCCAATGCGGAACAGCATGCCTGCGGTTTCGATGGTTCAGCAGCGTGAAGTTTCTCTTGCAGGCCAACTTGGCGTGACCTGCGACGGCAACAACGGGACCGTTCCCGGAGACGACATGTACCACAGCCTTTCGTCAAACGTTCTCACTCTACCGCCCATGGATCCTTACGGGCCGTCAAGGTGGATCGACGTCTTCTCCAGAGGCACCGATGCAGTCAACTTCAACGTGTCGAGCGAACCTCACGTTCTTGTCACCCCTTCAAGTGGTGTCCTGCAAGCGATGGGAAACAGCACCGACCTGCGACTCACCGTCTCCATCGACTGGGCGAGTGCTCCTAATGGAAGTACAATCTCGGTCATCAACATCACGACCACTACACCGACTGGTGTCTACAATAATGGCACTTATCCCTACGGTAACTTTGGGAGGCCGCAAATCCAAGTACCCGTCAACAAGACAGTAGTACCTGCATCATTCCATGGCTTTGTCGAGTCCGACCGGACCATCTCCATTGAACCTGAACACTTCTCGTCAAACATGTCCAATAACTCCGCGGCATACTACGAGGTCATCCCTGCTTACGGCAGGACATTGTCGGGCGTGACTCTGCTCCCGTTCACAGGTCCCTCCCAATCGGCCAGCTCGAGCTCGTCGCCCAAGCTCACATACAACTTTTACACGTTCACGCCCAATATCACAAACGCAAACTTGACGCTCTACGCAGGAACTGCCATGAACACCGATCCCACGCGACCTCTCAAGTACGCTGTCAGCATCGACAACACGACGCCACAGATCATCCAACCAAATCCATTGACTCATCTTTGGCCCCTGCCTGCGATGTGGAACGGCATGGTTGCCAACGCTGCTATGATAAACACGACGATGCATAACATTACCAGAACCGGAGCACATACATTGAACCTATGGCTTTTAGAACCAGGTCTGGTTGTGCAGAAGTTGGTGCTTGATCTAGGCGGCGTGAGGCGCACTTACCTCGGGCCTCCTGAGAGCATGATTGTGTGACGTCCAGTGACGGCGTGCTCACCCACCTGCTCTCGAGACGCCAAGAATCGATGTATTGGAAGGTCTACAGTAATAGCTAATACATAACTATCGTCGTCGTTGGCCGGTGATGCGCGCTAGCCGACCGAAGTGGAAGTGAAGTTTCCAAACTACTACCGACTCGCCAGGCTGATCTACACCGCGTAGGCATGGTCATTAGGTCCACCTGTATCACGCCGAAGACATGTTGCTCTCTCTCCCCGTTCCAACCGCACAGGTACTGCTTGGTCATAATTTCTTACCAACAATGATATCGAACTGTAGGGGAAGAGCCGCACTGACCCCCCTGCCACACTCCATTTTTTCGTCCCGTTCCTGCTGGCATGATACGTACTCACAGAGGCCATGCCAACGGACAAAGAAACGCAACCCACTGTGGCTGGCCGCTTGAGAAGCGTGTCTAAACCTCGCCACCATCCGCATGGCGCTGGGCCTCAAACTCAGGTTCAGGCCCAGGATCAACTTCACGCTCTCAAAGGCCCAGGGTAAGGGTTCGGGCTGAATTCAGGCAAATATCAAAATTGTGTATACCCCGTAGCCAGTTGGCCGGACTAGCTCGTGCCCACCCCGCCCTCGCTTGAGATCGAGAACCGCCCTCAGCCCATGCCATGCCATGCCATCACATAGGCTGGGCCGCCGTACTCCACCCGCAGCACATAGCTAGCACAATGCTTGAACAGAGCGCACGGAGGCGCCAACTCGGCTTTGCCGTTCCCACAGACCAGACCCCAGTGTACCTAGTAGTTAGCACAAGCAGGAAAATAGGGAACCCCCGGGCTCCAGACCCTCGGACTTGAGTGATTTTGTTTCGAGACGTCTTGTCAGTTTCTCTTTGCATCCCTGGCTTGCGAGGTATTGGTGCATTGGTGCTTGCTCGCGCGATGCCATGAAACCATGATCCCATGATGCCATGTATGGTGTATGCGAAGTATGCCACAGCCGGATAGCGCAGCCGGCTGCAATATCGCGTCGCCACTCTGGCATACGGGCATTGACATCAGTTTCTCGTCTTGCTCCCTCTCCCTGTCAGAGGGATCGTTGTGGCACTTCTGTGGTCCATCGATCGGCTGCCTATGCTTGCTGTATTGCTGTTCGATCAGAATCTTCGATCTTCCTGCCAGGGAGAGCAGCGCCGAACAGTCGACCGGGGGTTTGCATGCAGATACTCGCAAATGTCATAGTCTTGTCATGTCATGTCACGACATGTTACGGCAGGAGAACTCGCCGAGAAGCTCAGGAGCTGGGGTCGATTTCCTGACCGCTTACTCGTATGCGAATCACTATCATGACCTCCTCAGTTCCCACTGGGACATCGATCGCGTGCTTGGCTGAGGGGTGGAGCCTGTCCATACCTATGTAGTACTGGTTTATGGGGGTGCACTATGTGCTTGCTGTTCCTGATCCCGCGGACAATAAAACTGCTATAGAAAGGTACCGTAGCATCGCTGTTACCAGGCTACGTTGTAGATTGTAGGATTCAAGCTTGCTGCATGGCTGAACTTCGGCTGTCAGCCTCGAGCAACTCAAGCTCGTTACGAATGATAATTACCCGCAGTTCAGGCGATTGTGCGAAGCCACGAGCCAGGTACCACAGTACGTACTTGCTGTGTACGCGAAGGCACCTAGTCAGCCTCGCAAGAGGGGGTTAGGCCGCCCCGTATCTGGTAAGCAGCCGGTGCCAGCCCTGTTAGGTGCATGCCCTGCCCCAACCACACGTGGGATTCGGCGATGGGGCACGAACTATTTTCACTGGATACTGTAGGAAATACTGCAAGCGACAGGTTGGTCTTGCGCCAGAACTCGACCTAGTACAGTGACGCAACGTGAATTAGAAATTAATACCTCCTAGTCGTCTGCCTGTCTGTACAGACCACATGAGACAGTCCCCGTATTTTACCCCGACTTTTTGAATGCTCGTTCATGCCCTCTCCGTTTATCCGTGATCCAAGCAAAGGTGACAGGTGCATTCCAGTCCATTCCCGTCCGGACGTCAGACTGTCCGCATCAAGAAGAATGAGAAGTCAATGGCGAATCAATCGCAACGAGGGTTGCGCAGGGGTCTGCAGTCGTCCCGTCGTCCTTAGCGTAGATCAGGCGGAACAAACTGAGCACGGCACACCCTGCAAGGCATCTCCCACGGCATAGTATGCAGGTTTGCGCTGCGGCACCAGTCAGTGTCGAGGACGGCATAGAACAGAGCGGAACTGAAGGGCAGGCCATGACATGTGCCCCGCAGATCGAGGGTCAAACTTACAGTAAAGTCGGCGTTGTACAGAGTAGCAGCACCCTGGCCGGGGAAGGTTTGAGGAATCCAGCTGTTACGGCATGGTCAGTTACTGGTCTTCATCTGCCTCCTCGCCGCAATGGATCTGCAAAGGACATACCTGTACTGGTCGTCGAAATCCCAGACGGTGATGCCGACACATCCGTCCACTTCGACGCAGCTGGCCACGCTGTCGTAGTAGTTCTGCGCCTGCTCGGCGAATCCGGTCGAGTTGGTCGCGTTGGCTTGTACAAATCTGATATCCAGCTCGGTCATGGCCACCTCGACTCCCAACGCGACGTATGCTTCCTTCTGGGCGATCTGGTCCTCGAGCGAAGGCGTTCCGCCAACTTCGAAGTGCGACTCGAGACCGACGCCGTCGATGCGGATGTTTCGCGCTTGCAGTTCCTTGACAAGATCCTCCGTGGCCGTGGACTTGTTGCCCGGCGCCTCGATGCCATAGTCGTTGTAGTACAGCTTGGGTTTGGGCGTACCGGCGGGCAGAGCGTCAACTGCCTCTTGTGCAAACTGGAAGGCCAGGTAGAAGTACTCGGGGCCGATGGTGTCGTACCAGACGCTGGCGGAGAAGGTGCCGTTGGAGTTGAGGGCCTCGTTGACCACGTCCCATGAGTAGCAGGCTCCTCCGAAGTGGGCGACCACATTGTAAATGTGGTTTTGCATGATGGCCGTGAGTTCGTCGGCGCTCCAGTTGCCATTGAGGACAAAGTCGCTGATCTGGGTGGCCCAGACCAAGTTATGGCAGCGCAGGTATTTTCCGTGGTCCTGCGCGATGGCCACGACAATGTCACCTCCCGTGTAGTTAAAGACATTCTGCTCTGGCTCGGTCGAGACGAACTTCATGGCGTTGGCGGGCGTGACCTGCCCGAAGATGTGCGTGTTGTTGAGGATGGTTTGGTACAGGATGTTGGTATCCTCTCCGGTGCCTGGCTGGTCTGTTGCCGTGCCGAACCACAGTTTCCCCGCCGCCTGAGCCAGGTCATTGAGGTACGGGGGAGCCAACGGCTCGAAGTAGCCTTGGCAGGAGGAAGAAGTCGGCGCAGATGGTCCCGACGAAGTGGTGCTGGGTGCCGACGAGCTCGTCACCGCCTTGGTAGGCCCTGATGAAACTGATGAAGCCGGTACAGGCTGTCCCCAAGGCGGCGATGGAGGGTTCCAACCCGGTGGTCCTTGTGGTGGTCCTTGAGGCGGGCCCCATGCCACGGGCGTGGCAAGACCGACAGCCGCAAGGGCCGAGACTGCGGTAAGAGTGAAGAATGAAGGCATCTTGGATGAATCTACTAAGAAAGGAATGACAGGAATGATACAGTCGCTAGCACGACAACTCCAAGGGCTCTTTCGCTTCTCGACTGCCACCGCTTCCCATGGCCATGCTCCCAGCTATATATCCCTTTGCCGGTTATATTCGCAGCAGCACTCACCAGGATCTAAGATTTGCACTGTCACACACCGACAATGTGTTCTTGCGACGTCCAGTCTTGCGCAGTGCCGGCAGCCAAACAATCTCGATATTCAACCGGAACCCCGCAAAGCAGCTGTGATATTGACCAGCATCAAGCATAGGCGAGAATGAGAGGCCACAGACCTTCCTTGTTGAGCGACGACAAATGCACCACGCTGTACCTGACACGCACATTAACAGATTTGGGCAGGTCGGGCACGAGGCATGAAGCAGCTAGGTGCCATGCTCCATGTTCCCCAGTGTGTATCCAGGGACAGGGTCACGGGCATCTAATCTGCCCCAGCATAGGCGTGTGGAGTTAGCGAGAGTAGATTCCTGCGGTTCAATAGTTTACCCTGGTAACGCGACAGCGACAGCCTTGTTTAGCCCAAGGCTGCGACACGCTGAGCCCGCAACGTCGCGTGGTTTGAACACCGTGTGCTGGAGCTTCCGTGGAGACGATGCTCGTGGTGTTTTTCCGGAAAAAATCCTCAGGTGATGACAAGTGGTGGGTGAGTGGTAGATCGATGTTTCCGAGCTTCTGTTTGGAGATCGTGGCAACAATCACAAAGCGGGTGATATCGAAGACCACAAGATTCTGATCAACGTCCGGGGCCGTATTGTGGTGGCGAGCGTGACCGGGTAATAGGATAAATCGCCAATTTGCCTGTCCGCTGTTCAGTGTCCCCTTGGAAGAGTTCGAACAGGCCCTGGCAGTCCGTGGGCAACCCTCCACCGGCCCGGATGAAGCATAGTGGCTCCATACCCCCATGTCCCATCAGTCACCAGTCCCATCCGCCGCCATGGGGGTGTTTGCTCTCTCCAGCGGAGCTCCACGCTCGCTCCCACCTCCGATCGTCTCTGATCACTTCCTCGATGGAGACTCGGTCGACTCCCTGCTTCTGCCGGCCGCTGCATTCAGACGATCGCACCTCCCATGTGCTCTCCCGAGCCTGATCGTAATATGGTACCGTTCGGTAAAACACCCTGGTACGAGCACCGTCTTTCCACCTCCCTAATCCGTCGTCCCGTCGACATAGACTGCTAGTCTAGTGAGTCCCTTGACTCAAGCTTCTTAGGGCCGCCACTTCACCCAGCCTTTCGCCGCGGAAGGATCGTCCAATCCAGACCATGCCGTCCACACCAGGCCACCAGGTCCACCCATTCTGGCAACATTTCGGCGCCATCGTTGTCCGTGATTGGCTTTTTGGACCCTGGTCAGCCGTGAATGCAGACTTTCTAGAACGCTACACCGAAAAAGACACACGGTAGTATTTACACGGCTATCTGGGACGATAAGTCTGCATGGCGAGGGTCGCTCCGTATAAAGCACCTGGCTTGGGCCACGTCTTGTCCGTTCTCTTCTCTCCATCAAGCTTCACGTAGACAAAATCTTCTACGTTTCTTGTTTCATTGGTCACTTCCAAGCCTCACGTCGTCGACTACACCGCCCAGTATGTCGAAGGGATACTTCGAGCTGGCGGGACGCCAGTTCCCCAGGAAGACATGGTATAGAGACCCTGCTTTGAGGAGGACATACATCTGCCTCATGTTCGTGGTCCTCACCAGCGCTACCAATGGGTAAGTGTCGAGCCGCCTTCATACATCCAGCATGGACACTGGCTGACTCGTGTTGCTAGCTACGACGGATCGATGATGAACGGTCTTCAGAGTCTCCAGCCATGGCAGGAGCATTTCAACCACCCCAAGGGTGGCAAGATCGGTATCCTGAACGCCATCATGTCCATCGGTTCTCTGTCCGCCATCCCGTTTGTCCCGTACGCCGCCGATTATCTCGGCCGTCGCATGGCTATCTTGACCGGCTGCATCATCATGATGGTCGGTGTCGTCCTGCAATCCATCTCGGCCGGCTTTGGCATGTTCTTGGGCGCCCGGTTTCTCCTCGGTTTCGGCATCGCCATTGCCCACGGTGCTTCGCCTCTCCTGATCACCGAGTTGGTGCACCCTCAACATCGTGCCATCTTCACCACGATCTACAACACTACCTGGTACGCCGGGTCCATTGTCGCCGCGTGGTTGACTTACGGAACCGACCACATCAACAACAACTGGTCATGGCGTATCCCTACCATCGTCCAGGCAGCTCCCTCGATCATCCAGGTGTTTTTCATCTGGTTCGTGCCTGAATCGCCCCGCTGGTTCATCGCACATGGCAAAGAAGAGAAAGGTCTCAATGTCCTCTACAACGTCCACGCCAACGGCGACCGCAGCGACGAGATGGTCCAGCTCGAGTTCGTCGAAATCCGCGACACTCTCAAGCTCGAGAAGGAGATCGAAGGCAACCAGTGGCTCGAACTCATCAAGACAAAGGGCAACCGCCGCAGACTCATCATCCTCTTGTCCGCCGGTCTCTTCTCGCAATGGTCTGGCAACGGTCTGGTCTCGTACTACATCACTAAGATCCTCACCAACATCGGCTACACGGATACACTGACCCAGAACTTGATCAACGGTGTCCTTCAGATCTTCAACCTCTTCATCGCTGTCGGTGCCTGCTTCTTCGTCGACAAGGTCGGTCGCCGCAAGCTCTTCCTCATCTCCACCACCGGCATGTTGGTGACGTTCATCGTGTGGACCATCTGCTCAGCGCGCTACGCCATCTCGGGCTCCAGAGGTGCTGCCAACGCCGTTGTCGGCATGATCTACATCTACTACTTCTGGTACAACATTGCCTGGTCCGGCATGCTGGTCGGCTACTGCGCGGAAATCCTGCCGTACAACATCCGCGCCAAGGGCTTGACCGTCATGTTCTTGATGGTCGACGTGGCGCTCTTCTTCAACCAGTACATCAACCCCATTGCCCTGGACCACATCGGCTGGAAGTACTACATCTTCTACTGCGTGTGGCTCGCCCTCGAGCTTGCCGTCGTCTACTTCTTCTACGTCGAGACCCGCAACACTCCCCTCGAGGAAATCGCCAAGCACTTCGATGGCGACCAGGCCTTGGTTGCCGGCGCCAATGCCTCCCACAAGGGTCTCACACTGGCCGCTGAGATGGGCCTGGACGGCACGATCACCCAGCGCCACGAGCTCGACGAGAAGCGAAACTCCGTTCAGGTGGAGAACGCTGCCCCGACGAAGAGCGAGCTGTAGAGTACGTCATTTTGTGTGAGAGAATGAGTCATTTTTCTGTTCGGACCCAGACCTGGTGTTTAGATTAGATGGCAATTGTGGCTGGACGGAAGCCCAGCTGAAGATGGGCGGTAACGACTAGTACAATAATACAATGACATCAAAATGTCGACTCCTTGATCCGTGCCCACGCATTCCCAATGCCTCATGCTTGCACTGTGAGGAGATGAACTGGAAGGAGATCGCGACGCCAATGATCATCCACCTTTCACAGCGTCATGCTATGCTCTCAATGCCTCATGCTTGCACCATGAGGAGATGAACTGGAAAAAGATCGCAACGCAATGATCACTCACCTCTCACATCGTCATGGCGATCTGAGTTCTCCTGTCCAGTCGTCTTGGGTTTTGAGCCGTGTCTAGGCATTCCCGATATCTCATGCTTGCACCGTGAGGAATGAATTGGAAGGAGATCGCGACACGAATGATCACGATGACCCCATTTCCATCGTCATGGTGATCTGAGGTCGTCTGGCGAGCCGTCTTAGGTTGATTCGACCCGGCAGAGAGAGCCGCTCTGGAAGCCCGCATCTCGCTTCTGCAGACAATCGATGTGATATATCATTCCGAGCCCATGGGAAGCTAGTACCCCAGGATCTGCAACACGGACTGCGGGTCGAGGCATGCTTGCTGTAGCTGTGATTTCACTTGTGCGACATGTCCGCATTTCCCCAGGCCTGAGCCGTGTCCACCTTGCCGCCCTAGCTCGTGGTTCCTATCGTAATTGTGCTCGCTAAAGAAGCATCCTAACTCGCCAACTCCCCGCACGACGTGTAGCAGCCATGTGCGACCGACCAACATGTCGATTGCCGCCCACAGCTTCTGCATGGTAAAATCGCATGACGATCTCTGCCTCCCGAGAGTTGGCCATACGGGTCGCCATGGGGATTTGGTTTGGGAGCGTAGAGGAGGAGCTCAATGCGTCATTTCCCACACAAGTGTAGGTAACATCAGGCGCATGAGGCTTGAACACGGCTCCACGAGACCTCACGCGTCTCGCCAGTCTGGTACCTGTAGTAAGCGGCCACGGTCGAGCACACATGTTGCGAAGTGAAAAGAGGAATTTTAAGTCTGTCAATGCCGGAGTGACGTGGGTAGCGAGATCAAGGCGAGCAAGAAATTCTCCGAGTCAAGGCCTAGTCCGGCTGTCTTGATCGCGAGTCATGGAGTTCCGAAGACGAACCGAGCAGCGCAGCCTTGCGCCCGAGGTTGTTAAGCGTCCCTGATAAGATAAGATTGATCCACAAAATTTTTGTCTGCGGATTTCCTGGCGGTTGTGTATGGCGTAGAACTTTGACCACTTCCACCAGAGTCGACTCGCTTTCCTCCATCGCACCAATGCCGCCACTAAAGAAGCGCAAGCTAAGCCATGGCGAGTCTTCTGACGCTGACTCTATCGGCTCCACAGTCAACTCCGAAGCCAGCGAGATTGGTGACGAGGTGCCGACGACAGCGCCCTCAAAACCAAAGACATTCAAAGAGCTGGGAATCATAGAGTCTCTATGCGAGGCCTGCGAATCACTCAATTACAAGACACCTACCCCCATCCAAGCCGAAGCGATACCCCTGGCCTTACAGGGACGAGATCTTATCGGGCTGGCAGAGACTGGCAGCGGCAAGACAGCAGCCTTTGTGCTTCCTATCTTGCAGGCTCTTATGGATAAGCCGCAGCA